TGCTTCTGGGGCTGGTAGCTCGGTACCTGTGGTGGCTGCTGCTTCTGGGGCTGGTAGCTCGGTACCTGTGGTGGCTGCTGCTTCTGGGGCTGGTAGCTCGGTACCTGTGGTGGCTGCTGCTTCTGGGGCTGGTAGCTCGGTACCTGTGGTTGCTGCTGCTTCTGGGGCTGGTAGCTCGGTACCTGTGGTTGCTGCTGCTTCTCGGGCTGGTAGCTCGGTACCTGTGGTTGCTGCTGCTTCTGGGGCTGGTAGCTCGGTACCTGTGGCTTCTGCTGCTGGGGCTGGTAGTTTGGTACCTGTGGCTGGTGCTGCTGCTGCAGCTGGGGCTGGTAGTTTGGTACCTGTGGCTGGTGCTGCTGCTGCAGCTGGGGCTGGTAGCTCGGTACCTGTGGCTGCTGCTGCAGCTGGGGCTGGTAGCTGGGTACCTGTGGCTTCTGCTGTTGGGGCACGTAGCTCGGTACCTGTGGCTTCTGCTGTTGGGGCTCGTAGCTCAGTACCTGTGGCTTCTGCTGTTGGGGCTGGTAGCTCGGTACCTGTGGCTTCTGCTGTTGGGGCTGGTAGCTCGGTACCTGTGGCTGCTGCTGCTGCAGCTGGGGCTGGTAGCTCGGTACCTGTGGCTTCTGCTGTTGGGGCTGGTAGCTCGGCACCTGTGGCTTCTGCTGTTGGGGCTGGTAGCTCGGCACCTGTGGCTTCTGCTGTTGGGGCTGGTAGCTCGGCACCTGTGGCTTCTGCTGTTGGGGCTGGTAGCTCGGCACCTGTGGCTTCTGCTGTTGGGGCTGGTACCTTGGCACCTGTGGCTGCTGCTGCTGCTGCTGCTGCTGCTGCTGCTGCTGCTGCTGCTGTACCTGTGGCTGGTAGCTTGGTACCTGTGGCTGCTGCTTACTTTTAATGCTTGCCTCAAGTTTTCCAATAAGCAGCAACCACAGAAGCAACAAACTAAAAATAAAACAGAAATATACCACAATCTCATTATTCAAAGCATTTTTGTTGAAAACTTAAGTTAACACAGAGGTAGTAAAAGTTACCGTAGAAGAAGTCCCATGGCTTTAGCCAGACAAAAAAACTAAGCGCAACCTGAAAAGATATTTCTGCCAAACGCTGACCCAACCCAACCACCAGTATGTCCTCTCTCCACAGCAGTGCAGTTCCAAGCAGCTGTGGGGCAATTATTTTAAATGCTTTGACAGCCAATCACCTCCTCTTAGACTGATTGGACACAGGTGGATGGCAATGGGGTGTGTCATCTACAAAGCACATGTTAAGACATGGAGCTGAATAAAAATTTAGTTATGTGTTCAGCTAGACTGCAATCCACAAATGTATTTTACAATTAATGTTACTTTTTTAAAGCATCAAATAAGCCCATCATCTTCTGCTGAACAAAACCGCCATCAAATATCTCAGCTAAATGACTGAGAAGATTTTAACAGGAGATTTAATAATATATCTCTCAGGGCTTCAGAAAACATCAGGCTTCCTTGCATCAGCTCATTTTATCAATCACAACACTGTTGTAAAATTTTGGCTGCTCACACCAAAGACAGCCTTCATTTTGATGTCAGTGGGTCCCTCTAGTGGCAGAAACACACCATTACAGTTTCTTTCCATTCCTAGATTATCTCAAGTCAACAGTTTGGATCAACCTTTGACCTAAGATAAAAAAAAATAAGCTACATACCAGGTTATGTATTTAATTTAACCTTTATTTAACCAGTAAAATCACATTGAGACGAATCTCTTTTGCAAGTGCGAACTGGCCAAGGGAAGAGGCAAATAAAATGTTACACAGCTCTGCCAGTAACAATACAATACAATACAATGACAATACAACATGGAGAGACTGAGAGTACAATACCAATTGCTTAGGCTCAGAAAGGAGATTAGCAAGGAATAGAATCACATAATAGTGCCAGGGAGCACTACATAAAATTGGAGTAAAATAAGCTAAAATAAGTTAACAATAACAATTGCAAACACTGATCAACAAAACAAGTGTGCCCCTGACAATCCTTTTGAAGGTCACTAGAGGGATTAAAAAAGCCAATTTCAATCTGGTCTGAAGGTTGTTCCACGACTAGGGCCCAAAGAAGGCAAGGCTTTTAACTCCTGCTTATAACTCCTGCACACTTAAACATATTTTCTCAAATATATTGACCTATCCAGTTCACAAACTGTTTAACTGCAAAAGTAGGAGTCATACTTTTCCTTTAATGAAATATTTTTATAATTTTATTAGTTATTTTCCTCAAGTAACTAAATCTATTCCGAAGGTAGTGTGCAACAAAATTTAATCCCACTTATTTAGTAAAGTTGAACCCTTTGTAAATTCTAAAGATTGTAGGAGTGAGCTGTAATGCTAAGTGTATGCTACTGTTAGCTACACGTTCATTGGCTTTAGCTCAAACTCATTAACTACACACTGTAGTTTGATTAGCTTTAGTAAGCTAATTTTCTCACAAATGCTAACATTAGCCAAACTTAACCATTACTGCAGATGCAGAGTCAAATTATGTGGGGATTTCTTCAGGTGGTTGTTTGCAAGGTGTGTAGTTTAGTTCTACCAAAACATAGTGACTCACCAAGAGATGCAACTTTGTTAGACTGATCAAGTGTTAGCCGTTTGCCGCCTCGTAAACATACAGCGATGTGTGGAGGAGTTTTTTTTCCAATGTTTTCCATGATACATTTTCACCAATAGATTTAAGCCCAATTTAAGGGTTTAAAGCATGACAATTAAGTGCTCACATTTTCTGATTTACTGTACTGATTAATGCTTATAAATGGAATTGCCCTCAGCAATGACTTTACACACAAATTAAATCCTTTTCCAGGGATCCAGAACTGAATTGCGCTGCAAAAGCTACAAAAATATAAAGAAAAAAAACATGTCTCAATGTAAAATGATACCACACAGATTGAATACAAAGTGTTTTTATTTAAAGATCCTCTGGTGGCAGATTTGAATCAGCAAGGCCCATCAAGTTGAAGCTTCTATGTCTAAAACAGGAGGAGAAAAAAATAAATAAATCAGTAAGTCAATTAAAAAGGCAAGGGTTAACAATGCATTGATCTCTTCAATAAAAAAAATAAAAAAAAAAGGACACTATTCACCTTTCATTCTGATCATTGGGCTCTAGTTGTATACAAATTGCCCTTGACTTCCATAGTTAAGATGGGGACCAGTGATACTAAAAAAAAAAATAAAAAAATAAAAATCTCATAAGAAGTTAGGCAGAACTTAAAGAATATGCAAACTATAATCAATCAAACCTACCCTGAAGAATCACTTCTGCTGGGTGCAGGTTCAGACTGTGCCGGTTGACCTCTTTGAATATTACCACTGGACTGGTATGATGGTTGCTGAGGTGTAGGCTTGGGCTGAGGCTGGTACACTGGCTGCATGGGCTGAGACTGGTACATTGGATAGTGGGGCTTGGGCTGGTACTCAGGCTTCCAGGCCCTTTGCCCAGACTGAGGCTTAAATGTTGGCTGCTCTGGCTGTGGCCATGGCTGATAGGAATGCTGAGGTTTAGGCCGGTATGCTGGCTGCTGGGGCTGAGGTTTGGGCTGGTATGCTGGCTGCTGCGGCTGAGGTTTGGGCTGGTATGCTGGCTGCTGCGGCTGAGGTTTGGGCTGGTACGCTGGCTGCTGCGGCTGTGGTTTGGGCTGGTACACAGGCTGCTGGGGCTGAGGCTTGGGCTGGTACGCTGGCTGCTGCGGCTGAGGTTTGGGCTGGTACGCTGGCTGCTGGGGCTGAGGCTTGGGCTGGTACGCTGGCTGCTGGGGCTGAGGCTTGGGCTGGTACACAGGCTGGTATGCAGGCTGCTGGGGCTTGGGCCGGTATGCAGGCTGCTGCGGCTGGGGTTTGGGCCGGTACGCTGGCTGCTGGGGCTGAGGCTTGGGCCGGTACGCTGGCTGCTGGGGCTGAGGCTTGGGCCGGTACGCTGGCTGCTGGGGCTGAGGCTTGGGCTGGTATGCAGGCTGCTGGGGCTTGGGCCGGTACGCAGGCTGCTGCGGCTGAGGTTTGGGCCGGTACGCTGGCTGCTGCGGCTGAGGTTTGGGCCGGTACGCTGGCTGCTGGGGCTGAGGCTTGGGCTGGTACGCTGGCTGCTGGGGCTGGTACGCTGGCTGCTGGGGCTGAGGTTTGGGCTGGTATGCAGGCTGCTGAGGTTTGGGCTGGTAGGCTGGCTGCTTGGGCTGAGGCTTGGGCTGGTATGCAGGCTGCTGAGGTTTGGGCAGGTACGCTGGCTGCTTGGGCTGAGGCTTGGGCTGGTACGTAGGTATAAAAGGCCTATTCCAAGTTGACAAAACAAAATGCAAAAAAAAAAAAAAAAAAAAAAAAAAAAAAAAATCCAGGTGATTATACACCAGTTTAAGAATAGCTATTAATATTAAATCACATTTCTATTGTTAATTGCTGTGGATTACCACACACTGCACCTTAAATTTGGCTTATTGGCTATTGATTAAACACTACACATAGACATCTATATGCAAGTGCAGCAAGCTGCTGGTTCTTGGGCCTTTCCCTCTCTCATCCTTTATCAGTGGAACCGCATCACACAGAAGACCTGGGCTGAAGTCTTCATTTGCTTACCAATGGCCACACTAAGAAATTCAGGTTCAAAACAATTGTGTTCACCTTAAGAACATAACATCTTGTTAACAGCAGATCAAAAGTCAGTACAGCTTAAGTTAAATATTTGTGGAACACAAGCATTATAAAGCTCTGCAGCAATAACATGTGTGGCAGAAGTGCCTTAAAAATTTCAATTACACTTGGCACAACAATGATGTACAGAGGTTTTTATTTGAAGATCTCTTGGTCCAAGCATTCAACAAAGCTCATTTATAACCACCGACATGTCTGTAATGAGGAGAGAAAAAAAAGAAAAAAAAAAGTCAGGTTGTCAGCATGGCAAGAGCATTAATTTGTAATTAAAGACCTCATATATTGTGTCTATGTCAAGAGACAACACATGTCAAAATCTCTTCACTTACTAAGGCTTAGGCTGGTAAGCTGGCATCTGGAACTGAGGCTTGTACACAGGAAGCTGGGGCCTAGGCTTGGGCTGGTACACGGGAAGCTGGGGCCTAGGCTTGGGTTGGTACACGGGAAGCTGAGGCCTAGGCTTGGGCTGGTACACGGGAAGCTGAGGCTGGGGCTTGGGCCGGTACACAGGCTGCTGGGGCTGGGGCTTGGGCCGGTACACAGGCTGCTGGGGCTGAGGCTTGGGCCGGTACACAGGCTGCTGGGGCTGAGGCTTTGGCTGGTATACTGGATAGTGGGGCTGGGGCTTGGGTTGGTACACAGGCTGCTGGGGCTGGGGCTTGGGCTGGTACACAGGCTGCTGGGGCTGGGGCTTGGGCTGGTACACAGGCTGCTGGGGCTGGGGCTTGGGCTGGTACACAGGCGGCTGGGGCTGGGGCTTGGGCTGGTACACAGGCTGCTGGGGCTGGGGCTTGGGCTGGTACACAGGCTGCTGGGGCTGGGGCTTGGGCTGGTATACTGGATAGTGGGGTTGTGGTTTGGGTTGGTACACAGGCTGCTGGGGCTGAGGCTTTGGCTGGTATACTGGATAGTGGGGTTGTGGCTTGGGTTGGTACACAGGCTGTTGAGGCTTGTGGGAGGGTGCCAGACCCCTTGGATGAACATCAACCTGGGGCTGGTGCTTGGAGTGGTACCCTGGCACCTGTGACTGTTGACCAGCACTGTATCTTGGTGCCTGAGGAATCTGCTGCTGTGGAAAACTGGGCACCTGCTGTGGCTGATGCTGTTTAGGATAGAAGCTGGACGCCGGCTGCTGTTTGGGATAGTAGCTAGGTGCCTGCTGCTGTTGGGGATAGTAGCTGGAAGCCTGCTGGGTCTGCTGCTGTTTGGGATAGTGGCTGGGCGCCTTCTGGGTCTGCTGCTGTTTGGGATAGTGGCTGGGCGCCTTCTGGGTCTGCTGCTGTTTGGGATAGTGGCTGGGCGCCTGCTGGGTCTGCTGCTGTTTAGGATAATGGCTGGGTGCTTGCAGTTTTTTGGGGTGGTGGCTGGGTGCCTGCTGCACCTTCTGATTGTGCTGCTTGGGCTGGTAGCTTGGCACATGTGGCTTCTGCTGGGGCTGGTAGTTCGGTACCTGTGGTTGCTGCTGCTTCTGGGGCTGGTAGCTCGGTACCTGTGGTTGCTGCTGCTTCTGGGGCTGGTAGCTCGGTACCTGTGGTTGCTGCTGCTTCTGGGGCTGGTAGCTCGGTACCTGTGGTTGCTGCTGCTTCTGGGGCTGGTAGCTCGGTACCTGTGGTTGCTGCTGCTTCTGGGGCTGGTAGCTCGGTACCTGTGGTTGCTGCTGCTTCTGGGGCTGGTAGCTCGGTACCTGTGGTTGCTGCTGCTTCTGGGGCTGGTAGCTCGGTACCTGTGGTTGCTGCTGCTTCTGGGGCTGGTAGCTCGGTACCTGTGGTTGCTGCTGCTTCTGGGGCTGGTAGCTCGGTACCTGTGGTTGCTGCTGCTTCTGGGGCTGGTAGCTCGGTACCTGTGGTTGCTGCTGCTTCTGGGGCTGGTAGCTCGGTACCTGTGGTTGCTGCTGCTTCTGGGGCTGGTAGCTCGGTACCTGTGGTTGCTGCTGCTTCTGGGGCTGGTAGCTCGGTACCTGTGGTTGCTGCTGCTTCTGGGGCTGGTAGCTCGGTACCTGTGGTTGCTGCTGCTTCTGGGGCTGGTAGCTCGGTACCTGTGGTTGCTGCTGCTTCTGGGGCTGGTAGCTCGGTACCTGTGGTGGCTGCTGCTTCTGGGGCTGGTAGCTCGGTACCTGTGGTGGCTGCTGCTTCTGGGGCTGGTAGCTCGGTACCTGTGGTGGCTGCTGCTTCTGGGGCTGGTAGCTCGGTACCTGTGGTTGCTGCTGCTTCTCGGGCTGGTAGCTCGGTACCTGTGGTTGCTGCTGCTTCTGGGGCTGGTAGCTCGGTACCTGTGGCTTCTGCTGCTGGGGCTGGTAGTTTGGTACCTGTGGCTGGTGCTGCAGCTGGGGCTGGTAGCGCGGTACCTGTGGCTGCTGCTGCAGCTGGGGCTGGTAGCTGGGTACCTGTGGCTTCTGCTGTTGGGGCACGTAGCTCGGTACCTGTGGCTTCTGCTGTTGGGGCTCGTAGCTCGGTACCTGTGGCTTCTGCTGTTGGGGCTGGTAGCTCGGTACCTGTGGCTTCTGCTGTTGGGGCTGGTAGCTCGGTACCTGTGGCTGCTGCTGCTGCAGCTGGGGCTGGTAGCTCGGTACCTGTGGCTTCTGCTGTTGGGGCTGGTAGCTCGGCACCTGTGGCTTCTGCTGTTGGGGCTGGTAGCTCGGCACCTGTGGCTTCTGCTGTTGGGGCTGGTACCTTGGCACCTGTGGCTGCTGCTGCTGCTGCTGCTGCTGCTGCTGCTGCTGCTGGGACTGGTAGCTTGGTACCTGTGGCTGCTGCTTACTTTTAATGCTTGCCTCAAGTTTTCCAATAAGCAGCAACCACAGAAGCAACAAACTAAAAATAAAACAGAAATATACCACAATCTCATTATTCAAAGCATTTTTGTTGAAAACTTAAGTTAACACAGAGGTAGTAAAAGTTACCGTAGAAGAAGTCCCATGGCTTTAGCCAGACAAAAAAACTAAGCGCAACCTGAAAAGATATTTCTGCCAAACGCTGACCCAACCCAACCACCAGTATGTCCTCTCTCCACAGCAGTGCAGTTCCAAGCAGCTGTGGGGCAATTATTTTAAATGCTTTGACAGCCAATCACCTCCTCTTAGACTGATTGGACACAGGTGGATGGCAATGGGGTGTGTCATCTACAAAGCACATGTTAAGACATGGAGCTGAATAAAAATTTAGTTATGTGTTCAGCTAGACTGCAATCCACAAATGTATTTTACAATTAATGTTACTTTTTTAAAGCATCAAATAAGCCCATCATCTTCTGCTGAACAAAACCGCCATCAAATATCTCAGCTAAATGACTGAGAAGATTTTAACAGGAGATTTAATAATATATCTCTCAGGGCTTCAGAAAACATCAGGCTTCCTTGCATCAGCTCATTTTATCAATCACAACACTGTTGTAAAATTTTGGCTGCTCACACCAAAGACAGCCTTCATTTTGATGTCAGTGGGTCCCTCTAGTGGCAGAAACACACCATTACAGTTTCTTTCCATTCCTAGATTATCTCAAGTCAACAGTTTGGATCAACCTTTGACCTAAGATAAAAAAAAAATAAGCTACATACCAGGTTATGTATTTAATTTAACCTTTATTTAACCAGTAAAATCACATTGAGACGAATCTCTTTTGCAAGTGCGAACTGGCCAAGGGAAGAGGCAAATAAAATGTTACACAGCTCTGCCAGTAACAATACAATACAATACAATGACAATACAACATGGAGAGACTGAGAGTACAATACCAATTGCTTAGGCTCAGAAAGGAGATTAGCAAGGAATAGAATCACATAATAGTGCCAGGGAGCACTACATAAAATTGGAGTAAAATAAGCTAAAATAAGTTAACAATAACAACAATTGCAAACACTGATCAACAAAACAAGTGTGCCCCTGACAATCCTTTTGAAGGTCACTAGAGGGATTAAAAAAGCCAATTTCAATCTGGTCTGAAGGGTTGTTCCACGACTAGGGCCCAAAGAAGGCAAGGCTTTTAACTCCTGCTTGTAACTCCTGCACACTTAAACATATTTTCTCAAATATATTGACCTATCCAGTTCACAAACTGTTTAACTGCAAAAGTAGGAGTCATACTTTTCCTTTAATGAAATATTTTTATAATTTTAGTTATTTTCCTCAAGTAACTAAATCTATTCCGAAGGTAGTGTGCAACAAAATTTAATCCCACTTATTTAGTAAAGTTGAACCCTTTGTAAATTCTAAAGATTGTAGGAGTGAGCTGTAATGCTAAGTGTATGCTACTGTTAGCTACACGTTCATTGGCTTTAGCTCAAACTCATTAACTACACACTGTAGTTTGATTAGCTTTAGTAAGCTAATTTTCTCACAAATGCTAACATTAGCCAAACTTAACCATTACTGCAGATTTAGAGTCAAATTATGTGGGGATTTCTTCAGGTGGTTGTTTGCAAGGTGTGTAGTTTAGTTCTACCAAAACATAGTGACTCACCAAGAGATGCAACTTTGTTAGACTGATCAAGTGTTAGCCGTTTGCCGCCTCGTAAACATACAGCGATGTGTGGAGGAGTTTTTTTCCAATGTTTTCCATGATACATTTTCACCAATAGATTTAAGCCCAATTTAAGGGTTTAAAGCATGACAATTAAGTGCTCACATTTTCTGATTTACTGTACTGATTAATGCTTATAAATGGAATTCCCCTCAGCAATGACTTTACACACAAATTAAATCCTTTTCCAGGGATCCAGAACTGAATTGCGCTGCAAAAGCTACAAAAATATAAAGAAAAAAAACATGTCTCAATGTAAAATGATACCACACAGATTGAATACAAAGTGTTTTTATTTAAAGATCCTCTGGTGGCAGATTTGAATCAGCAAGGCCCATCAAGTTGAAGCTTCTATGTCTAAAACAGGAGGAGAAAAAAATAAATAAATCAGTAAGTCAATTAAAAAGGCAAGGGTTAACAATGCATTGATCTCTTCAATAAAAAAAATTTAAAAAAAGGACACTATTCACCTTTCATTCTGATCATTGGGCTCTAGTTGTATACAAATTGCCCTTGACTTCCATAGTTAAGATGGGGACCAGTGATACTAAAAAAAAAAATAAAAAAATAAAAATCTCATAAGAAGTTAGGCAGAACTTAAAGAATATGCAAACTATAATCAATCAAACCTACCCTGAAGAATCACTTCTGCTGGGTGCAGGTTCAGACTGTGCCGGTTGACCTCTTTGAATATTACCACTGGACTGGTATGATGGTTGCTGAGGTGTAGGCTTGGGCTGAGGCTGGTAAACTGGCTGCATGGGCTGAGACTGGTACATTGGATAGTGGGGCTTGGGCTGGTACTCAGGCTTCCAGGCCCTTTGCCCAGACTGAGGCTTGAATGTTGGCTGCTCTGGCTGTGGCCATGGCTGATAGGAATGCTGAGGTTTAGGCCGGTATGCTGGCTGCTGGGGCTGAGGTTTGGGCTGGTATGCTGGCTGCTGCGGGTGAGGTTTGGGCTGGTATGCTGGCTGCTGCGGCTGAGGTTTGGGCTGGTACGCTGGCTGCTGCGGCTGAGGTTTGGGCTGGTACGCTGGCTGCTGGGGCTGAGGATTGGGCTGGTACGCTGGCTGCTGGGGCTGAGGCTTGGGCTGGTACACGGGCCGGTATGCAGGCTGCTGCGGCTGGGGTTTGGGCCGGTACGCTGGCTGCTGGGGCTGAGGCTTGGGCCGGTACGCTGGCTGCTGGGGCTGAGGCTTGGGCAGGTACGCTGGCTGCTGGGGCTGAGGCTTGGGCCGGTACGCTGGCTGCTGGGGCTGAGGCTTGGGCCGGTACGCTGGCTGCTGGGGCTGAGGCTTGGGCCGGTACGCTGGCTGCTGGGGCTGAGGCTTGGGCTGGTACGCAGGCTGGTATGCAGGCTGCTGGGGCTTGGGCCGGTACGCAGGCTGCTGCGGCTGAGGTTTGGGCCGGTACGCTGGCTGCTGGGGCTGAGGCTTGGGCTGGTACGCTGGCTGCTGGGGCTGAGGCTTGGGCTGGTACGCTGGCTGCTGGGGCTGAGGTTTGGGCTGGTATGCAGGCTGGTATGCAGGCTGCTGAGGTTTGGGCTGGTAGGCTGGCTGCTGGGGCTGAGGTTTGGGCTGGTATGCAGGCTGCTGAGGTTTGGGCAGGTACGCTGGCTGCTTGGGCTGAGGCTTGGGCTGGTACGCTGGCTGCTGAGGCTGAGGTTTGGGCCGGTAGGCAGGCTGCTTGGGCCGGTACGCTGGCTGCTGGGGCTTGGGCTGGTATGCAGGCTGCTGGGGCTTGGGCTGGTACGCTGGCTGCTGGGGCTGGTATGCAGGTTGCTGGGGCTGGTACGCTGACTGCTGGGGCTCAGCCTGAGGCTTGGAAGGGTACGCTGGCCGCTGGGGCTCAGCCTGAGGCTTAGGCCGGTACACTGGCTGCTGGGGCTCAGGCTTGTATGCCATTTGCTGGAGCTGAGGTCTGGGCCGGTAAGATGGCTGCTGCTTAGACTGAAAACTAGGGGGCTGGGGCTGCTGACTTGACTGGAAACTGGGAGCCTCTGGCTGCTGCTTGGCCTGAAAACTGGGAGCCTCTGGCTGCTGCTTGGCCTGAAAACTGGGAGCCTCTGGCTGCTGCTTGGCCTGAAAACTGGGAGCCTCTGGCTGCTGCTTGGCCTGAAAACTGGGAGCCTCTGGCTGCTGCTTGGCCTGAAAACTGGGAGCCTCTGGCTGCTGCTTGGCCTGAAAACTGGGAGCCTCTGGCTGCTGCTTGGCCTGAAAACTGGGAGCCTCTGGCTGCTGCTTGGCCTGAAAACTGGGAGCCTGAGGCTGCTGCTTGGCCTGAAAACTGGGAGCCTGAGGCTGCTGCTTGGCCTGAAAACTGGGAGCCTGAGGCTGCTGCTTGGCCTGAAAACTGGGAGCCTGAGGCTGCTGCTTGGCCTGAAAACTGGGAGCCTGAGGCTGCTGCTTGGCCTGAAAACTGGGAGCCTGAGGCTGCTGCTTGGCCTGAAAACTGGGAGCCTGAGGCTGCTGCTTGGCCTGAAAACTGGGAGCCTGAGGCTGCTGCTTGGCCTGAAAACTGGGAGCCTGAGGCTGCTGCTTGGCCTGAAAACTGGGAGCCTGAGGCTGCTGCTTGGCCTGAAAACTGGGAGCCTGTGGCTGCTGCTTGGCCTGAAAACTGGGAGCCTGAGGCTGCTGCTTGGCCTGAAAACTGGGTGCCTGAGGCTGCTGCTTGGCCTGAAAACTGGGAGCCTGTGGCTGCTGCTTGGCCTGAAAACTGGGTGCCTGAGGCTGCTGCTTGGCCTGAAAACTGGGAGCCTGTGGCTGCTGCTTGGCCTGAAAACTGGGTGCCTGAGGCTGCTGCTTGGCCTGAAAACTGGGAGCCTGAAGCTGCTGCTTGGCCTGAAAACTGGGTGCCTGAGGCTGCTGCTTGGCCTGAAAACTGGGAGCCTGAGGCTGCTGCTTGGCCTGAAAACTGGGAGCCTGGGGCTGCTGCTTAGACTGAAAACTGGGAGCCTGAGGCTGCTGCTTGGCCTGAAAACTGGGAGCCTGTGGCTGCTGCTTGGCCTGAAAACTGGGAGCCTGAGGCTGCTGCTTGGCCTGAAAACTGGGTGCCTGAGGCTGCTGCTGATATCTAGCTACTGGGACTTGTTGTCTGCCCCACAGGCCTGATAACTGAGGCCGCTGTGTTGGTTGGTAAGTGTAGTCACTGGGCTTATAGCCCATGTCTCCATTTCCAGGCTGATTTTCATCATAAGAAGCTGAATACAATTCAAAAAAAGGAAAAAAAAAATCTAGTTACTTAAACTGACATTTAAATCTTTTTTTTTCTGAGTATAAACACCACATATTATCAGTGTCATTTTCAAAACTATAATCTTGGAATCATAAGTGCATTATGAAATTCAGCCTCACATCTAACGCTTGCTTGAAGCTCCACAATAAGTAGAAGCGAGAGCAGCACCACACTAGAAAAGAGAACATGTTACAGGTATTTTAGACACTCCACACAAGTGTAAAACATTGAGCCCACAAAGATTCACTGTGAAGTTACCGTAGAAAGATTCCCATGGCTTCAGCCTGAGGAAACATCAACAGCAAGTTGAAAAGCCTCTATCTGATGACAGCCAACTAAACACTTCCCACCAGTCTGTCCTGTTTTTTTTTTACTGTGGTGCAGTTAGAGTGAATCTGGGGTGCAATTAATTTGACTTGATGGAGCAACCAATCACAGAGCTTACTTTCTTGGAGGCTGATTGGTAATTGGAAACAGGTGGAGGTAGTGAGTTGTGTTCTTTAGAGTTATGCTTTAACAGAAGTATGGGGGTTTCCTCTCTGTCTTTTAGAGAGGAAACTTCTTTTTCTGGATATTTTAGATATTTAAGAAGCTGTGTGCACAAACTCATATCCACAAGTGAGCTGCCTACTTTATCTACTTTATTTCATTATTGAATTTCCCTTCAGGGATCAATAAAGTTATTCTTATTCTTAAATTCTATTTTACTTGATTTTTTTCAATCATTATCACACACAACTAAAATTCTATTTTTATTCATCACTGCCTTGATCTTTTGGTTGATCAAAAGCAGCTTTGGTTTTAATGCCCAGGGATGCCATCTAGTGGTAAAAAGTAGAAAATTCCTTGATAATACACTGACCAATATTCATTGGTTACAGATTTTATGTACATCTTATGTATGTATTGGACCACTTTTATTGATATATATATATGTATTTATATACATATATATATATACTACAGGCCAAAAGTTTGGAAGCAAGATTACATTTGTACAAAAAAAGATCATAGTTGCATATATATACAATTTGCAACACAATAAACATGACTATTGTGTAAAGAGTAACTTATCAGAAGACATTATGACTATAATTATTAGGTATTTGAGTTAATGTTGCTTAGACTTTGCTTTCTTTAAAGTAACCTCCTCTGGCTTTAACGACAGCTTGGCATATACCAGGCATTCGTTCCACAACTTTTTTAAGGTATGTTCCAGGGATTGCATTCCAAGCTTTCTTAAGTTCATTAAAAAGAGGCTGCTGATTCGTGGGACGCGTTTTTCTGACCGATCGAGGGTCAGAAAAATGGGTTATATATATATATATATATATATATATATATATATATATACATATATATATGTATATGTATATATATGTGTGTGTGTGTGTGTGTGTGTCAATAAAAGTGGTTAAAGACACAGCTATGCTAAGCCACCAGATCTTGTTCTTTGAAGTAGGAGTCTGCAGAAAGATTTACATACTGTATGACACAAACAAAACTCTATGATTACACATAACATCCTTTTTATTCCAGAGCTGAAGGCCTTATTGGGCATTGTTGACAAAAACCTTAGACTTCTATCAAATCCTCAGCATTAGTCACTTGTTGGTTATTGCCTATAACCGAAAAAGGTAAAGAGGAGTGTGTGCTTTAAATGGTACATAATTTGAATGGGAATGATCACTTTCAGAACTTTTTATACAATTATACATCACTATCTTGCTTTTTCCTATTATTTTTTTCTTCCATCTGGAAACAAATCCTTCACTCTCTTTTAACTTATAGTGAGGTTGTTTTGATGATTTTGTACTACCTTTTCTATCATGTTAGTTTCCATAGAATCTGTCCAGATTAATTCTACCAATACACCAAACCTTTTTTTAATTCATTGACTTTGTGTTTTTGTAATTTTGTGTGAAGAAAATAAACTGATGTTAATTAAGCTTCAACCTACGCACCTGTAGTTTTCTATTCCGGTGTTGGTTGTCTTTTTTTTAAATGCAGTGACTTTGTTTAAACAGCAGATGGAGCTCAGCTTTCATATAGGACAGGGATCAGTGTTAATGAATCTTATAAGGTCAAACCTAAACCAGGCGGATTCTATCACTGTCACCACTCAATCCAGTGATGACTTCTGATTTAAAAGAAAAGAAAACAAAAGAACAAAAACAAACAAACAAACAAAAAAAAAAACAATGGGGACAGCTGTAACTCAAATATGTAGTTGTCTTGCAATTCAAAGGACGGCAGTTTGCCACCTCATCCTGTTTGTCAAACTGGACCTCTTATTGCTCATGGTGGCTTTGCCAGTGGTGTGAATGCACATGAATGGATTAAGTTAGTACTGATGAATGAGTAACTTAGAGCCTCTGTATAAATAGGGTGTGAATGAGTGAATTTGGCATGTAATGGAAACGCCTTCTAAACAAATGAAGACAAGTCCATTTACTTTATTACTTTATTACTTAATCTGTATATAGGGTACATCTGCTTGTCCTCAATCCAGCAATAGAGACAGTCTCTAACAGCAGAGAGGACATGACAGTAAAGCTTTGTGCCAAAAATAGAGTAAAATAGCCCACAAAAGTTTATTATTGCAGCTTAACCACACTAAATCGAGACAGACTTGCAGATACAGGAACTTAGTTAAGTCATCAAAGGTCATGGTAATGTATCCAAAGCAAGCCTCCTCTATCCTTTGTTTGGCAAGACAGTCATGTTTTTATTTGTTTGGGGAAAAAAATCTGACATTTTTCTGATTTTCTTTTTTGCTTTTTAGAGTCAAATATTCAAGAATATTGTATATCTTGCATATTTGACTGTAGTGCTATTCTCTTCAATTATTAAGGCTTGTTTTTGATATTTCTTGTGTAACCACCAATTTAATCCAATAAACCTTTTATTTTAAGAGGGAAAATAGGTGAAGTCGGTTTGCACCAATATCATGAGAATAGCATGCACATTTGCCACACTGATAGTGTGGCAATTGCAGGAGTCTATCTGGTAATGTAAATATCCTGCAAATCTATCTAAAGTGTGTTTCTTTGTTTGTTAAATCTCAGTCTGTTTGTTGGTTTTATGAGCCTCACTTTTGTTCCAACAACTGTTGTGTGATGATCTATAATAATCTATTACACTGTGAGCTCTAAACCTTTTACTGCTGCAGTAATAATCCATTTTTCCCACCGGGATCATGAGGGCTTCATAAAATAAGAGCCTGTGCTCTTAAACTGCTGACTGCAGTACCAGCAGGACTGAGGGGGACTGAAGAAGAGGACTGTGGGGCTAAGTGAGATAAATGGAGTCAGACCAAGACATAAAAGTTGAATTGAGCTCTGCAGAAAGTCAAATTATTGAATGTAACACACCTCTCTGGACAACACTAAAGTCTGGTGGCAGCTGTTTGAAGAAAAACAAATGATCTTGACTGACTTAACAGATTTTCTTATATACTAATTTAAAGGTTTTCGAATACTCTTGAGATCTCCTGTAGCAGATTAGTTACCGTTAACATGTGGTTGGTCAGAATCAGGTTTATTGCCAGATAGGTGAAGTGTTTGTCCTCTTTTGGTGCGGAAACAATGAAGACAGAAGTATCACAGAAACATATACAGTATTTGATTAATGCTATTAAATTGGCAGCAAGGTTTTATTAATTTCTTTGTTGCACCAATCAATTAGTATATTTCACAGGAGGGACTTGGAGGGGACTCTCAATGTTGGCAGATTTTCTGGGAGAGTGTAATGTCAAAGCCTTTTTGGGCAGAAGTCCATAAAGCACCAGAAAATATACTGAACATGAACCTGTCTCCTCAGTTTACAACATTGCTCACAGGAGATGTAGATTTTAGGACCTACTGTGGAAAAACCTGTCTGGCATTTTGATTTCTGGTTGTAAAATACAGGAGTGAATTGGTATAGTAAATGATTGAAAGATGTGTTTATCAAACTTGGGACCAAGTGGGTTGAGTATATAGTACCTCAACGGACAGAATTTTTCTGAAGAGCCATGCAATACTGTCTTCTCTTAGCAAATCGAATTTTCTTGTTTAATTTTTGTCTCGAGTTTCTCCCTAATATGATTCTGCTCACTTTAATGTATTCACATAATCTCCCCCTGGTTGTATGTAGTTCTAAAGGGCCTTAAAAATGAAGACTGTTTAGGAAACTAACATTATTCTGTTTCTGTACTATGTATTTTAAACAAATGAAAGAACAATAAACAACATGTATATTAAAGCTCCTGTAAGGAGTTTCTTGACATCACTTAAATGGATTCAGATTATATTTATGCCTTTTTATGATATACAGAAGCAAACAAGACCATCAGAGACAAGACTGACCATTTCATTTAGTAGTTTTTAATGCCTGAAAGTGGTGCAGCAAAGATAAGATTAGAAGAACTTTATCTATCCCTGATGGGAAATTCCATAGAGCTTTATTTATCCCCTGAGGGAATTTTTTTTTTTTTCCAAATTCAGATGGGGTAAGTGTCAGCCATGCAGCATAAGTCATGCCTTCTTAGATTTTTTTCCAGAAAACATGACTCCAGCATGTAAAGGACAAGATCAGATAACTCTGCTTTTTAAATAAGGGGGAAACAAAATGGACAAAGACCTAAAGTTCCTTACAGGAGCTTTGAACTTTTTACAAAAAACATTAAAAATAGGTTAAAAAAATTAGAATGGAGAGATGTACTTTGTGCAAGATACAAGTGGGTGCAAAATCTAATGGATATATAAATATGAATATAAATGAGATAGTTTTATTGAAAATCTCATCCTGCTGACTTTTAATAGTCATATTGATAATTTGTAGTGAATGTTTTGTGCAGGAAATTATAAAAACAGGGCTGGTTTTTCACCCTCTTTCATCAGTTTTGGGCATAGACTGTATATAGAATGGACGCCGTCTGCCTCCTTGCTGGGTGAAGCCACTCCGCGAACAGCACCCTCTGGTGACAGGCTGCAGTTTAGGTCATAAATCCTGCCTCCACCAACAAAGCTTATGGGGCTGTGGACAAACTTTTGAAATTTATTACACAGAACATACATTTTTCTCCCCCCTGCTTGTGATGTTGACATGTAGTTATTGTAAGACTGGTTTGCACTCAAGTCCTCTTTTTTTCTTTACAGCTCCTTTTTTAAAAAGTTATTAGGAGGTTCATGTTTTCTATGATTGACACCTGATACAGCCTATGGTCATACAAGGATTGCGAAGCTCACCTGTGGGGTACACTGTTTGAGCCAAGCGTCATCACAACGACTCTCGGTGACTCTCTGGGTCGCACAATGCTACTACGCAAGGGGTGGAGCACGTAAAACGCTACTGTGCAATGTTGGTTTCAGGAAATACAGAAAAAATGCGAAACTACCAAGAGCTTTTCGGCTTCAAATCCATAAATTGGTGGAAGGTGGAACCAAGTTGTCCATAGTATATACAGCCTTTGGTTTCAGGCTTTAGAAATTACAATATAAAAATGCTCAATTTGCTGTTGGCCTTGTTTGCTTTTGGATATCATAAAAAGCCTTTAGTATGAATTTCATTCTTTTAAATTGATATCAAAAACCTCATACTGGAGTTTGAAGCTTTGATAAAATTATTAAAAAACACCACAAATATGCGTACTCCATAATCTGGGAAAAAAGAACTAATTAGGTAAAGTCTACTTAAAGCTCCTGTATCTGGCAATGAATATATATCAACATTTCTTATGAATGAATATCTTTGCATGTATGTAGCCTTTACGACTTGCCTTTACAGACATTGTGTTGTAAATTTATTCCAATTCAACTAAATAAGAATGCAGAATAAATAAATTAGCATATCCGAGGTGGTAAGTGCTAATGCAGCTTTTTATTCAGCATTTATACGATATATATAAGTAGTAGTATCTAACATGCCTAATGAGTGTCATCCCTCCCACCCAGATAATCCAGTCCGGAGCTGCGTCCGAATTGCCAAGTAGTAGTCGAAGTAGTAGTCGAAGTAGTATCTAGCATGTCCGAATTGGCCACCGGAGCGAGTAGCATGCTACTTCAGATACTACTTCAGATGCTAGACACGCCCACATTGTAGGTTGGTCTCGGTGCATCCTACGGGCATGCTACTGACCCAAAATGCACCGCGGGCTTCTTCTTCGTCCTCTTAAAAGTTGTAGAAGCGCATGTGATGCTAGCGCCACCAGCTGCTCTGCCTATTTAAAAGTGTCGCGAACGCCGGCTGGCCACAGCAGCGCGCACCATGTCGGAGCAGCAGCAGCAGCAGCAGGCGGGACCGCAGCAGTACAGATGTAAGTTTCATGTAACTTCACACACTGTCCTAAAAAATGTCCGGTTGTATCTCTTTGTCATGTCATGGTGTCATATTTGCCCAAGTAATCATTTTATGAGCAAGTGGCGACATCATGGAGGTAAAGCTCACTTATTCCATCATTAAACTGCACAGCTGCAGTACTACAGCCAGGCCCGCAGATGAGGGGCTTCAGTTACCACTGTCTGCACGGGCGCAGTACCTACTCTCTGCCTGCGGGGTCGTCTTTCCCCACCGCTCGTCTAGTGTGTCCGAATTGGGCCAACGTATTTAGTATGTAGGAGTAGGATCTAGCAGTAGCACGTAGCAGTAGCATGTAGTATCCGAGCGGGCAGTTCGGACGCAGCATGGGACTGTGACCTCAGGCTGACGTGCCGCTCCAGCCCAGCCCATCCGGCGCAGCACCGCCGCTGTGTCCTCCTGCCTGCCTGCAGTCTGTACGGAGGGAGCGATACTTCCATACGTCAAGGACTAGCAGCACACCCGCACGGTTATCCACCGCTACATATGCTTTTTATCGAAAATAGACGCAATGTCGATCAACTCCGACAAGGTGAGTGCATTTACATGCTGTTGAAGTGTGTTGATTTGATAGGAGATGGGTGAGAAAACACAGAGGAAGGAGGACACAACGTTCGGTTGTTGAGCATCGCGTCGGAGGCTGGAAAAAGATGCCTCAGTTAATCATAACGGGGGAGGCGCAACCACGGCTTTCAAACGATATTTTACACATTTTAATGTCTTGTCGTCAACAAACAAACTGTTCTTTTCGTCAAAGGTGGGTTTATTTCATGACATGACTGTGTATGTGCGTATATTTATTTTTATTGCAGCGGCACAAAGGGAGCAAAGGAGAGGAATGTAACGGTCAGACACAGCGGTGTATCATCGTGTAACGTTATGCCGTTGTAACTGATTTTGATGTGGGATACAAACATTGTTTTACATGATATAAACATGTGTTATTTAGTATATCGAGTTAGAGGGGCTTCTTATGGTCGCACCAGCGGCCTGCACCCTACATGTTCTCACCATATTGACCCGATATTGCTAGAAACAACAGCAATCATAGTCAAGGGGAGAAGAGCACACACATCTGACTTCCGTTGAAGTCTTACAAAATAAAAGCCTATGGTTGCCTTAGAAACCGCTCAAGTGACACAGCAATGCTCATTATTTAGAACGGATGGATAACTCATTTTCCATTACTTACAACAACAAAATGATCAAATTATGATTTCAATTTTGCAATTTTGTACAGTAACCTCAACACAAAATGTAAAATAGATCAAATTAATGAGTTTAATAATAATAAAAAATCTAAATATAAGATCTGCAGTATATAAATGGGGACAAGAGTTTAAGTGTTTGACAAATAGAACTTTAGTTCAATGCCTAAAATCTATACTTCTTTTGGCCTTGGTCCTTCCCGAGCTAAGATTTGTTATACTGTCAGGTTCCAGACAAAGTTATTGATAATATTCTGAAGAACCTGATTGGTTGATACTATGCTGTAAACAAGGTAAGGTATTGACAAATTCAAACCATGTTATTGTTGGTTCCCCCCTGTATGCATATTAGTTTTTGCTTGTCTTTGCCATTAGTTGTCATTAGTAAGATCTGGCTTCTGTGCTGTCGGTTGGAAAAGTAAGGCAATTTGAATTGCTATCAGTGCACTGGGCTTATACCAACACTGTTTTCACTATATAATGACTCGATTGGTTATCCGATTGGTTGTTCTACTGGGAAGTTAATCAGGAGATTTATTACCAATGTCAACAACTATTGAAATTACAGACCAGGCAACTGCTTACAGAGGATGTTTTGTCTGGATAAAATTGTCAGTTCAATTAATAATGTGAAAGAATCAGTCTGAAGTGTGCACTTTGGCCTGAAATTCAGTAAACATTTGAAAGCGTTTGTTGTGCTACAACTATCTTGGCTTTTATTTTGGAGACAGACTAGCAGTACTTCCTAACACATTTAAGTAACTTTATGTTGGTTGTTGTCTTTAGGGAACGCGAATCTATATGACGGGGACACAGATGGGAATAGTGGCCTTAACAGCAATAATAATGTTGTGTCATGCAGACAGCACTACCCTGCAGTATTTGTGCTATTAATGAATTAATATTACAAATCTGATCTGTCATGTTAGAGCCAATCACTACAGGGACTACAGTGATCAGTTGTCATCTTCCCAGGATGTACAAGTACAAAGTGTTTTTTAAGCAGGGGGCTTTGATGATTTCTGTATTTATCTATCTTACCAACTCTTTTTTTGTAGTGTCCTGTTATTTGATTCTGTATGGCGTGCCTTGTGTCTCACTGGACGTCAAACGCACAGAATCCTTGTTTGTACCATGTAAAGGTTAACAATAGAGGTGGTCCAATTACTTAACCGGTCCTGTGCTGTGAGAGAAACTTAATCTCAGGAGGAGAGGAGAGCACAGGAGACTTAAATACATGTTTATCCTGCTGTTACATAAGCGTATTTTTCTGCCTTGCTCTGTGGCCTCCAGAATTTGAGTCAGACTTTTTATATAGTGCGAAGACTTTGGCACCCTCCTGTACATAAAGAGTAAAATGATGGGCCAGATTTGCAGCTGTCATCATAGAAAAGGACTTTCCAGTGTTTGTGTTTTGTTGCTTTGTAACTGCAGGCTAAGTTGTAGGAAATATTAGTTGTACAAAAATCTGTATTGAAGTACAGGTGCAACTCCAACTATAACCACACTTTACTGTACAATAGGGTCATCCTTCATATTTAAGGAAACCTGTGTTTAAAGCCGAGACAAAAGAAAATGCTTGAATTAAGATTTTTAATGTCATATTTTGATGCTACTTAAGAACCATGAAGTAATGCAGTTCAACTTTAGTGCTTTCATGAAGCCATAACTAGTGAAGATATTCATTTATTGCTACTATACCATGAAGTAAAGACTGTTCCAAAGAAAATAAATGTATGTATTTAATTAAGAATCCCAACAATACATGTTCTCTGGGGTAGATTCTCTGCACATAAAAATGACCGATAGATCTGTTGTAAAATTGGTGAGTCATAATACTGATGTTAGAGTCTTTTTTTTTTAATGTTTTCTTTCCCTGTAACCTTTCCAGTCCAGCAGAAATTCACTGAAGTCACTGATTAAACGCAGTAAGAGATCAAGAGAGATTTGTACATCAGTAAGCTTAGAGGGATATTTCAGGTCACGATATTGCTCCAAATCAACAACAAACTCTGACCTACCTTTCAAACTTTAGGATCCCCCACTGCTTTTTTTTTTTTTTTTGATAATAAATAATGGATGTGTCAGCAGAATTGTAGCTGTCGGATCAGATTACGTTTCTAGAGCTAACATCACAGCCACTAAATCTCAAAAATACATTCCTGTGTTCAGGCACTGACTTGTGTTCCTGAAAATTGAAGTGATCCTTGTTAAATACACTTGAAGTCCCACCTTTAATGCTTTACAGTCTCTGATTGTGTCCACTTAAATGTGAGGTTCTGGGCAGACAGAAGCAGCAGAATGAGTACTTACTCTGAGAAACGTTGCTTTACTTAAGCACTTTTAAGTTGGGATTGTGTGTAAAACATAATAGAACCAGGAGGAACAAGCATCTAAGATTTCCAAGAAGAATGTCAAATTCTCAGTCCTCAGATGACAGGACAGTTTTTCCCTTCACTGAGGTGAAGGACCTGCTGGGACCCAAAGCAAGGGGATATGGTGACAAACTTAATCCACAGACTGTGGTTTTTGGAAGTTATTTTGAAGCCATGCCGTGATTTCCACTACAGAGTCTTTTCTCTTTTTAAGAGGGCCCAAAGATCATAGCCATCCATTGTTGGTTTTCAGCGTGGTCTTTTCTTTACAGAGTTCTCCAGATTTTCAGGACCCTCTAATGATACCATGTACTGTAGCTGATGAAATATTGTAATGCTGAAATGATGGAGCTGTTTGCTCACGCAGTCTCTCAGACAGTGTTGAACTTCTTCCCATCTTTTCTCCTGAAAGACTCGGCCCCCCTGGAAAACTTTTTTTGACCTAATCATGTTACTAACTTGCAAATTAACCTAATTAGACGAGAATGTTCTTCTCTTTTAGGTACTCTTTTAGTGTTATACTTATGACAGCTCCTCAACTTTTTGGTATTAGAGTAAAATAGTGTGAAGCTGCAGGTCTGTGTGCAAGACTGAGACTAAATTAGTATTTCACCTTTATGTGACAGGTATTTTCTTAATTATTCAATGTTGGACCAATTCTTTTACTTTTTAGATTGATTAAATGGAAAGATTAAAATAATTTTTTTCTTAAATTCCTGGAATGAAAGTTTCAAAATTGCTTGTTTCATCTGTCAAAAACTCAATTTTGCACATTTAAGACTGTGAAACAAATGTATTATTTTCCAGTAAATATCCAGCGATTACTGTCAGTAATCCCTCTGCTGAGGGATTTCTGTTCACTCTTAGCAAATGTAATTTGCAGCATCCTATTTCTTTATTTTTTACTTTTAATACTATACTGTAATGAGGCCAGTGCTGCATCTGTCTGCATCACCAGTCAGTGTGTGAGGAGACCTGTGAAGACCCTCTTCATCGTGGTCATGCATACGTTTTGAAAACCACTACTGGTTCAATGCTTCTGCAGACATTCTGTCTGTTCTGAGTTCAGCTGCTCTTCCCAATCCTGGAATGTGTCGCTCACTGTTACATAACCGAGGGCCTGTGGAGGCCGGATGTGAATAGTTTCTCTGTATGTGTGTGTATTTGCATGTGTGTGTTTGATATGTGTCAGTGTGCGCAGTGATTAAATCTCTGCTGTGACTCTGCCAGGGTTGTAGATATTGTGCGGGTCCTGTTGTGCTTTATCTAGTTTCCCTGAATAGACTTTGTCAACTCTGTTATCTGCAGCTGCACTCAGTGAAAAAAATCTCACCAAATGCTTTGTTTGGCTTGATTTTGAAGTTTTTCCAACGTGGAAGATAACATTTCCACAACACAATTATTTTGGGAACTTTTCAAGGCCTGCCAGCATACTGAAAGGCTTTTTTTGTCTCGAATCCCTATTATTGAGGGACTTGAAACCCAAAGAAACAAGTGTGCTACACAGTGTGTGCTTGTGTAACTCTGAGCTTTGATGCTCATGTTCCCACTTATCCTGTTCCTGCTGAACATACCTGTCACCTCGACCTAAATACCTAAGTCAAAAAGTGTATTTTCAGATCAGAGTACCTATCAGGATAGGACATGGACATTTGATATACTGTCAATGTCCTACACTTGCTCTCAAGTTAGCTTTGTTGACTTTTGAGCAGGGTTTTGTCCTCAGGCAACAGCCCACATTTTAACTGAAACTCCTCTTCCTGAAGAGTATACTGGCATTTTTTTTCTCTTCTTTTCACAGGTATAGTTAACTTTGAAGAATATGAATCAGAATGACTAATCTATGCTTAAGGCTGCTAAATGCAACTGCTGTGCTTGCTCGTGGCTTGGATATGCTTTAGATGTTGATGTGTAACACACCTTTCGGGCAGGTTACACTTAAGAAAGGTTCTTGGGGTTCCTCAGGGTACCTATTTGGGTCCTTTTCTGTTCTCAATGTTGTTGATTTCTTAGTGTTGTTTTGCTTTTAGCAGTATGGCCTGTAGTGCAGCAATAAAACATTTCAAAAATCAGGTTAAGCACATAAAGCTTTTGTACTTTAAACTAATTTACCTAATTCTTTTACTTTGAGAAACAAACAAATATGTTTTTGTAGAGGTGCAGTCTTCCAAATCTGTCAAAATGATGTGTTGGATCATTTGAAAATGTGTAATATGTTACAACCACACCCTCTAAAACAATCTAAAAAACAAAACAAGAAATCAGTCACAGACATTAGTTGCATTGCTAGATAATAAACTTGATGAAAAGATCTTTTGACTACCAAATTTCTGCCTGTACTGCTCGTATGTTTGTGCTTCCTCTATTCTATCTTTCTCCTGCAGCTGAGTTTGTGAATTAAGAGTCAAAGTCTCAGAACTCAACCATAAATATGTGTTTGTGAATTCAAGATAAAAAAAATGCTGCATGCTGAATGTGCAGCGGCATCTTTAGAGCTTTTCCTCTCCTGCTTGTTATGGCGGTTCAGTTCTTTCCATGGCTCTTGGCCTGCAATGCTTCACTGATTAAAAGGCACCCAGACAACTGTTTGGGGAGCTGTGTGTGTGTGTGTGTGTGTGTGTGTGTGTGTGTGTGTGTGTGTGTGTGTGTGTGTGTGTGTGTGTGTGTGTGTGTGTGTGTGTGTGTGTGTGCAGTAGATGGATGTTGCCCGGTCTTGCTCATTCGCCTGACTGTGGCAGAGCACTGGGAGACATCATCAATAAACTGTTGACATTTTCACTGTGGTGTTGTTTTGAATTGAACTACAGCCTTTTAATTAGGTAATGACTGGTAGTTCAGTGACCAAGTGAGGGTTGAAATGTACACCAGGAGAGACTCTGTACCTTTGAAGCACTTGCATTAAAGCCCAGAACAACTTACAATAAAGTTTATTAGAATTAGATGACACAAACGTGTAAATCCTCCAAGCCTCAAGCTGAGCGGCGCTGGATGCATCAGGGGTTTTTTAATTATCAAACTCCACTGACTCTGATTATCTGTTGCCTCTGGAGGTCCAGAGTTACTGGCAGGAGCATTCAGCATGATGAAGGAATTGACACTCTGTTTTCAAGAAGTGAAAGCACAACTCACAAGATAGAATTTTGTAATGGCAAACATTCAAACTTAAGGTCTATTGCGGTATTGGTTAGATTTTGAGTTATTGTTTAAGACATTTGCTATGTCAATGTTGGCAAAATAATGCTCTTGATGAGAGTATGTAATTCCGTATGGAAAGTTGATTCTCTGTTGTGATGGGCATTTTTGCCTCTTTATTGTCCAAACTAAGAAACTTCTGACTAAATAAAAAGTTAATGAATGTGTGCATGGATTGGTCAGGTTACAATGAGAGCACCCTTTGCTGGATCATATGGCAAGCTACTTAAGACGGCCCGATGCGCTGGTTTACTGTGCGTTTCAGCAGCTCATCACAGTCTGAATGTGAAATTTTCCTCCAAATAAAGGCTTGAATTTTTAATAAAAAGCCACAGCCCTGGTATACAATTAGTGGATATCTACCTACAGTTTCACAGCATATATCTGTCCTTTTGCAGATGTAAACATGACCAAGTGTTGTGTATCAGATGCCTGTGAAAAAGAAAAACACAATTGAAGTGCCACAGATTGGTTCCCCTAGGTTTCGTAACCCATGATTATTAGTGGAAGAAAACCTGTCAGTGAGTCTGCCCATTTTGATAAATGGGTAAGCAGACATGTCTACTGTTACAATAGAGTGATAGACTGTAGGTTATTTTCTACAATTTTGAGACCACTTTTTCTTTTTTAATGTTGCTAATGATTTGGAGGATCATTAAAGAATCAGTATCCAGATCAAGTAAATCAAACATACCCAGCCCTCGCTAGCTATGATGCATGGAGTTGCTCTGAAGATAGTGGGGAAATGTTGTCATCAAACGGCATATATTACAGAAATGAAAGGCTTCAGGCCCTGGCAAAATTAGTCTTGACCGTTCACTCCATCTCCAATCTGCTCTAGGTGGGCTGGCCCATCTGGCGTTTTCCAGAATTGCCAGATTGCAGTTAGAGCGTGGCAGAAAAGCAGAAAATGACAAATTATTTCACTTTGAAGTGGACTTTTCTGCATGGAGAATGCCTGTCTGAGGTAATTATATCTGATTTGAACCAAACCTGTGATGAGAACATGGCAGGGTTTACACTCTTGTTTAAACCTTGTGGTTGTTAAAAGACTTGAAAATATCATAGCACCTTGTAAATAATCTCTTCAAGGTGTAGAAATAATGTTTGGAACACGAGTAAAGTATTTCTTACCACCTCAAAGCGACCTGGGTGTGAAATCAGCCATGGCCTCCTACACTGTAAGCAGTGTGGGATTGAGAGGCACTCTGCCTGTAACCATCTGCAGTCCATCTTGGTCAGATATTTGTGCATTCGACAGCAGAATGGGAGGAGACTGAGGAGAAATAGAAGATGAAATGAGAGAGGAAGACGATCTTAGAGGCAGAGGTGTTCACAGCAGAGATGTATTAGACTGCCGTGGTCACAGAGGATAGGGGAGAAGCAGGGAGAGTAAGGAGCAGGGATTTAGTGAAGCCGAGGGGGGATGAGAAAGGGGGGAGTATTATGGATTGAAAGAAGGCTGGGGAGAGAATAAGAGGTTCTGGAAACTGACCAGAGAGAAAGACTCAGTCAGCAGAGAGAGAGTGAGAAAGAGGAGGATAGAGGATGAGAGCTGCAGCTTTTGAAACAAGATATTTCCCTGTAATGTTTTGTATTGACAGCCCAGATTGCAGTTGTGTTAAATTATCCTTAAATAATTCCTGTCAGGAAATTTCTCATGCTTGGTAGCTAAAACACATGAAATGCAATACTTTGATTTATTTGTAACGGAGCCAAATAAGCAGTATTTCACCAACGCGCTTCAGCTGAATGAAGTAATTTATGATAAAACCCAGGCTCCCCACATTTTCAGATGCACGAGTTGGTCAGCTATTGGGTTCCTCGGTTGATATGAATCAATATGCCACTTATGTGATGATCAGATAATTGTATTCCATATTCATTCAAACTATGGGGACAAACATTTTGCAGATAGAGGTGTCATGCTTTACCCCATGAAAGAACGAGAAAACCATAATCTTTGGTTGGCCAAAACTTAACGAGTTCCATTAAAAGGCAGCATCACTTTCAATCAGCCTAAAAACAGGCCAACAGTCTTGCAGAGCTAGGGTTTTAGCCTCCTGGCAAACAGCTCCAATGCTTTAATGGTCATCCAACCAAGCCTTACCTTTAATTATGCAAATTTACAGTATACTGTCAAACTCAGTTTATCATGATGGATAATTTATGGAAAATCTCAGCCCTGCACAGTGGGTATATCCACTGCACACCTGCACTGGCTCACTTTTTTTGACTTGAGTGGTTGCAGCTTGGGCAAGACATATTGTGAAATTGTGAACAATTTCTAACAGCTGAGTCCTCACTGGCACCCCAGTGCTCAGGTGCACAATAATCCTTTTCCTCTCTGGCTTTGACATGGCAGAGTTGGAAAATCAATAAAACACAGCTGTAAACCGGATGATGGTGGTGCATGCTGCTGTAGCTTACAGGGACACCAGTAGAATAGCCATCATTCATGTTATTTGAAGCATGTGATAAGCTACATATCTGCTATAAAGACAACCTATTGGTCAAAGAGAGTTTTTTTTTTTTAGTGTGGCTCATTTGACCAAGTGTCCATTTTTTTATGCTTGGGACTTTGTGAAAGTAGAAATTTTACCTGTATTTTTGATTTGCCAAAAGGTTACATGCTCCCTCTGGAGGATTTCCAGATGGTTTTGATGAAACTCAGAGAAAGGCTGAGTCACATTTTAATAATAATAATTCATTTTATTTGTAAAGTACATAAAACCCAAGGTAATAAAACAAAGACATAAAAACAGGAGAAATAAAATGAATAAAACAGTTAAATACTAAAGGCAATTTTACAGAAGTGAGTTTTTAAAAGGGATTTGAAAGTAGTGGGGTCAGGGCAGTGTCTGATGGAGGGTGGTAGGGAGTTCCACAGGGTAGGGGCAGCTGTGGAGAATGCCCGTTCCCCCCAGGTTTGGTGCTTGGGTCGTGACTTTGGGGTGAGGAGATGGGCAGAGGAGGATCGGAGGTTACAGGGGGGTGCATGAGGCTGGAGCAGGTCGGTGAGATAAGGGGGGGCTTGATGATGAAGGGCTTTGTGGGGAGAAGGAGAATCTTGAACGTGATGTTGCTTGATGGAGAGCCAGTGTAGACAGAGGAGGACAGGGGTGATGGATTTGGGGCCGATGATTATCATGTCAGATTTGTCACAGTTTAGTTGAAGGTAGTTGTTGGTCATCCAGGTCTTTATTTCAGAGAGGCAGTTGGAGAGGGTGGATGGGGTGATGGATTCAGTGGAAGTTTAAAGTTGGACATTGTCAGCGTAACAGTGAAATCGGAGACCGTGATGACAGATGATATTTCCAAGAGGGACGATGATTACAAAGCTTTCTCTACAGTATCAGAGCAAAATAATTGGCGTGTTCAATATACAGTCAGCATTAGACGTTACTTTTTGTTTTTTATTTGTAACAATTGTGGCACCTACTCAACTGGGGTTGCAAGCTGCAGCTCTATAGAGCGACACCTGCAAAATAGGCAATTTAAGCTGTACTGATTTCACACTTGACATACATCATACTCACAATCACCTGATAAATGTATCCTCCTAACTTAGCAGTTTTTTTCACCTGCACTTGTTGTTTTCGCTCTGCTTCTGCCACTACTGCTTCCAACCTTCAGCCTCACCACCACAGCCTCTACCTGTGAAACTATTTTGAGTACAATCCAGAGTTTTTTAGTACTTGAAATGGTTTCCAGTAGAGTTCCTGTAAAACATATTGCAGCACAAATCAAAAGCTATCATAAGGGAACATTTTGGAACAATTTATGAAGATTTATATTGAAACTTAAGCCTATCAGCTGCATGTCTGTGGTTTGCATAACAAGGACTCAGCTGCAGCCTGCCTCGTTCCTCCTGCTGTTGCTGGATGTCAGCTAAACACTTAATACCTGTCAGAGGTGGCTGCACGCTAACAGTATTATGTAAGCACCTTTGAGTTCTTCAAGTTCAGCCAGAGAGAGAGAGAGAGGAGAGGACGAAAACTGTCTGTAAGCCTTCTTGAAAGCTGGGATCAAGGTCAGGTGGTAATCTTGAGCTCCCTCAGAATACACAGGGTGTTAATGGGGAGGGGAAGTTGATGCTTTGTGTAGCATTGTTTGAGTAAATTAGGTTGAAGTGTGATATTTTTAGGTGATGTGTTGGCATTATCACCAGATAGGAAAAGTCAATAGAGTATTGTGGTCCAGACTTGCTTGCTTGTTTCAGCCTTTTAGTTTTCTGCTGGTCCTCTTAGGCTGAACAGGTTGTCTGACTGAGATTTAACGAGCAAGAAAAAAACATTTCCTTTGGTTCATTTTGCACTTGAACAACAATAATCACCTCTTTTTTGTGGTTTAAAGGCAATCATTAGACTTTCTACCAAAGCAGAAGCAGAACCTCTTAATGTGAGAATATGAGGAGCAGCACAGAGGTCAGTGGAGGAGAGCGATCAATGTTGTAATTTCACTAATGACTCCACATCAGTGTTTTCATTTATGGATGTTGATCAAGCACTTTTAAAGAAACCATTTCATTAAACTTGGTGCTTTCCAGCTTAAGCAGTGATGCTTCACAGGTGCGCCAGTACTTTTGGCCTGTAAGGACGGCAGAGGGATGGGAGTATTCCTTTTTATACGATCGATAGACTTCAAATCGCCCGCCTGTATCTCACAGCAGCTTAACTTTAATGCTTTTAAATGCACACAAAACAACTGCAATATTAACAAAACATAGTGTTGAAAATAAAAGGTAAGAGTTAAGATAGAATATCAGAGTAATGTCTTAAAACTTGTGAGAAACATAGACTGAAGAAACCTACTTTCAAGACTCGTCTGTTTATGGTACTACTTCAGATTACTGACTTCCTTACAGGGTTTATTTGGTCTCCTCATTGTCAGCATGAATCAGTGCCTAGCTTGTGCTATCATTATGAAGGGTAAAGCTGGTGAGCAGGTAGTTGGAAATACTCATTTATTTTTGCACCGAGGCTGCAGAGTGCTGAAACGCTGAGCACAATAAAGAGCCAATAGACACATCAATGCTGCCACTTGTACATAGAATATTGCACTTCGTGACACTCTCCCAACATGATGGAGGACAAAGCAATTTAGACTTACATTTTGACGAGAGTGTTTGCACATTAAACAACAACAGCATGTAAACAGGAGAGTGCAGACGCCTCTGTTCTTGTCTTTAAAATGATTCTCCTTCAACCTCTGATGTTTTATTCATCCTTTTATGTGTTGCTCCTCCAGGGTTTGCAGCAGTGGCAAGATAAACGTCCTCACCCCTGCCTGCCTGCTCGCGGTGGATTTTCCAGAAAATTTCCGGCTGCCTTCTCACATTAGCTCACTTTAACTTTGAAAATTTTAACAGGCAATAGGACAAAGTCAGGGTGAAGTCAGGGTGAAGATGTTGGCGGTTTTTGTTCACACATACAGCTCACTCTGAAAATTTTGAGAAATTTGTAGGTGTTTTTTGCACGTGTAAATACAGCTTAAGTTAGAATGATAATGATGAAAACAGAGTTGTGTTTGGGTATGGTGAAATTATTTTTTATGACACAGCACATTTTTACAGTTTTTTCTTTTTTTGAACCTGTTGACGGACTGATTTGACAGGCTTTCCGCTGTTTGGCTGGCTGATGTAGCAAGGAAATCCCCATGCTGAATCCATGATTCAGTATACCCCTGCCACTCAAACATGTCTTGCTTGTTTCCGATTTTTCTCCTCAGCTCATCAGTCTACATGCTTTGATTCGCTTGTATGACAAAGAAGATCATCTTAACAAATGATGTGATGTGTTATGATGCGTGTTTGGGGTGTGAGATGAACACGAAATCCAACAAAACCTTCGAGGTTGCACGGTTCCAGTGCTGGCTCTATTTTAGCTCTCCTCATTTTTTTGTCAGGCTTCGTTTGACACCGCTGCGAGATGGAGAATGTGCACACCAAACAAAAGCACTTTTCATTCAGTTCACACACACACACACACGCACACAAAGCAGTGAGCCTGTAATTTAAAATCCAGACAGTTGCAGACAGCTCCCCTGGTGAAGGAAACAAGAGAGACAAGAGAGTTGAACAGAGGACAAATGAGAAAATAAGTCCTCAGTAACAGCACTAAATCAACCAAAACTATGACCAGCAGTCTTGTAAAGCTAATAAATAAGAACAAACGATTAAATGAACAGCAGATAGAGGAGGGATCTTAAACCGGCTTTTAGATGGTTGAGCCAGATCATACAGCCTCTGTGGGTTTGTTACATGAATACGAAACGACACGATACAACATGATACGCTACGATACTACATGACAGGATATGATACGATGGAATACAATGGGATGTGATGTGATGTGGCTCGGTACATGGCAGTATACGACACAATATGATGTGATGCAATACAATGTGATGGTTGAGTGTTTTCCCTGGTTGCTGGTTGTTGTATTTGCACACTTGTTAGAAAAATCTGACAGACAGGCTGGCCACAGGTGCTACAAATCAAGGATCGACCAATGGTCGGCACGGCTGGTAATATCGGCCGTTTTTTTCCACCAATAGCCGAAATTAGTTTATTTTGAAACATGCTCGTTCGGCTCTTACACAGCCGCTTCTCTCTTGGCTGTATAACAATGTCCCGCCTTCAGTCCCCACTGATTGGCTACACAGAGAGCCAATCAACACTCAAGCTTCTAGTTAGTTAACAGTTAGAGTTCATCATAAATGCTGTTATTAGATCCCTGCACTTTTTTTTTTTGTTCAGACAATAAAACAATTGTTTGAACCTTTTCAGCAAAGGTTAAGGTTTTTTATCACAAATGTTTACAGTGTAAAAAACAAACAAACAGTGTACTGTGTTCAGTCTAAACCCAGGTGTGTTATCTAAAATTTTGACTCCAAAATATACATTTTTACTGCAAATGAATATCGTTTCTAAATATTGGTTATTGGTTTCCTTGATTACTAATAACTAGTATCTGTATCGACTCTAAAAAAATCATATCAGTCAATCCTTTCTACAAATATTATACCAGACTTACAGTAACACCTTGCTTCTCCAGCACTGTGTGCAAGTAGTGTAAAAGGAAACATTAAACATAAATGTTGCAACAATCAGCAAGACTTTTCTCAGTCTCAGTACCCTGTCAAAAAAATAAGTTAGCCACACACTAAAGCACATCCTGCCTTTCTGGTCGTGTTTTCCTCTTAATAGGAACATGCTTCTGGAGTTCTCCTTCTCATGTTGCTGCAGTAATGTGTCAAAGAAATCCAACAGATGGTAGAAGACATGATGTAATTTGTGGCCTACAGTAACGCCTCTCTCCTCCCTCTCCCCTGAGTTACAGTAACACATATTAGCCATGCTTGACAATTACATGTATCAACAAAGAGCCAAGAAAGAGCCAATACAGTATAGCCCACAAGTTGATTTATGACTTACATTTGTAGCTGGGGTGTTTGTGCTCTGTGTTGTATTCAGTGAGGGATGGTGTAGAGTAAAGTAGGTTGATTTTGAGTTATGACGGTAGAAATCTCCACATTGAGGAAAACAAAGTGTTTAGTCAACAGCGTTGTCAACCGCACAAAAGTAAATTAGGATACAGATTTGACTTTCTGGCCCAGTTCTCTTCTCCTCTACACAAAGAGGCCGTAGTATTTTCTGTTATAATACACAAATACACACAATAGCATTCGTTCAATAGGACTCTCGTTGTGAGTGTGGACTACATCCATCATCATGACTGCCGTCTCCTCTGGCTGTGTCTATCTCTGTCCGAGCAGGGTGTGCCTCACGCGGATGTCCTCCTTCCCGGCTCGGTCTTATTCCTGGAAGCACCACCAGGGTTATATAAGAGGGAGGATGTCCTTTGTTATAGCAGTGCTTTCCTCTTTCTCCAAGTGTGTGTTTGTGTGTGTTTTTAAGTAGGTCAATTTCCCACCCGGCTCCCCAAAACGATGACATACAGTAGTGTGGGTTTTTCCAAAGAACCCAGTGAGGATGTGTTTGTGGAGAAAAATCAAAGCTAATTGGCTCTTACAAGAACCCTCAAGGAATCCGCAATTATCAGAGTATCGACAAACCCCTGCGGTATCTTTCTCCTTTCTCTTTTCCTCTCTTTCTCTGAGTTTGAAGCAGCAAACAAACCAAATCTGGAGACTCAACAAGACCAAAGAAGGGAGCAGAAAAAGGATATTTGCGGGTATTTATGGTTTTAAATGAGACATCTTACAACTCTGAGCCGAAAAGGCTACTAAAAACCAAACAATTTACAAGTAAGGTCAAACCAGACCTTAAACCACCAGGCCATCTGCACCCCAACAAAAACACATTTTAGTGCTTGAATAATCCTAACCAGCTTTTATGTGAACTCCTTCACAAATTTTGCTAGATTTTTAAAACTTGTTTCTATAATAACCTGTATGACTGTCCCTGTAACAGCTACAGCCCTATTTACCACAGCTGCTCTTTTTCAGTCAGCATCTGTCCTCTATAGCCTTCAGTAATTCTTCCACCATATGAGCATCGGTCTAAGTCTTGTGCATCACACTAACTAACACCTTCTTTTTGGCTTTGAAAGCAGCTCCTTTTCAGCTCCTATTAGCCTCAGTCTGACATCCATCGTCTTCCTCTGGTGTTATGCAGCTGTAAATTCATCTTCTTCTTTAGTCAGTGAACTTCTCTTAAGATTCTCCTCATGTATGTCATAAGTGCTACCTCATGGAGTCATTAAGTATCGACTTGGTGGGTCACTTTGACAGGGAACTCCACTTAGAGCACCATATTCTTTAAATCTAAGTATGCCATTTACCCACAGCACATTGTTTTGTACTGATCAGGACAGTGATTTATGACGGTATCGGTATTTTGTCTCACCCCTGGTCACAGTATTGACTTTAAAGCAGCTACATACCTCCATCAGGACTGAGGAAGGCTGCTGTCAGAGTAAGTTAAAGTGTATAATGCAAACTTGTAGCATGTTGCTCACAAAGGAGAAAGCCTGAATCCTGCAAACACCAGCAATCAGTGAGGGAGTAAATTGAAGGTGAACCATGTGGAGAAATAATCTTGAAAACAGAGTATGAGTAAAACAGTGCAGTTACCAAGTGAAACGTATTCTAGTCTCTGTCTATTAACTGACATCAGAATGGCATAAAAAGCATCAACATTTCTTGCAAGAGAGACTAAAAGTAATAATAAATCTGCAGACTTTCATATCTATCTCTATTAGAGAGAGCAGCAGAGACTGGTTGCTTTAACTGCTCTGGGAAAAAAAAACACCTCCAAGTGTGAGGACTGGCAAAACTCCTCAATCTCAGACTGAAGGCATTTCAGTCATCAGACTGGTTATCATGGTTACCCCAGTTTGTTTTTTGTGCATTCATCCTTTTTCCTCTCGGGATTCTTTCTCTGCTTGTTTTTCACATGCCGTCTCTCTCACAGCGTCCTCCTCCTCCCTCCCTCCCTCCTCTGATTGGCTGGTGTTGTAGCTATGGTTTCTGATGTTGCGTGGGAAATGAAACGGGATTGGCCAGGCTCAGCCTCTTTGTTCTTGTTAACCCGTTATCCGGAGTGATCTGCTGTAATCTGGTAATAACACAGATCTCTGCAGTGGCATTGTTGGCTTAAAGGGACTGAGGACATGCTTTGTTAAATAAACAATGTTATTTAGATGCTTGACCTGCACTGAAAGATGGTCTTTGATTGTTTTTTCATTCAGCTACACTGTCTAAAACCTCTAAATGTGTTTTTTAAAACTGTCATTAGACTTTACGGAGACTTTACATCGCACTTTTTAATCTCAACTTTTGGGCTGTCTCCTTGGAGAGGATGAATGCTTTCTGTGGCTGTGCTGGAGCATAATGGCAGAGTCTATTCAATGGTCCCATTCACCAGTTTCTCTGTTTCACTCTCTGTATGGGACTCGAATGCTTGAACAGCCTGAAGCTCATATGCATCTCTGCACTGAGCTGCTCTTGTAAGAGACATCACCGAGTCCTGAACTGCACTACTCCGCAGCCACAGTGACAAATGCGTGACAAATATCACACAAAGGAGGCTGCATCACATATCAGCACAATGTTTCCTGTAAGGAAGTGACACATTCATGTTCCCAAGGCCATCATTCTGCTCAGATTTGCCATGATGGGACTTTGAAGAAATTCTTGGCTTTTGATACAACTCACAACAACATCATCTAGAGCCCAAGAGTGGCCAAATCAGCTGATGACTCATGTAAAAGTCATCATGCATGAATGTAAAATGATCATTCTGAGACCGTAGAGCCTATTTTTCTCCGTCCTGGCCCAATTTCAGAACAGATTCCCTGGCATCCAAGTCTGAAGTCTTTCCAAGAGCAGGGTCACTGAGGGGGGTTTGGTACCAGAGCACACTGAGAGGATAGCGTTTGTTTGTCAGGAGTCATTTGTCTAAATTCCTATGATAGTTGTCATCTACATGGCACATGAAGTGACTTAAATGTCCAACTCTCAGGGTCTTCAAGATATGAGAAAAAACAGTTGAAAGATTAAACCAACATATGTTAGTCAAATATGTGTCTTAGGTACAGGGCAGCCTCCTATCTCTACCATGAGCTGTAGCTCCACTGCCATAATACTGCAGCGCTCTACTCAGAACAGCATTGTATCGCGATATTTTGTCTGGTGATATATTGTATCGTCTCATGGACCAAGTATCGATTTTTTCAAATCAATAGTTAATATGTCAATAAGTCAAGTCTTCATATATAATGATAATGGAAAAATAAAACAGTTCGCAATATATTGTATCACATTCCTCACTGTATTGCAAAATGTTAAAATTGCAGTTTAATTGCGATAATATCCTATCATGGGGCCACTGGTGATTCCCACCCCTATCTACTACCCGGATGTAAACAAGCACAGATGACAAACGGCATCTCTTGTTTCTTGTTGTATTTTCATCTAGAGAACAGCTTCAGTTGTATACAGACTGTTTCTCGTTATACTGGTACATAACCACCCAACTGGAGCAACGTGTAATCAGCAGAGTTCAGCAAACGTTAACTTGTCCTTTAGAACTTTTAGGAACTATGTGATATCGCTGACTCTGCTCTGTCTGTCTGCAACAGACATGCACGTGCGTGGCTGCAGTCATAGGTTTTTGTTTTTGCTCTGTAGTTGGCGGCGCTTGCTTGCTGTGATCCTGTAGTCTGTAGAGGATCAGACTGTTTTTGACTGCCTCCTCACACACCCACAGTAGATGTGATTGCAGTGTCGTTTGTGCTGACAGAGAATGGATGCAGCATCTTCCATTGATGTCTGTGTGTGTGTGTGTGTGTGTGTGTGTGTGTGTGTGTGTGTGTGTGTGTTTGTGTGTGTGTGTGTGTAGTCATGTGTTTTCAGACTCTACATGGCTGTTTTGTCCGCAGTAGTTTTGCTTACACAGCATCAGAGCAGAAAAGAAGAGAGTCAACATTTCTATCCTCTATGGAAAGCTAACAAACATTTACCTCAAAATGCCCAAAGACCAAAAAGTAAAGAGCCGCAAGTTCTGCTTGAATTTGTCATGTACCACAAACTTGTGCCCATCATTCTCTGTATTTACAGAGTCCTTTGCCATGAAGTGAACATCCCACTGACACCAACCATCCTGTTCAGATGCACATTGCACAACTAAGCCTGCCTGACCTGCAGCTTATCTCTTAAACCAGTTTTAGCTTTCCTTGGCTTGTGTTAACAGTTCCAGCGCTCTTTATTTGAACCCAGAAGCTAATCGTATTGATGTCCTTTTATATGCCCAGAACCATCAGGCTGCCAGTACAAGTTAAACTGTTTTGGATTGTTTTGGACCGGGTAAAACCACCTACTACACTAAGAAATGATGTTGAGTTCATAAAGACAGAGAGATGACTGTGGGTAAACTTGACTCTCTGTTAATGTGCATTATACAGACAAGGAAAACATGTAAAAGAAAAGTTAATTGTCCACTTGCATTTCCATGTTTGAGCGTGTTTTGGTCTTTATTTCAATCATGATATTTTAAGCAACTGTGCAAAATAAATAAGAATACATAACTGAGTTTTTACTTCTGACTGGATTTGGTGCTTAATCACAGCCTTTGGTGTTTCTTTTGTGTCTTAAGTATTACATAACAGTATCATCTCTGACTTTCTGTATGAGTCAGATAACTGAAGAAGCAGCAGCAGTTTGCAGACGCACAATGTGAGTCTTTTTAGAGCAAACAAAATGCAATCATACACAATAACATCATAAAATATAAGTTGCTCTGAATTTTCTTTGAAAGTTTATCAAAGGTTTTTTTTACTTCATAGTTACAAGAAGATAACCCATAACAAAACCATTCAAGACTACAAATCAAGTGCAGCTTCAAAAGATAAGTTATACAAAGCAGTCTAAATATACCAGGAACAGAAGAGTTTACCCTTTTATTTATCAATCACATGTCAGTCATCTCAGTGAGTTAATAAATAATATTTGAGCACTTTGGTTTCTCAAAATCAGACTGTGCAAGAAGCAGATGATGCAGAGTGCAGTGATTTCAAACTCCAGTCTTGGTAATCTTGGGACTGCTGTAATTCCCTGAGGTCATTTTGCTCTAATTAGTGATGTGCTTACTCTGATCTGCATGCAAAATATAGGGGTGTTGCTGTATTTGAGCAAAATGTAGTACAGCTGCATTTGCCTAAATGTAACATAACTTCCTGTGACAAAACCTCCCTCTCCTTTGTTTCTAATCAAAGCAGATCACTGAAAAGGAGATAATATCTGTCAAAGTTCAAATGAGTTGCTTGTTTCAGTCTGCAGCAGGGGGTCGTGAGCTGCCGGCTGTTTTTTTTTTTTTTTTTTTTTTCAAGCTAAAAAGGTTGAGCTGTATTTTCCTACCTTACAGAGAGCGAATACCATCCACTCCTCCATCTTAAAAAGGTCATTCTTCTAGAGTGGCGTCGCAGTTATTAACCTGCTCCTGAGGAAAGCTGTCTCATCATGCTAACATTTAACTTTAGACCTGCAGTCAGCAGCCCTGGGCAACCTTTCTCCTCTTTATTCAGCGGTAAAAAATGACAGCGAGGTTCCTTTGCACCTGCTCGCAATTGTGCTCTAAAGGTCTCATCAGCATGCTCAGGTGCGTTGTTGTAAATAAGAGTCTAAATCTGTAAATCACAGTGATTAACTGTTGTCTCCGCTCTTGCCCCCATTGCCTGCTAGGCATCCAGCAGGTTTTCTTTTTCCTTCTCTCTTAAAATATGCAAATCTCCTCCACATTTCTTTCTTTTGTCACTGCAGAACTTACAGAAAGATTTGCGACTCAGAATTTCTTTCAGAACGAGCTTTTAATCAACCTGCTTTATCAGGGATTATGCTTTGCTAAGCAGGTATAATAAAGGGATTATTCTAAAGCTTTGTTAGCTCTCATCTGGTCCAGGTCATGATCTGATGAGATGATGATTTAAAGCAAACTTTCATCTCTAATCCAGTTCATATTGTACTTTATGAGACTGTGCTGGAGGAAAATCAGAGATATTATAAAGAACTTACACAGGCTGAATTTGATTAACCTGAGTCTGCTAAGTTAGCCAGTAGACAGTGAGGCTGCAAAGTTACCCTGGCAACAGAACAAATCCATGTGTCTAAAAACAGCTGTGCAGACACAAATATATCCTGGTGGTTCATGTGAATAAATCTTTGCACATTGATTCCATATGATGGTAAAATTATCATAACCAAACAATGGAGAAGATAGTCAGCATCCAGCAGCTGTTGAACTGCTTGTAATAGAATGTTCTGCTCTGTCTGTGTGATATCCAAAACTGTGTGCTGCAAAACAAAGCCTTGGGAGTGCTATGTAATTATAGATAAGGGAGCCAGTGAAAGAAAATGGAAAAATAGCTTTCAGCATGTTTATCTGTCATCCAGACAAAACATCTGTTCACGGACAAAATTATAGAAAACATGATGGACAGTGTTTCCTCCACCAGAGCCTTTCTGTTAAATCTTTCTGTTTATGACCAATCTGTAAGGACCTCCGTCAGGATTAGCATGTACCACTTTTTTCAGTCAGGGAGGGTTGGTGTCCAGCAGCTATTGACCAGCCTGAGATGGAAAGGCACATTTTTGCCACAGTGTCAACAGGCAGGGGTAAAATTCAGCACTGATATTGTTCAATGGATCAGTTTGATCAGCTAAAATATCTACAAGGCTGTAGTCTGACCTGTACGCAGTAAAGAGGGAGAATACAAATTACTGCCGGCATGAGAAGCTAATACGTTCCTGTCTTCTAATTTGATGTCTAATTAAATCAAAGTACAGATCTGGGAGTTGTGTGTTGATGTTAAAAACAACAGCTTGTTACTTGATAAGCTTTGCAGGATGAAGTTTAATCGATACAGACCTTGTTTCCCTGTTAAAGGTGATGCGCTAGCAGCTTGTTTGAAATTTCTGCAATCAAATGACCACCAAGGTTTCCGAGAAACAGACCACAGAGTGCCATTACCGATTCTCTAATTTCTTAAAATGGACAAATGACCAACTGAATTTCTAATTAAACTAAAAAGAGAATAGAAAAGTGTAAATGAGTGAGTTTTCTGGCGCAGTGGCCGAGTTCTTATTCAAGAGAGGACAGTAAACGGGGAAGGAAAATGCAGCTGTAATGTACGTGTGTCAGTTTGGGTGTAACATCAAATGGTGATGAGATCATGGCTCGGTTTAAGAGTCAGCTGTTGCTGTGTGTGTGTGTGTGTGTGTGTGTGTGTGTGTGTGTGTGTGTGTGTGTGTGTGTGTGTGTGTGTGTGTGTGTGTGTGTGTGTGTGCGCTCTGGCCTCACAGTCTCCACCTCACATGGTGCTGAGTCACCCTGTTCCCTGTACAGATGAGGTTTGGAGCTCATAGCTCTGCTCTGCTGCTGGAGCTACTGTAAGCTTATTTAACGGTGACTTTTGCAGCACAAATGAAACTCATTCAATAAGAGGAGCTTAGAATGTAAATCTGGAGCCACTTTAAAAAATTAACCCCTGTTAATGAGGGTTATCTCTGCTTTGTACTAGTTTGGTAGAATATGTTTTGATGAATTGCATTATGGAAGGATTCAGTGTAATTAAACCATTGAAGTATCACAGCCCCATTTAAACCATCATACTTGGCCTTTCTGCATATTACCACTTTATGAAGGCTTATTTTGGAGGCTTTTTGCTTTGCTTAGATAAGACAGCTAAAGAGAGAGAGAGAGGAAATATGGAGAGGAGGTTCTCAAAGACATTTAGTGGCTGAACTTGACAAAATTATTACATTTGATGTGACAAAAACATTAAGAAACACGAAATAACTGAGATGATTAGGGGAGGACACATCTGCCACTAAAAACACAATGGCCCTGCATTTTCCTCAGTGTTGCTGATAATTCTGGCACCCTCACAGGGTTGTGGGCATTAAAACCTACATTACAGAAATCACCAGTTATGCTGATGATGGTCTTTTTTGGTTTGGTTTGTCAAAAACTCCTTACAGGAGTTTTAAGTGTGATTTATTTCATTTTAATTAAAACTCTGTTATTTCACAGTATCCCCCTTCTTGCTGGATTTTACAGCTGTGCAGCCTCCATCAGGCATCTGAATACTGCATGTAGACTCCGACTCCTGTTTCTGTCTGTCCCATTAATGCCTCCCTTCTCTCTGTCTCTTGTATTTTCCAGATGTACCACTCTGACCACGGCATAGATTTCCCTGACCTCTCCTTCCAAGTCCCCGGCAGCCCTTCAGAATTAGACCCAGCGAACACAGAGTGAACACAGCCTACTACAAATCTTCCGCCCCCTTTAACCTCACAGAGCCTCCCTCTGCCCCACCCACTCCTCCTGGAGCCACCATGGACAGCCCTCCTAAGCTGTCAGGAGAGACCCTGATCGTGCATCATATCCCCCTGGTGCACTGTCAGGTGTCAGGTGGGCGGCAGGGTACCTGTGGGGGCTCCCTGAAGAGGAGCAACCCATTCAGCCCACCAGAGAACCTGGGCTTGAGTCGCACCACTTCCCTTCCTGAGAGAGACATCCTTCAGAGAGAGGCTCTGCTCTACAGCAGCCTGATCCAGACTTCCAGCAGCCCCTGGTCCTCCCACAACAGAGGGAGAGAGAGGAAGGGAGGGGGGAGAGGAGGCAGCACTGCAAGTGATGATTCATCGTTTACCTCCAGCAACTCAGAGGACCAGCTGATCACAGCGCACACACTACCCCGAGCCAAACCCAGGAACAGGAATCCTTTACGTCACAATCCATTCCTGCTGAATACCGAAGACGACGAGGATGAAGACGAGGATGATGATGGGGACAACCTCAGCGGTTACCTCGAAGACTCTTCTTTTCACCTCCACAGCGACACCAACTCTGCCCTCGATGACGGGATTGCTCCTTTCCACCTCCACAACCTGGGCTTTGCCTCTGAGCCTTTTCTTCTGCACAGCTCGGTGAGTGGAAGCAGCCGGGACTCCCTGAGAGGGGTAGCTTCAGATCTCTCGAACCACCTGGAGGACCTTGACATCCTAGGCTTGGACAGCCAGCGCCGCCATGGCAGCAGCGGTTCAAACATGTCCATGGATTGTGGCGAGCACGACTGGGGGGATGAGGATGAGGATGAAGATCACCCTATGAGGTGTGGGCGAAGCAGTAAGACCGGCTCGTACTCCTCCAGCTCCTCCACACAGCACTGCTCCTGCTGTGCACTCTCTCAGAACTACCCTCAGCACTTCCCTGAAGCCTTCCCCGAGCCTTTCTCAGAGTGCCAGCAGAACTACGGCAGCGACTCCTCCTGCAACAGCTCCGACGGCGTGCTTGTAAACTTTAGCGCAATCTACAACAAGATGAACAACGGCATTCCGGAGAAGCTCCCTGTCTCTGGGCACACCAACCTCAACAGCTCCACCGACCACTCCTGCACCTCCTCTGTTTCTGACCCACAGGGAAACCCACAAGACTCCACCAAAGGGGCTTTCTACCTGGACCTTCACACCTCCCCAACTGAGCCCCCGCTGTTACAGCAACAGCCCCCCTGCATTGACAGCGCCTTCCCGCAAATCCGGGAACCACACCTCTCCACTTCCTCCACCTGCTCCTGCGCCGCGGAGCACCAAGGGGCACTTGACCTCGACGCCAACTGCAACTCCTACCACCCTCCACACTCGGGCTCATCTGGAGACCTGGCGTCCTGTCTGCAGAGTCAGGCGCGCCTGGTAGTCGCCACCCAGAACTATTACAAACTGGTGACCTGTGACCTCTCGTCCCAGTCTTCTCCAAGTCCTGCAGGCTCCTCAGTCAACAGCTGCTCTGACGAACACAGCAAAGGCAGCCCCACCCCAACACAGCCCAGCGAGTACTTTCTATTCAGGCAGCGAGCTGATGAAGAGGGTGTTGAAGAAGAAGAAGATGAAGATAGAGAATCGCCAAAGGTGAGTGGAGAATCTTTCCTCAGAGTTTAAAAATGCATGATCCCTCTAAAAGAATATTTAATGAGCTCTGCACAAAAACTCTGATACCCTGCAGAGCTGGGTGTCACGCCCTCTACTTCTAGGGCCAGATAGGGGCAGCCTCTCTTTTCTCTTCTCCCCCCTCCCTCTTCTCCTCCTCTCCCTCTCTCTAAGCAGGTGTTGGTGTGATGCAGCTTCAGGGCGGACAGGTGCAGCCAATTTCTAATCAGCGGATCGATCCGTGTGGCGGGGAGAGGAGCGCTCTCATTCATTCACCCGCTGCCATAAAAACCGGACACTTCCCACAACCCGACGCTGGACCGTAACCTGAAAATCCCTTGCCCACTCCGCCTGCTCTTCCCGCCTGCGTACCCAGCTCTCCTGCTTTCATCCCAGCTCCGTCCAGGACGCCGCCTCACGCCATCACCACCTGCCTCTCCCCCTCCAGTCGGAGATCACGGACTGCCTGCTCACTCGCTCTCTCGCTAGCTCTGGTAGTACCCGACCCTGTCTCGCGTTTTGCAGACAGCGTTTTTTGTTAATTGTTCTGACCCTGTCTCGCGTTTTGCAGACAGCGTTTTTTGTTAATTGTTCTGACCCTGTCTCGCGTTTTTGCAGACAGCGCCTTTTGTTAATTATTACTGTTCCAGTCTCGCGTTTTGCAGACAGCGCTTTTGTTAATTATTACTGTTCCAGTCTCGCGTTTTTACAGACAGCGTTTTTTGTTAATTATTACTGATCCTGTCTCGCGTTTTTCAGACAGCGCTTTTTGTTAATTGTTACTGCCCACCTTAGTTCCGTTTTCCTATTTCTGTTTGCATTTTTGGGATCAAATAAATATCTGTTTAACTGAACTGCTCTGTCTTGAGTCTCTTTGTCCGCATTTGAGCCTCGGTGCCTGAACCGTGACAGTACGGTCCAGCCAAGATGAGCTCAGCAGACAAAGAGACTGGCGCGGAGGCAGTCTCCCCCGCTACCACGTTTCAACAAGCTATTGCTAATCAGGAATGCGTGTTAGCTCAACATGATGAATTGTTGCGTTCCCTGGTCAGTAGCAATCATGTTATGCTTAATCAGATCTCTGAACTAACCACCCAGTTAAGAGGGTTGGCTGGTCAAATTGCTAAGACTGCTCCCCCAGGCCCAGCGTTAGCCGCTAATCCTGGCTTGGCTAGCGTTAGTGTTCCACCTCCCTTTCGTGAACCTGTAGTGCCTGTACCTGAACGTTACAGGGGGGAGTTAGGATCCTGCCAGGCCTTTTTAACTCAGGTTTCACTAGTTTTTGAGATGCAGCCTCTCTCCTATGCCTCCGATCGTTCAAAAATAGCCTACACCATCGGGTTATTGTCAGGACAGGCGAGAGAGTGGGGCACGGCCGTTTGGGGGCGCCAGGACAGTGCCTGTGAGTCCTACGAGGCGTTCGTGGCAGAGATGAGGAAGGTCTTTGACCACCCAGTAAGCGGAAACAACGCCAGCCACCGCCTCATGGCCATCTCCCAAGGGACAAGGAGTGTCGCAGAGTTTGCGGTGGAGTTCCGGACGCTGGCTGCAGAGAGCTCCTGGAACGACGGCGCGCTCCAGGGAGCCTTTTACAAAGGGCTAGGTGAGGCCCTAAAGGACGAGCTGGCAACTCGTGACGACTCTCCAGACCTAGACCACCTCATCGCATTAGCGATTAAGATTGACAACCGGCTCCGGGAAAGGAGGCGAGAACGCAGCGCCCGCTCTGTACTAGGACCCACCAGAACCCCAAGTGCCCCAGGCCCCAGAACTCAGCCGGACCCCCCGCCGGAGTCTCTCCCAGAGCCAATGCAGATCGGCCGTGCCCACCTCACTGAGTCTGAGAAGTTACAACGTCGGTCAGCAAACCTGTGCCTGTATTGTGGGCGTCCGGGTCACTACATTGCCTTCTGCCCCGCCCGTCCGCCAAAAGGTCCGGCTCGCCAGTGACGGGGGATCTGCTGGTGAGCCGTACTACTACTTCGCCCCCACAACGTCTCCAAGTGGCCATAACCCTGTGTTGGCAGCGTCAGCCTATCCCTCTTCTAGCCCTGGTGGATTCTGGGGCTGAAGAGAATTTCCTGGACTCTCGCCTGGCGTCCCAGCTCGGCATTCCCACAGAAACTCTTGACGCGCCCCTGGAGGCTCGTGCTCTGAACGGACTCCACCTGGCCCAAGTCCGCCATAAGACTGTTCCGGTCTCCCTGGTGGTGGGGGGCAACCACCATGAGACAATTTCCTTCCACCTCATCGACCAGTCTAGTCCACCCTTGGTTCTTGGGTTCCCTTGGCTCCAGGTCCATAATCCCCACATTGACTGGCAGCAGGGGGAGATCCGTTCCTGGAGCCGGGAGTGCTACCAACGTTGCCTGACGTCTGCCCTGACTCCTGAAACTCGAGCCAGCACCCGGGCCCTACCTTCCGAACCCCTCAACCTGGACCTTGTACCTCCTGTGTACCACGATCTGGCCATGGTTTTTAGCAAGGATCAAGCCCTGTCTCTGCCCCCACACAGACCCTACGACTGTGCTATAGACTTACTTCCCGGAGCTACACTACCCCGCTGCAGACTGTACAACCTGTCTAGACCTGAACAGGCCACCATGGAGTCCTACATCCGCGATTCTCTGGCGGCTGGCATCATCCGCCCCTCTTCATCCCCTGTCGGCGCTGGATTCTTTTTTGTCTCCAAGAAGGACAAATCCCTCCGTCCCTGCATAGACTTCCGGGGCCTCAATGACATTACTGTGAAAAATACTTACCCCCTTCCCCTAATCAATTCTGCCTTCACCCCGCTGCATGGAGCCTCTGTCTTCACCAAACTGGATCTTAGAAATGCCTACCACCTCATCCGAATCCGGGAGGGCGATGAGTGGAAGACCGCCTTCAATACTCCCCTGGGACACTTTGAATACCTGGTCATGCCCTTCGGTCTCACTAACGCCCCCGCAGTTTTCCAGAACCTCATCAACGACGTCTTGAGGGACATGCTCAATCGGTTCGTCTTCGTCTACCTGGATGACATCTTAATATACTCCCGAAACCTTGAAGAACACGTCTGCCATGTCCGCCAGGTCCTCGAACGTCTCCTCCAGAACCGCCTCTTCGTCAAGGCAGAGAAATGTGAGTTCCACGCATCCACTGTGGCTTTCCTGGGATTCATCATCTCCTCCGGGGAGGTCAAGATGGACCCATTAAAGGTGGAGGCAGTGACTGAGTGGCCCCGTCCCGAAGACCGGAGACAGCTTCAGCGCTTCCTTGGTTTTGCAAACTTCTACCGCCGTTTCATCCGAAATTACAGCTCTGTGGCAGCCCCCCTGACCACCCTCACTTCCACCACCAAGATCTTTGGTTGGACCCCTGAAGCAGACAAAGCCTTCTCTGAGCTGAAGCAACGCTTTGTTTCGGCGCCTATCCTGATCCAGCCAGATCCCGAGAGACAGTTCATCCTGGAGGTGGATGCCTCGGACACCGGGGTAGGGGCAGTCCTGTCCCAGCAGGCTGCTACAGACCAAAAACTACACCCCTGTGCCTTCTTCTCACGGCGTCTTACCCCCGCAGAGAGGAACTATGACGTCGGAGATCGCGAGCTGTTGGCCGTCAAGCTCGCTCTGGAGGAATGGCGGCATCTGTTGGAGGGTGCCCTGCAGCCTTTCATCGTGTGGACAGACCACAAGAACCTGGAATACATCAGGTCGGCAAGGAGGATGAATTCCCGCCAGGCCCGCTGGTCCCTCTTCTTCAGCCGCTTCAACTTCTCCATCACTTATCGCCCCGGGTCCAGGAACACCAAGCCTGATGCCCTGTCCCGTCAGTTCTCCGGAGAGAACGCCCTGCCAGACCCGGAACCCATCTTGCCCCAGACTCGCATTGTCGCCTCCCTCACTTGGGAGGTTGAGGCCCAAGTACTCCGGGCCCTAGAACAGCAACCTGACCCTGGAGGCGGTCCTCCAAACCGCCTGTTTGTCCCAGAAGCCGTCCGCCCGCAGGTCCTCCTGTGGGGGCATACCTCTAAGTTCGCCTGTCATCCCGGATCTGCCCGCACCTTAGAGGTCCTCCGGCAACGGTTCTGGTGGCCCACCATGGAGGCAGACACCCGTGAGTTCACCCTGGCCTGCTCCGTCTGTGCCCGCAACAAAACATCCAATCAACCCAGCTCCGGATTCCTGCGGCCGCTTCCCATTCCCAGGAGACCCTGGTCCCACATTGCAGTGGATTTTGTCACAGGCCTCCCTCCTTCCCAGGGCAACACTGCCATATTAACCATTGTCGACCGGTTCTCCAAATCTGCCCATTTCCTTCCCCTGCCCAAGTTACCCACAGCCATTAAGACTGCAGATCTTCTGGTCTCTCAGGTTTTCAGGATTCACGGCATCCCTTCCGACATAGTCTCCGACCGTGGTCCCCAGTTCACGTCAGAGGTGTGGAGGGCGTTTTGTAAGGCTCTGGGGGCCACGGTCAGTCTCTCTTCTGGTTTCACCCACAGTCGAACGGCCAGACGGAACGGGCCAATCAGTCTCTAGAGACTTTCCTACGCTGTGTGGCCTCAGAACACCCTACGACCTGGAGCAATCAACTCCCCTGGGTGGAGTATGCTTACAACTCCCTGTCTAACTCTTCCTCTGGACTGTCCCCCTTCCAGTGCGTCCTGGGATACCAGCCCCCCCTGTTTCCAGCTTCTGAAGAGGAGATTGTCATACCCTCGGTGCAAAGCTTCGTCAGGAGGTGCAAACGAACTTGGAGGAAGGTTCGGGTCGCCCTCCGCCGGGCCTCCTTGAGAATGGAGCAACAGGCCAACCGTCGCCGTTCCCCTGCTCCTGCCTACGCCCCGGGCCAGAAGGTTTGGCTCAGGGCCAAGGATCTCCCACTCCGGGTGGAGTCAAAGAAGTTGGCCCCACGCTTTGTCGGTCCGTTCGAGGTGGAGAGGGTCATTAACCCCGCTGCCGTCCGGCTTAAGCTGCCCCAGTCCATGAAGATTCATCCCACGTTCCATGTTTCGCAGCTGAAGCCGGTACGGGAGAGTCCTTTGGCCCCACCCGTCCATCCCCCTCCTCCGCCCAGGATAGTGGACGATGGGCCAGTCTACACTGTCAGTCGCTTGCTGGATGTCCGTCGGCGGGGTAGAGGGGTCCAGTTCTTGGTCGACTGGGAGGGATATGGGCCAGAGGAGCGCAGCTGGGTTCCCCGTCGCCAGATCCTGGACCACACGTTGGTCAGCGACCTCTACCGCCGCCACCCAGAGAAGCGCCTTCGTGCACCTGGAGGTGCACGTAGGGGGGGGGGTACTGTCACGCCCTCTACTTCTAGGGCCAGATAGGGGCAGCCTCTCTTTTCTCTTCTCCCCCCTCCCTCTTCTCCTCCTCTCCCTCTCTCTAAGCAGGTGTTGGTGTGATGCAGCTTCAGGGCGGACAGGTGCAGCCAATTTCTAATCAGCGGATCGATCCGTGTGGCGGGGAGAGGAGCGCTCTCATTCATTCACCCGCTGCCATAAAAACCGGACACTTCCCACAACCCGACGCTGGACCGTAACCTGAAAATCCCTTGCCCACTCCGCCTGCTCTTCCCGCCTGCGTACCCAGCTCTCCTGCTTTCATCCCAGCTCCGTCCAGGACGCCGCCTCACGCCATCACCACCTGCCTCTCCCCCTCCAGTCGGAGATCACGGACTGCCTGCTCACTCGATCTCTCGCTAGCTCTGGTAGTACCCGACCCTGTCTCGCGTTTTGCAGACAGCGTTTTTTGTTAATTGTTCTGACCCTGTCTCGCGTTTTGCAGACAGCGTTTTTTGTTAATTGTTCTGACCCTGTCTCGCGTTTTTGCAGACAGCGCCTTTTGTTAATTATTACTGTTCCAGTCTCGCGTTTTGCAGACAGCGCTTTTGTTAATTATTACTGTTCCAGTCTCGCGTTTTTACAGACAGCGTTTTTTGTTAATTATTACTGATCCTGTCTCGCGTTTTTCAGACAGCGCTTTTTGTTAATTGTTACTGCCCACCTTAGTTCCGTTTTCCTATTTCTGTTTGCATTTTTGGGATCAAATAAATATCTGTTTAACTGAACTGCTCTGTCTTGAGTCTCTTTGTCCGCATTTGAGCCTCGGTGCCTGAACCGTGACACTGGGCACTGAATCGATTTTATCTTCTAATTAGAACCGATGTTACAGGACAGTGTTGGATAATGAAATGAGCTTTTACTGAGACATGGGTGGTTTCACAGCATTTGACTTTCAACAAATCTTTATAGTTTCTTTTAAACTCTTTGGTATCTTGAAGCAGTAGCTAGTCTTATTTGCAGCGTTAAAGTTTCCTAAGCAGACAATTGGGCAAAATATTGGACACTGCAAGCAGCAAACGACACATACATCTACTCCTTACTGCACAGATTGATGGAGTCAAATACTCTGACTTTGACCGAGTATCAGATGACCCAGATTATGAAACCATTCCTCCACACTCTGTATTCTCAATGCTTCCTCATACAAAGAGTGCCTCTCTGGAACAAAATGCTGAGACATTGTAAACATCACTATGGGGGAAAAAAGGCCAAATTTAAGATTCATTTACATGTTCATATCGGCAACAGTCTGAGAAGGTTAGTTTGAAGAAAAAAACTCTTTTTTTTTCTTGAGTGAGAATTCTGAGTCTCAAAATACTGAAAATAAGTGCCTTTTCCTTTCTGTTTACAGAAGTCCTCAAAAATGTTAATTATGCAGATCTCACTAAGATATTTATTCTGCTGAGGTCAGACTACATAAAGGAAGCACAAGTTTGTGTTTAATTTTTCTCCCTGCCCTCTACCTTTTTTCCCTTCAACCAGTAAGAGCACTGAGGGCCATGCATATTCTTAAGTTTGAGCGCAAATGAAATGGTGAAGGAGTGGACATGAAGATGGAACTATGAGACGAAAGAAAAGTTTGTGGGGTTCTGGTAACAACATCCCTACCTTCGAGAAATGACCATGACAGACTGAAAAAACGGGAGCGTTACTAAGAAATAGGTGCACTACCATAACCCTTTGAATAATGTTAATCATATTTGCTGGTGTCATCCAGTTCAGTCTGTTCTTTTTCCAACACTTTCTGATCAGCTATGATAACTGCTCCTGTACTATTGTATTATCTGCTCTATCTGTTGGTTTAAGTTACAGCATAATTTTATTGTTTATCGTGATCACTATGTCTAACTCAGTGACCATCATGACACACAGACTGATTGTGTAGTCTGACCTCAGCATTTAAAGGGATATTCCGGTGTAAATTACAGTTATGGTCAAACACACCGTAATACCGAGTTAGACACCCCGCTGCCAGATGAATGTTGCCGACCGCTTGCTTCTCTAGTTATACCAACTTTAGTAATGACTGCACAATAGCAATACACAGCGGTCTACGTCTCCAAGCCTAAAACCTCAACCAAAAAACCCACTCTGTAGCCACAAATAATGCTCAGAACAGCACCTAACTTCATCAACAGTACATATAGGGTCCCAGCCATAGAACTAGCCACCAAACATCTTTTTAGTTTTGCCTGTTTTTTTTAGAAAAGAGACGAAACACATCTCACCCACTCTTCAAAGGCAGCCGCTTGTTTGTGGGGGAGCCCTGACAAGTAGATCACCAAGTGCAGTGGAGTTCCGCAGCTCAAGGAAGAAAATTTATGATTATTACTTCATGGAAATGCATGGCAGAAGAAGTACTGCATCTGTTGTGCAAAGTTTGTTGCTGAAGTTGGTATTACTAAAAAAACAAGCTGTTGGCAACATTCATCTCTCAAGGGTGTGTCTAACTCAGTGTTACGGTGTGTTTGACCCTACATTAATTTTACGTCGGAATATTGTTTCAAGTTCATAGAAGAATTCAGGAATTACTTTAATACCAAAAAATGACAAAACTATCTGAGAAAATTTCTGACAGTTTCTTTGATTTCCACTCTAGTACCTCCAAATCTTGAGTTTCACAGCTTGCTGTGGGTGGATGCTTTTGCATCACATTCAAATAATTCACTCCAACAAGCAACCCTCACTTTGTTTTAGAGGTAGAGTGAGCACATGTAGTAATCAAAGAAAGAAATGCTACAAATATCATCAGACTTAAAAAGAGGAAGGGCACTGATTCATAAAAAATACTATCTGGCATAAATAGAAAGTAGATGGTAGGCTGAGGGCCATGTGACAGTGACCACAACTGTGAACTACAAATTTCTGTGACTCGGACATCAGTCTGACTCTGGCTTAATTTAGATCCCAGCCTCTGTCTGGGGATATCTGATGTCTGGGATTATTTTAGCAGTAATGTTAAGCTGAAGGCTGTGTTACTGTGAGTCAGTAACAGTGCCACTGTGTCAAAGATAATCTGCTCTGAAGGCTCTTTAGGCCTCTGGTTTGTTGTGTTTGTTGACAAAGAGTCCCTGCATGTATTTGATCACTTACAAATTTCACTGTTTTGATCCATCCTTATTTCCTTGTTCCCTTTTCCTTTCTATTCAGCGTGATGATGATGTTGATGGAGAGGAGGAAGAGGAGGAGAAGAAGAGAAAGAAGAAGAAGAAAGAAAATCAGCAGGCAGCTGGTGGAGCTGAAGCTGCTCCCACTGTTATTGAAGGCCAGGTCTATGTCAACGTCTCTCCTCCTTTGGCTACCCGGGCTGTCATCGGAGGGGGGACTTCATCAGGAGGCCGTCCCCGCTCTCGCAGCTACGATCGCAACCTGGACAAGTCTCCGTCTCCTCGCCTCGGGTCTCTGGAGCGGATGTTAAGCTGCCCCGTCCGTCTGTGCGAGAATGCCGCTCCAACCCCGCCCCCTCCTCCACGAGTCACCTCCTTCGCTGAGATCGCAAGGAGCAAACGGAGAAACGGATGTACAGGGGTGTCGCCATCGATGAAGGCAGCTGCAGACCCCTTCTCCTCCACCTACTCAGCCCACTCCCACTCCTCTGTGGATTTCTCTCCAATCCTGGAGCAGCATGTGGAGAGTGACGGTCACAGCCTGTCACCTGTACCCTTCACAAGATGTTACAGCCAGGGCAGCATCGAGAGACACCTGGAGGGGGCAAGAGAAGCCAGGGCCAAGGCTGAAGGTACGAGCATCTTAAGTGCACATTAAAAAATGCTTCTATGAATTTGTGTAAGGTGGCCAAGAGGTATTTTTTTAAACCTGTCCGGACAGATTTGACTGAACTTAGTAGGTTTACAAGATGCTACATGTGTTGGAGAACACAAATATGTCATGTAGTCAATATACAAACACCCTCAAAGTATCTTTCATTACATTTATATCATTTAACAGCTGCAATGTCTAAGGTTTGAGTGAGCAATTGCTTATTCACACCTCTAGCAGACATACAGCAACATGAGCCTGATTTTCTAGTGATGTTTGTGTCCCTTTGATGAATCACAGACTGTTTGTTCGAAAAGGCTGAAGCCCATACTAGGTCAGTTTGTGGACAGTTATGCGGCCTTGGGTTCAGTGATTTAATCAGCCTTTTGGAGACAGTCGTACCATACTTTAAGGACATAAGGATACACATTGTTATACTTCATTCCTAATTGACATGTTCTCTTGAAAAAAGTCAGTCACAAGTAGTAATACTCACAGTGTCCCAAAGTGTATCATGTTTTATCATCTATTTGCTTCACACTGCAGATATGTAAACCTAACTGAGTGTTTTTGACTTATGACTAGTCAAAATATCTTATTACACTGAAATTAAGCAACTTTAACCTGAAAAGTGTGAATATCAATCTAATCCAAAGATATTTAAAGCCAAAACAAGGATTTATTTAGTTAAAAATTCATGCAGCAACCACGTGTTGAAAAATTAACCCAGTGCATAGGTGCTACAAACTGCAGTTCCTCAAGTGTCCACTAGGGCCTGGCTTCAAAAGGCCAGAAGATCCCATTTACACTCATGTTGCATTACCCATCTTTAGATGTAACAAACATGTTACATTCCTTGAACACACTGTGCACTGCATCCATCGGGGTGGACATAAGGAAGAATGCAGGTTTAAGGTGCCCTGATTCGACATATTTGATTTAAAACATTTATTGAACATCCAGGAAAAGGTCTTCACAAACCTTATGGGTAAAAATGTGGCTGAAAAAAATGGAAACATCAAGTCAGTGTTCACACAAGCTTTATAAAGTTGAATATTGTGCATATAATTACAGTACACTAATACATTTTAGAGGCTGACATTGTTAATCTTACTTCCTGCAGAAAACAAAAACACTGATGCAAACAAATTCTCTGTCTTCATGTGAAATTATCACGTTTTATATCATTTTTTTTACCCCCTCTGTTCAGACCTCTTTGGTATGTGTGAGAAAATACTGAGGTGCCAGCATGTAAAGAGTGATGCTGAGTGTGTATCCTACGCTTTAGAGGAAAGGGAGGGCTGATATGGGACGAACATGCTCTGAATAACAATCAGGTCAGAGAGCTGATAAAGGTGCAACAAGCACACACCAAGCTCTGCATCAGCATACTGAGCTGTGCGTGTGCATATCTGTGTTTGTGTGTGTGTGTCAGTGTGAAGCTGTTTGGCCTAACTGGCTCCTAACACAAGTGAAGGTCAGAGAAAGTTCCGAAAGCACGAACATGATGACAGACCTTGCTCAGACCTCAGCTAAATATTTACAGGTTGTCATGTCATTGAAACATGCAGTGACTTCAGCTGTGCTTATGGTGCAATAATCATAGTTACAGGAAATTGCAACAAACACGCTGGTCAAAGCAATTGGCAAGTGATAAGTTGGCGAACCTTCAAAGCTAAATGGAAACAAGTCAGGGATTGTTGCGTCCGAACACGGAGGAGAATGTTGGAAAAAACTGAGTGCTGTTGGCACCAATGATGTGTCCTGACCACCAGTCAGCTGTTCCCTTGGCTGGCTGAATATTTTGTCACTCACTGGTCCAACTAGACCCAGAAGTAACATAACAGTTGCACCTGTGAGCTCTGTCATGACTCTTCTTTACATCCTCCAAATCTGGTAGCTGCATATGGTGTCAACCATAGACTGTATATAGAATGGACAGATTCTGCCTCCTTGCTGGGTGAAGCCACTCCGAGAACAGCACCCTCTGTTGATGGGCTGCAGTATAGGTCATAAATCCCGCCTTTGCCAGCAAAGCTAATGGGGTTGTGGACCAACTTTAGAAATTTACTACACAGAACATACATTTTTCTCCCCTCTGCTTGCGATGTTGACATGTAGTTATTGTAAGACCTGTTTGTGCTCAAGTCCTCTTTTTTTCTGTGAAGCTCCCTTTTTAAAAGTTATTAGGGGGTTCATGGTTTCTTTGATTGACACCTGATACAGCCTATTGGCGTTCAGGGATTGCGTAGCTCACCCGGGGGATTTGCCGTCATCACAGCGAGTCTCGGTGACTCCCCCTGCGAAAGCGCACAACGCTACTGCGCAGTACTGGTCTCAGGAAATGGAGAAAAATCACAGAAATACAGAGAGCTTTTGGGCTTCAACTCTGTGTACAGGCAGGAGGCGGAACCAAGTTGTCCATAGTATACACAGTCTATGGTCTTAACTCTCTGGTGTGCCCTCTAGAGGAATGAGTGGAGAAGACTCCTGCACTATTGTCAGCACCTTATACTCCAAAAGATGAGAATCCCTTTGAAAACTTCCAAAGAAAATGAACCTAATTCAGTAAATTTCAGTCGGTTTCCTTTCTCTGACCCTTCACCAAGCTCTCAAATACTGTTTCAGGCTAGAAAGAGCTGATCTGCCCTCAACATATGTATTATTGATTTAAAGAGTCTCTCCCAATCGAGCTCCAAATAATTTATCTGACAACTTTTTCACAAGGACAAACTGTGCTGTAAATATGAGTTTATGTAATCCCAGAACAGACAGCAACATCAAAGAAAAGCTCCATCTCAGCTGCCTGCTGTGTCTGTGTGTGTGTTTGTGTCTGTGAGACAAACACACACATACATGCACACACACACACACGTATAAACAGTGAGTGTTTAGGATTCCTCTAGAGTGAGACCAGGACAGTAATAAGTGAGTGCAGCATGAGAGGAATGTCCCATAAAGCTCCAGCTGTCCATTTTACACTTTCATACAGGCTGGAGCTCCAACTTAAGTAAAAATGAAAAAAACAAAACAAAACAGTTTAATGTTATTATGAAAGAGGTTAATTAACAGACTCCCTCCCTCCCCCTCTTTTACAAAGTATGAAGCTTGTAGTGAGGATATCAAACTCACCTATGTCTTTCTCTACCATGTGTTTGTAGTAGAACAGGGTCCATGTTGTTTTGTTGGTTTCAAAAGAATAAGAGTTTATATCATGGTCAACTTGAACTTAAGAACTAACTTAAAGAACAAGTGAGTTGCTGTAAAAACAACAAAAGCCTTTTTCAGCAACCACATAAGATCTCATTAAAGATAAGCCCTCATGCCCTAAGGTTCCTATCAGCAGCAGCAACAAGTGTGGAAAAACTATTTTCTGCTTCATTAGCTCTGGTTTTGTTTAACAAGTTTTTATTTAGTGTTTCTCCACTTCCAAGTTAACATTATGAATATCAGCTTTGTATCTCAGTCATGAAATGAGAGATGATAATACAGCCTGGACTGTCTTCTTAGCTCTCTTCTTTGCAGTCGTTTAAAAAGATAACAGTAAATCTACAATTAAGACTTTTTGGGGTCAAATTTTGCAGCCAAAATGGGCTCATTTTAATTTTTTAATCAGTGGAGATCTGCACAAAATTCAGACAAAATGATTACAAGTCAGTTAGATTTTCTCTTCACACTCCTGTTTTTAATTTTAAATAAATAGGCAGTTTCTCCGTTAAGTTAAAAGAAAACACAATTTCATGTATGATTAGATTCTAAAGAATTCAAGCTGTGAATGTAAACACAATATTTTAAAACATCCTCAACTGAAAACAGGAATAATTGTGTGCAATAAAGCAGAAAATCTTTGATGTTTTCATATTAAAGGAATTAAATTGCTTCAGCACAAATGAGTAACACTGATGTAAACTCAATGTTGGCGCTTACTCACCCAAAACACTCACCCACAAACGTGTTGCTACAAAATGAGGCTCTCAGTTAAATAGTTCTCCCTTATTATGATGAATCACTGAACTTCTGTAGTTAATCAGTGTTACTCACATTTCTAATCACATTAAAACTCCATTATTATCATTATTTCCCTCTTCTTTGATATCAGAATCAAATTAATGAAATTAAACACACTAATTGAAATTATTGATTTTATTTTCACCCACAGTCATTCACCCCTCCTAAAATAGTGTCCTCCCGGCTTTTATGATGGGGTTACCTGCTAACATTAGCCTGATTAGCAGCACCTGTATACTTAGTTCACAGGTGACATCTCAAACTTAAAGCACTTAGGTCATGTTTGATTGCGTTTGACACAAATTAGTTTTGACTTTAACTGACCCATCTGGGAGTTCTTGAACACAAATGTGCCATTTGTAAGTGCTGCTATTTTCCTTAACTGGGGCAGCAAGAAGCAGGAAGACACAGCAGCTGTTTAACTACAGTGAGCCAAAAGGGACAAAGAAAGCATTTGATAAAAAAGTGAGCTTCTCGACTTTGATTACATCCTGATTAACGCGATTATTAGTGTATTGATGAATGGTGAAACCGCTTTAATAGAAACATTTTTCAGATAAAGAAAAGAGAGAAATTATTAGTGGATTGGAGCTCTTGTTATCATAGCAAAGAAAAGAAGAATGTAATATGTGGTGTTGATGTTTTAGCTGGATTTGGCATCAAAGCTCAGGAAATACTATCTATGTGTATGAGGAGAAAACTGATGAAAATATTTGAAGAGAGAGAGTGATGTTGAGAATAAGGAGTGTCTTCAAAAATGTCCTCCGTATTTTGTGTTCATGCTCCTGTGATGGTTTAAGCTCATAATGAGAGGATGTGCAGCTGCACAGCACATATATATTATTCATCAGACTTCACTTCAGTCAGCTGCCTTGTTCCACCGCAGCGTGCAGGCCTCTTTAACAGCCTTTGGGAAGATGCTCGCTCGCTAATGATGCTAACATGAAGCATGGAGCTGCAGAGGAAAAGCTAATGGATTCATTTGTGAAAGAGGAGAGGAGCTGAGGAGGATGAGGAGGAGAAGGAGAAAATGGAGAAGAAGAAAAAAAATGACAATTAGAGGAATGACAGAGCAGATAGAAGAGAGGGAGGGACGGAGAGGGTGAGAGAGGGAGGGTTTGTGTTCTCCATCTCCAGTGTCAGTGTGAGCTCAGGCCTGCTGGGTGTGTACCCTCCCTCCTTCCTCCCTCCTCCCTCCTTTAGCATGTTTCTCCAGCAGCTCAATGTCGCCCTCTGTGGCCAAGAGGCGTCACTGCACCCAGCTCAGGTGGCAGCGGTGGGCCGGCCTTAGGGTGACAAACAGCTTGCGCAACACACTCGACGTCACGCACGCTTCTGTCTGTCACACACTGCACTGGATCTAGAAACACACGCACACACACAGAGGCAGACACACACACACATACTCTCAGTGATAGAAGGAGAAAACACAAAGATATGAGTGAGTCAGTGGTAGATGAAGAAAAGGCTTCTCCTCCTCGCTGGTGTCTCTCCTGACGCAGTACCTTCAGGTTTAGTCTCTATCCAAGTGTTTGTGTGTCTGTGTCTGAGAGTGTGTGTAGGTATGTTTGTGTGTGTATGTGCAAGTGGGCCTGTCAGAGCAATGTCTAACAGTGTTATGGTTGTCTGTGATAAGCTCTTTGGGACTCATGACGGGGCAGTTTTCTCATGGTCTGTATTTGTGGTTTCACTTCTGACCTCCGTGTCTATGCAGTTTAAAATGAAGATTATTGAGTCACTTCGTACAAAAAACTAGTCCAATCTTTTCGATCATGATTATTTGTTGTTATGTAATTTCTCCATTTTTCCAATTTAGTGAAATTCCATTAAATACTAATTTTCTACGATTCTCCTTGTTTTTAATGCATGACAGTAAGAGGCCATTCTGACGGTACGCTGTGTTTTATCTCTTCTAAAAGTTATAACTGAAACCTCGACCTGAAACACTTTAATGTTGCTTTGCCAAACAAAAACATCACTCATATTTTTCTTTCATTCCCTCTCCATCTTTCTCCTCATTCAGGTGGTCTCTCCAGTTCCTCAGACAGCCGCCCGTCAGTGGTCCGCTACAGTAAAGACCAGCGCCCCACCACCCTCCCCATCCAGCCCTTCACCTTCCACCACCAGTTTGCCTCCAAGCCTCCTCAGCCCAAGCCCCTCCTGCCCCTCCTGACTGGCTACGTATCTGGGATGCAGCCCCACTCCAGCTCCGGCTCTGGTTCTGACTCTGGAGGTCCAGACTGCGAGGATGCAGCTGAAAACATTCACAGGTATCAGGGGACTCTCTCTGCAGCGCCTCCTCCTGGCTCGGTTCGACCTTCGCCTTTAGGGAGCTACTCTCCGGTTCGAATCCAGGGTGCAACCAGCTCTGGTACCTGCTCCACCTGCACCCCGAGCCCCCAGCCACCACACAGCCTCTCCTGCCCTCTTTCAGCGGGACTCGGTACACTGCAAACTTCACCTACAGGAAAGCAAGGAGGAAGCTCAGCACCGTTAGCATCCACTCCTCCACCTCCATCTCTGGGGATGAAGAGAGGGGTGGTGCCTCCAATGCTGCCAGCTGTGCAGGGACACTGTTTCCATCGGGGTATATCCGCTCTACATGGGGACACTCTGAGTCCCCTGGGCTGTCTGGACTCTGGAAATCACATGGACGGAGGCAAAGGACCCGGATCAAGGACACATAATGGTAGGTCCAAAGCTCCTCTGAGGAGTCTGAAAAGAAAAAGAGTTGGTAGAAGGACTTCATCAGGCTTCTGAACTCTGCTGAGGTTTGCCTTATTGTTACTTTGGATGCTCATATTAGCAGGTATTAACAACTCAAAAAATCACTCTGCCTGTAATGACATCATCTTAAATAAAATCATGAAAATCGGTGAAACCAGTGAAAGATTTTGAGGGTTAATATTTTGTTATCCTTTTATGGCCCCTGCCCTCCTTACAGCTAATTGTCCACATGCCTGGGCAGGTTATACATTACTCCATAGAGTAGTTATACACAAATGTAACCAGACACAGCCTACATACAACTCCATCTCCATTTTCAAGATCAAAACACTGTCAAACCTCACCATGCTATGGGATGCTGTTTGTCATCTGTGCTTGTTTACATCCAGGTTGTAGAGTACCAGTAGTGAGCAGGTGGCTGCACTACGGCTTAGTTAAGCTTCTTTTATGTTTTCTCAAATATCAACACATATGCACTCAATGTGATATATCTAGACAGACCAACATCAGCTGATATTATCGGCAAACCCATACAGCTCTCTGTGCTTTACCAACTTCTCTTTCTTTTACTGTGGTTTCCTTTCCTCCTCTGTTCATCTCTGTCACTTTATTCTTCCTTTCTTGCACCATCAGTCTCTCAATGAAAAATCAGTCAACAGGTTTATGTCTGAGTATAAATAGATATGGATGATGCACCTCCATCTTTATCAACTGTAAAACTGAAGCCAAAATGCTGCTGTGAAGGGAGCTTGGATATTATTTGTGTGTCTGTGACTGATGTATTATTCTTTCAAAGTATAATATTTAAAAGCAGAGCAGATTGTTTTTCACTCTGAACTGATTTATCCTTCACAAAAATTCACTCACCGTGTAAATCAGCCGAAATGTTCAAAAAGATAATCTTAACTGTGGGAGCATTTGCTGCAGAGGGACAGCTGGTGGTTTGAAGTGATTAAGTTTTGTCTGGTTCAGTGTTTCTGTACTTTTGAAGGAATCTAAGCTCTTTTCTCTTTCTTCTCTCCCTTCATGCATGAACTTAAACCCTCCCCATATCTTCTCCATCTGCCTTTCCTTCACTATTTTTCTATTTTTCCATCTCTTAACCCGTCCATCATAACCCGAACACCTCCCCTCCCCAACAGCACACCACCTCTCTCCTCAGGCGCTCAAATGGAGGGAGTACCGCCGCAGAAACCCTCTGGGCGTGGAGAGGGTCTCAGGGGGCCACTCCTCTACAGGGTCAGGCCCCCTCTGTGGAAGCCTGGAACCTCGAAGGGGCGGGGGACCAAGACCTGCCCGACGGAACGTGTTTGATTTCCCCTCAGCCCTCTCTGGCAACACGCTGGCACGGCTCAATGGTGCTCATAGTTTTACTGAAAGTGTTGAAAGAGAGTGAAGAATCTGCTGCTTGAGTGTTATTTGAGGAGTTCAAGGTTCAAAGAATGTATGATCACCTGTGTGTCTTTCTGTGTGTGTGTGGGTGTTTCTGTTTCAGGAGTGGGCCAGTCAGCTAAGCTGCAGCAGAGCTACAGTGACTTCCTCCCAGACTATTTCTCCCTGACAGAGAAACCTCCAGAGGAGTTCTGCCTCTCTCCCGACGCTTCCACCTCGACCCCCTCCTGCTCTTCATCACAGTCACACATCTCTGTGGACCTGACGCAGAAGAGAGGTGAGACTTAGTGTTCATTTGTGTGTGAATGTGCATCATTGACAGGGACAGTGGGTTGTCTCTAAATATCTAAAAGGTCTCATGCCACATGCTGAGCAGTTATCCTTGGACGTGTCCATCTTTGTCAGTATTGATGCAGTATTTGTGGAGAGTCTGTTTTATTCCCTTTTTGGTTGAATGCTATTTCTTGGACTCACTTGAAGAATACAAAGCAAAATACTTTCATGTGCGTGAAATATAATTAAGATTTTAGCATCTTTGTCCAAATCCTCCAGCTTTCTGGTTCTGCCTTTACCTTTGCTTACAGTCCTTAGACCTTATCCCCCCTGAGGGAAGTTTGGTTTGCATAAAAGATACACTGCAAAAACAGCCCCACTAGAAAGAAGCAAAATATTCTTATATTCAATCTAATAATCTTGTATCAAGCAAAAAATCTGCCAATGGGGTAAGCTCTTTTTGCTTAAAATTAGAATTTTAGTCTCTTGAATAAATGAACTTACACCTTAATGTAGGATTATTAATGAGCATGACCGTCCTTGAAATAAGACATAATTTCTTAAAACAACATAGCAAATATAAGTGACGTTGTCTTAAATCAAGATACCAAAAACTTCTCATCAAATATATATTTTTTATTCCACAAGCAAACAAGTTCTTTGTTGTTCTTTGTTGTTTTGCAGTTTTCATCTGGTCATTGTATTATGTTGTCTGTTGTACAGACTAGCTTACTAACATCTTTATATGTCAGATAATGTAGGAAGAAACAGATTCTGTCAAGTTCAGGTGACCTGCAATGGAAATGTTAATTAAAAAAAATCAACTGTTCTTGTTTCATGGCATTCTTAAATCGAGAAGTTGTACATTTGTCTTACTCTTAAAATGAGATGAATTATCTTGTTGTTCCGCTGGATTTTATTTTAAAACATTTTTCTACTCTATTTATGGTTCATTCTATCTCAAAATAAACTGGAATATCTTATCAAGAAAAAGTTAGCCATTTTCTCTTAAAATTGGATAATTTTTCTAATGCCAAACATGCTTGATAAGATTAATATTCTTTTTGTACAAAAAATAAGACTTATTTCGTTAATACAAGGCTGTTTTCCTTTCTTGAAATTCCTTTTTTGCAGTGTATAAATATTAGAAGACATTATCATCATAAAGCAGTCCACCCATAGATTGCATTAAGAAATACAACATACCATAACTGGTTGATCTGCTAACAATGTTGCCTTTTCACTATTTTCAATCAAAGGTAGGCCTTCAATGAAATGCAAAACATCAAATTATGCGTTTGTTAACATTTTACACAGCATCCTCACTTTTTTTAGAGCTTAAGTAATAAGTCCTTTTAAAAGCTCCAGTTACTGTAGGAATACTGCCACACAGAGCAATGCTCTCAGAATCAAATATGCTCATCAGTGAACTGTTGAGAAAATGACATTTCAGGAGCCTGCAGTGTTGTTGTCATGGAGAACAGGTGGTGAAAAGATGTTGTTGAGAGGCGGTTCAGTCAAGTGGCTCTCACTGTAGAAAAGCTACTTGACAGAGAGATGAGGGTAATTCAAGACCTCTTGTTGAGGCAGCAGGGTGTTGTTTAATGAGCAGCCTGGGTTTATCTTCCTGTGTGGACAACAGCCGCACTGTTGGAGAGCACTACACAGTTACTGAACCCTTTTTCACTTTCGGTTCAGATTCACCGTGACCCCTGAGATTTGCCAAGGAGTGTAGTTGGCAGTCATTAACATTTTTAAATTCCATCATACTTGTAGGTCTGAATCGCTATATGCTCTGTCTAGCATAACCACTGTAATGCCTTTTGTGTAGCTTTCAGAAAGGAGAGAGGTGTCAGCTGTTCATTGTTGTCTTAGCAAATGAAATAATGAGTTCATGCAGAATTGGAAACCCAGAGACGGTCATGGAAAAAAGCAAAAATTGTGCTTGTTTGCAGAGGAGTACAAAAGAGACAGACCAGGTTGCAATTTTAGAGCAGAGTTATAATGGAGGAAACATGAATTGAAATTTATTGCAAGTACACCAAACAGCTGATAAACTGTGTCTTTGTTCTCCCATTTGTTGCACTAGGTTTGGTGAAGGCCGTGAACACAGCTGTGGATCTGATTGTGGCACACTTTGGCACCAGTCGGGACCCAGATGTAAAGGTGAAGACGTTTTTCAATGATGAGATTGATCACTCCCTTTATTGGACTTACTTTTAAAACAACACGCTGCTATTACTAAAAGGGAAAACTGACTCTGCCTTAAAAAACAAAACTGTAATTTAGCACCTTGGCAGAGCTTCCCTTCATTCGCGTCATTTCACATACACATAGCTCTGAAAAATGTGGAGTTGCACCAGCTTCAGTCAGGACAGTGAATATCTGTCGTATCAAGTGTTTGTTTACACAGAGAGCTGATAAGACTTCATTAAGTGATACAGATGAGATTATTTCACAGATCTGAAGTTAAGGCAAGTAAACCAGTAATCATTAACAGATCGAGAGCTCAGACAAACAGATTTTACTCCTCCTTTCAGTTTCATTATTATGAATTTATGTGACCAAAATAGAAAAATGGAGGGTTATGTAAACAAACATCAGCGGCTTTAGTAAACATGAACCCAGAGTTGACCCTAACCCTGCTTGTTTCTCTTTCATTCCCTTTACTCCATGATGTTTCCTCTCCAGGCTAAACTGGGGAACAGCTGGGTGAGTCCAAATGTGGGTCACCTCATCCTAAAGTACCTGTGTCCAGCTCTGCATGAGGTCCTGCAGGACGGTCTGAAGGCCTACGTGCTGGACCTGATCATCGGACAGCGGCGCTGTCAGCCCTGGAGCCTGGTGGAGGCCTCCACACAGCTTGGTGAGGGCAGTTAAATCACGGTCTATGAAGGATCTTCAGGGTGTTACTTTCACCAGCATCACTGATGGTGTCCTGGGGTCCTACCAACCTCTACTGAAACCAATCAGAGCCATCATAATAGGGGTTTACTGAACCACAACTGCTGCTTTTAAAATCATTCAAATCTGGAGGTCAGAAATAGGTTTCCTGGAGGGAGTAAAAAAACAATCATCACTTAAAGGGATATTCTGGCGTAAAATAAATTCAGGGTCAAACACCCCGCAACACTGAGTTGGACACCCAATCAAGAAATGAATGTTGCCAACTGCTTGCTTCTCTAGTTATACCAACTTTAATAACAACCGCAGGATAGCAATACACAGTGGTCTGAGGAGCCATACACAAACCTCAACCAAAACGCCACTCTATAGCCACAAATAATGCTCAGAACAGCAGCTAACTTCATCAGTGGTACATATTGGGCCTTAGCCACAGCACTAGCCACCAAACATCTTTTTAACTTTGCTTGATTTCTTTAGCAAAGAGACTAAACAAAACTCACCTACTCTCTTCCAGCAGCCGCTTGGTTGCAGCGAGACCTCAGCCCAGTCCATTACGGACTGCAGCGGGGTGACGCAGCTCAAGGAAGAACATTTATGATCTTTACGTCATCATTTCCTTGAAGTAATAATCATCATGTTAATCATTTTGCACTGCAGACGCGGTAGTTCTTCTGCCCTAGCGTCCTTGAGCTGCATCACCCGCAGCTAACTTAATTTTACGCCGGAATATCCCTTTTAATGAGACTGATATCTGATATTTGGATGCCAGTTTGTATTTATAGTACAACCTTTTTTTCCACTTAAATGCAGAAACTGGAATATTATAAACTCCGGCTCAAAACTTTACCTTTAATCAAACTGAAACTTTGGACATCACACAGAGGAATCCCCCAGGAGTTAGTTTGCTGACTTGATGTTTCTCAGCTGTTGGTTCAGCAGGTGTCTGATGATGTGAAGCTTGAATCGTCTGAGTTTGATGTGTTGTGAGTGATATATGTGTACTTTTTGTGTCTGTATCAGGCCCGTCCACACGCGTCCTCCACAGCCTGTTCTCTAAAGTGAGTCAGTTCTCGGAGCTCACGAGTCACAGCATGAGACTCAACGCCTTCATCTTCGGACTGCTAAAGTAAGTTTGTTTACTCTGTTGCTGTTTTGACTACAATGGCTTCCCTCGACTTTTTAGAGCTTAGTATCAAGTTTTTGCAGGCTGTGAGTTAAATGTTTGTTTTCTCACAGCTCGTATATCATGATGATTTCCTTCATTTCAGCCTTAAATCTTTGGAGTTCTGGTTCAACCACCTCTACACTCACGAAGGTAAGACTCAGTGTATCATTTATTCATCTTTAGGTACTCAGACAGATTAGAGATCTCCTGAAGTGTTTGACGTCTGACTTCTTCTGGCTCCAGCTCTGATATTCTTCCTGTTTTGTTTGACTTTCCTCAGATATCATAGCAGCACACTACAACCCATGGGGTTTCCTCCCTCTGTCCCAGGGGGTGTGTCAGCCCCTCTTTGAGGAGCTCCTCCTCCTCTTACAGCCTCTTTCTCTCCTTCCCTTTGACTTGGACCTCCTGTTTGAGCCTCACCTCCTCCAGAAAGGCCAGGAGCAGCTCCGCCGCAAAGAGCAGCTGTGCTCCGCTGGCCAGAGCGTCGACCAATCAACACGCTCCACCTTCCAGCTCATGAGAGGATGGAGCGCCACAATGAGCGAGATGGTGCGAGACTCGAGTGCTGAGGTGAAGAAGGAGAGGGGGCTGCTGAGGCGGGAGGGGACATGGCCGAGGATGGAAGGGGTTGGGTCGAGGAAGGAGGGAGGAGTGAATTCAAGGTTAAGGAAGGAGGGGAGGACATCTGAGAGCATGACAGCTGGGTGTTTGAACAGGCAGACAGCAATGGATGTAGGGTTCCTCTGGAAGGACAGGGGGATGGGGGGTCCGAGAGTGAAGGGCGTAGGACAGGAGAGCCAGGAAGAGGGCGAGGATGGGCAGGAGAACGACAGAAGGAGGGAGAAAGAGAAGGATATGGCAGAGGAGGGGCGTCAGCGGCAGGAAAGACAGGCGGGGTGGTGGTACCAGCTCATGCAGTCCTCCCAGGTCTACATTGACCAATCAACAGAGGGGTCAAAGTTCATCAAGACTGAAAAGAAAAAGAAGTCATCAGAGAGGCGAAACGGTCAGCCCCCGCCCACCAGAGAGGGAGTGGTGGAGGGGGCGGAGTCCAGCCAAGAAGGGGAGGGGTTCAGGAGCAGGAAGAGCAGCAGCAGCTCCAGCGGGGACTCAGCTGGATCCAGAGGGCGGCCGTCGTGGATGGGGAGCCCACCAGAGTCTGTTCTCAGCCAAGAGAAGGAGACCAAAGCTCAGAAAGGACCCACAGGGACAGGAGCCCCAGCTGCAGCCTCAGACGAGAGCCCCTCACAGGGACAGAGTCTGCGCTGGGGGAGGCTCTTTGGATCCAGTGTTGGCTCTCCTTCCAGGGTGGAGGGAGCCGATCTAAGAGGGAAAACTCAAACAACAAGGTCAGTCAAAGATTATGTGATATAACCGTCAATTGTAAACAAGTCCCATCAAAATACAAAAACCTGTTTTTTATTTTTTTTTAAATTTTGTCATCAGTAGAAATAATTTTGATTCTTCTTTTGCACTTTCTGTTTTTCTCAGGCCACCATCCGGCTGGCTCTCTCTTGACAGATCTGTTCTGGACCTCGTCGCTCAGACTATTGGAGCAGGTAATGGAAAGAAAGCGGAGCCTCCAGTCACACCAAATCACACTCAAGCTTCACCACCACCGAGATCAGCTCAACCAGCTGAAGCCAAACATAAGTCTCCTTGGTAAGTAAATGATATTTTCTTTTTCAGCTTCATTCCTAAAACTGTCAGGAGTAATTTTCGGTCCAACAGCTACTTGATTAATGGTCATATCTATGTGTATTTATGTGTCCATGTCCTCTGTCTCTCCTCAGTGAAGTTCGAGCTTTGTGTCACCACATAGCAACAGAGCCCGGCCAGCTGAGCTTCAATAAAGGAGACATCCTGCAGGTCCTGAGCAAGGCCGACTCAGACTGGCTTCTCTGCTCTCTGGGCTCCACACAGGGTTTAGTCCCCATCATCTATGTGACCCTGAACAGCCTGGAGGAGAGCCAGGAGGCTGCTAGACTTGAGGAGTGCTGAGCCACAGCCGTATGAAGAGTGACTGAAGAGATGAGGTGACTGCACATTGGAGAGGATTTCTGAAAAAGGAAAAAAAAATAAAACGTTGTAGAAAATACAGAGCTCATGAAGACGATGTACAGACACATGCAAGGGACGCATGCAGGCTCACATCCACTTCAAGGGGACACCCAGAAACGTATGCATGTACATCCAAAAAACCAAAAGTCCAGACCAGAAAACAACCCAAAGACTCCGACACACCTGAAGCTGTGCGCTTCAAGCTTAACTCTGTGACTGTTCAGGCTAAATCCCATCAATCTCTGCTTTCAGCTTAACCAAGAGGCATGACTCCAGGTGGGGAAATGTAAAAGTCCGATATGAATACCATGCCTAGCTGCACTTTGCTTTACCGTCTGTACATTCACCTCGCTGTGCCACGCTCTGAACACAGTCCTTGGTTTTTTTCCCCTCACTTAACAACCTGGTTTGGGTGGACTTTCAGTAAAGTCTAAGGTGGGTGATCAGGTTGGCTGTCAAACCTGAGTAAAGTTAACGCAGAATAACAAGGTTATAATTGTTTTAGTGTTCCATCTGTCTTAACTGGTGACTGCATCAAAGCATTTTTGTACAGAGACTAAGGGATGTAGAGACTTGAATGCGCATTTCATTTTTTTCAATTTACTTCACAAAGCCACAAAAGCAGGAGAAGCTGATACGCCGATATCTGAACACCTTCTTTCAGTTTGCAAATCATAACCAACAAGGGAATTCAAGAAACTGTCACCATTTGGCCGCTTTTCAAAAACCAGGAACTAGAAACACTAAAAACTGAAAATCATCTAACATAAAGCAGACAACACTTAGCTCAACCGGCTTCATTCTATTTTCTATTTAGGACGATCATAATAGAAATATTACAGATATAACAAACAGACAAATAATTCTAGTGCTAGCTAGCAAGGGTGTCAAAGTTCAGTCCTTAAGTTTACTTAAACACTTACCTGATCAAAAGAAAAAACTTTGGCTTGTATGGTAATAACATTTATAAAACAACAAACTTGAATACTCATAGTTTGTAGCTACAGCTAGCAAACACTGAATATTTGTATTGAATTGATTTGCACACTGAAAGGCTGCTTTTAGTTTCTCAACATGAGTGTGATTTCAGAGGTTAAAGGAGCTCTTTGAACGTTGAGCGCATGTCCAGTTGCCAAAATCGTTCTTTTTTTCCCTCCATTTAGTCGTGTTACCAAACAAACCCTTCACTATGTTTTTAAAGAGAACACACACACATACATGTACATGTGCATTGGATCTGTTGGTACATACTGTAAATGCATTTATGACTTCAACATTTGCTGAGTTTATTAAGTTATTGACCAGTCCATCAGAAAACTGGGAGGAGATGTCCAATGAAAGCAAAACGTAGCTGTGGAGACCATGTGCTCTCTGTGTACGTGTCGGAAACTCTAAGCTCGCAAATTTATTGCCAATTAAACGTTTGTGTTGCATTTAGAGGAAATAACGTCTCTGCCTTAAAGTGCTTTTAGGAACAAAAGGGAAATTTGCCCTGTCGGAAACATTGAGGCCTGTAATCTAATATTCGTCCTGATGTTATATTTTGTATTCGCTATGACGAGTCTTTCTTGAAATGCTCTGGAAGTGTTTGTCAGCAGAGATTCTTTAAGGGAAAGAGGAGAAAAAGAGATGATATAAAGGGGATATTTTTGATGATCAAAGGGAAACAGTACATTTTGAACTAGCAGCTCCTCTGGCTGAGATGACGAGCTAAAACCACAGATATAGAGTTATCCTAGATAGATGACGAGTGTATACAGAAGCCCAATCTAACTATGACACGACGTTATAAAGGTAAAATCTATGTACATTTATAACATAAATGAATGCTTGTGTAGTTTTTGAAAAACTTACTTCATTTACTGTTCCGTTTTACTTTTTTGTATAGTTTTTACAGTCATTTAATTTCTGCAAAAACGATTTAATACTTCATTTGCATTCAACTGTAAATATATTTAATTCTATAGCGATTAATTTCTGCCATAGAGGTTTATGTATGAATGTTATTACTGATTAATGCATTACATGTTGAATACAGAAAGCAGGTATAGGCTGTAGTTTCAGCACTAACAGGCGGCGGTGATGGTTGAAGGTATGATGGTGTTTTGGTATTTTATTCAGCCCTCCACAGAGTTTGCTTCTCATTGGTGTCCTGTTCAGACTTAAAAATAAACAAACAGTATAAAATTGACAAAACAGAAAGACACAGAGGCTCAGGGGTCAGAGGCCAAGGCAGATGCACTTTGTTTTTTAGCATTTGATCAGCTGATCAATCTTGTGCGCTAAAATGCTACATTGTATAAGGGATGAAAAAGAGAGAAAGACAGAAGCCGTCTTTCTTTCTTTCTTTCTGTCCGTTTTTCGGTCTGCTCTCTCTCTCTCTCTCCTTCAGCTGCCTCCTCCTGCCTGTAAATACCTTCAGCATCAGTGACACTGCTCTTCTCTCTGCGTCCAGGCTCTATAATGTAAACGTATGACATTATCAAACTGCTATGGATGTTCAATAACAAAGTGCTCATGTGATCACAATCCTGAACGGCTCCTGTGTCTTTTTTTCTTCACCACACCAAATGCCAGGTTTTACTCATACATGCAGAGTGTCCTCCTGAGTACGACCAATACCAGGACAGTTAATATTGTACTTGTTTGATGGTATCAGTTTCTGTTGAAGACAACTAATAAGCTCCTGAAATAGCCCCTTTAAACTAAACTAATAACACAGCATGCTGTGTAATGCATGTGTCTTGATTGGACAACTAGATCTCTGTAAGGGGTGAGTAAGTTAAGCACAAAAATGCAAAATCTTGCGGAAAAGTTTCACAAGGGATAATATATTTTCCCCATGGTTTAGTCAAGCGATTTCCTCCATTCTAGACACATTTACAACATTTAAAAGTTTAATCTGTTCTCTGGGACAATGAGTTTTACCCTCAAGAGAGACCTGAGACCACTTCATATTGAAAGAGCACGAAAAGTTGGCCTATGGGTTGATTTTTTATTCTACAAACAAGTTCATAAACTACAAATGTTATTTCTAGTTATGTAAATGTACCTTTAAACCTCAGGGATTAAGTTATTATGAAAAGTTGGACAGTATTTTTGAGTATATTTTATCCCCTTAAGTGTAAGTTGAACTCTTGAAGGCGTCCATTGCTGAAGTTATTTGTTGATCCATCTCAATAGAAAGTCAGGTTAAGAGGTTGTGGCGTTAGCTAATGCGAGCTAGCTGTGTTCGGCTTTTACATTTGTCATATGAAGTTTGTCTACATTTGGAATGAATTTGAAAAAAATGGAATAGTGTTTTGCTCCTGTGATGCGCGTTAGTTTTCACTTTGACTCATTATTTTGGTGGTTGATTGACCTCTTTTTTGTGAGGTTATACTTTGGGGCATTTTTTCCGTCTTTACACAGGGCAGCTGAGAGCCAGCTCATCTCTGAACTCTTTTGTCTATATCTCACCTAATATAAGGGAAACAATAGTAATATTCATTGTACAGATGATTAATCCCAATCTACCCTGAAAGTACTTGAAAGTGTCTAAATAGTCATGAAAGGCATGAAAACACTTGTTACCGTCATACCACCACATGCTGTTTGTTCACAGGTGAAAAATATGTACCTCAGCCACCAGGTGATGCTGCTGTCCAAGTAAAGAGTAGTGTTTTTCACAGCAGGCTGGATCCTTGACAGAGAAAACAGCAGGTGAACCACTCTGTTACATCTTTCATTACACCCTTTAAATCATTTAAATTAATTATTTCCCAGCAGCTTCGCTCTCATCCCCACCCTCGCCTCAAAAACAGACAAAATCAGCCAGAAAAGGGAGTTTGTGTTCAAGCTGTATCTTGTTGACTCAATATCAGACTCATATTAAACTCAGTGTTATGTCACTAAATGACATTAATTTAGCTGACACTTTTCCATTAATTATTTACAATTTTACAATAAAAGCATGGTGCACTTCCTGTTTGAAACTTTAACTAAAAGCTTAAGATTGTTTTATCACCATTAATAGTTCCAAATTAGATGGAAATATTTCATAGTTGCTACATTAACATGAATATATCTGTGTGACGTGACAGTTTTGCTGATTTGTCAAGAACACCAGTGAAAACAAATTCGTTTAAATACCAGGTTCTAATACTTAGCATTGTTTTCTATCAATAACAGCCAATTATTGATATTATCCACCATTTGCTCAGAGCTTCAGTACAACAGACAAATATACTTAAGGTAAGCTTTTCAATTAGGAAGACAGATTTATTCAAAGTGCAGTGTGGGAATTTTACACCATCTGGGAACGATCAACAACATACAGTTTGTAAAACGTAACAGAGAAAAAGTTTTTGCAGCTATATCAAATGTCATCGGTCAGTGGCAACATGCACCTTTCAGCTTGTTACTATGGGTTGCTCTCCTAGTTGACCTATTATGCACAAAAACAATAAACAAAATGTGGTAGTAAGTGGCTAAAGGGATGAAAACAACATCATATTTACAACTCTGTATCTTCAATAGTTGCGATGTGACAGTTTTTCCTTTTTTTTCATCCTTGCCATGTAAGTTTTGTTTATCAATCGGCTTTCTGGCAACAGATTAATGCAACTGAAGGCCTGACCAAACATGGAAACTCTCGAGCATGTGTAGAATATTTAGGCCAGTTTCAGTCTAATAGAAGAGCATTCATGAAAGAGCAAATTGATCCCAGCTGCTTTATATGTGTGTTTGTCTATGAGAGGTTTGTATATATCAAGCCCATGAGTGATTCATATTATTGTAACTAATAAACTTTGTTTGCCAAACAAATTTTATTATAGCCAACAAGAAATTTACCCTCTGACCTGAGAGAGCATGCCGTGGTATGAAGCCAAATATTTGATTCATTTCAGATGAACATTTTAAACCAAGTTAGCTGCTGTTTTTATGTCATGGTAAATCTGTAAAGCTGTAGTGTATAAGTTTAAAATAGTGTAAGTAATGTTTTCTAAATGAACATTTTCCAGTATTATGTTGAATGTGTTTGGAATGTGTTTGTGTTTGAATTGTACTTTGTCCATCAATGTTTGTATTACGTCTTCATCACAGAGGGACAGAAACACAACCTGAGGATAAAACCAAGAGCCTCCCTGCACAGACAGTAACTGAAGAACACTTTGACCAAAACAAATGTAAAAATGCAGTCAATAAAGGAAGATGAGTTCACAGTTTTAAAAAAGGTGCTTTTATTTTGAAAATAGATCAACAATCCAATAGTTCATACACTCACTTTTGAAACTTTGATAGTTCTTTACATTTCCCAAAAAACAGAAACCACGTAAATTCTTCAGAATTTCTTTAGTTTTTATTGCCACACCCCAAGAAACATAAAATGATAAATCTGTGAAAAAGCTTTGAGTGATGGGTGAAACTCATTTTACCATCTGAATTATTGTTTGTTGTTGAATCAATGGTTTGATCCAGACTTCCCACTTTTATTCAAAGAGGTCAAAGGTGACTCTCAGTTTTACTATGGCTTTATTCCAGTGCAGCGTTTTCCCTGTAAACACACAAAGAAAGAGAAAACAAAACCAAAATTACTTCAGTGTGAAAATGATGAGCTTTGAAACTTTAGGAAAGAGAATGACAACCTCTGTTGAATTTGAGCTTGTTGCTTTCAAGACTCTACATTTGTGAGCAGCAAAATATCCAAAGACAACGTACCTTGTAATTCATTTTCTTGCAGTGTGCCCTCACTTTGTCCACGTGCTCAATCACTCCTTGGACCCAGTCCACGTTAACTGGTGCGCAGAGCTTGACGCCATTCCTGGTCACCAAACTGCAACACCACAAAATCGTCCAGGTCAGATGTGATTGTTTACGATTAAATTCATCTGTGTGGAGTACAGTCTGCTGATAACAAATATGTACTTGAAGCCAGGACTTACATCATAGCATCCAAAGAGCATCCTTGTCCGCTGATCTGTTCGTGGTAGTTTGCTACCACATGTTTAGGGACTGTTCTGTCTGTGAGGACACTCAGGCAGCACACCAAAGGTTCCTCAGCCAGGGTCACTGAAAGAGAGAAGAGAGAAAAAACTCAGTATGAAGTAAATAGATAGAAAAAGATATGTGTGTGTATCTGGTTTAAATACTTGACTGGACTGAAGGCTGGTGGTGCTAGCTCTGCTAATGTTAGACACACTCAGGAAAACTAAAATGACATGAATTACCTGCAGACACTGTGCTCCCTTGATTAAGTTGGGTTAAATTACACTCAATTTTGGCTGTTGTCTGAGTGCCTTCTTACCTGAGGACTTGTAGGCTGGTAGATATTTAAATTTCTGTTAGAATCAGACACTTGAGAAAATCTCTAATATTAGCGTTTGATTTCTTGTTATCAGTAAACTAAGCTCACCACTGCTCCCCGTCTTTAAGGGGTAATTACAGACTTTACAACCACTTTAGTGCCTGCAGAGATCACTGTAATTCTAAACAGTTCTTTACAGGTCATGACTTGATTCACTGATGTGTTTTAATGAAAGAAAAGAAAAAAACCTTCATCAAATTAAACTCAATAAAGATCTTTATGTGACACCAGATCTCTTTAGCGGGTATTTTACGAGGTTAGTATGGTGTTGGGTGTGTTTGTGTGTGGTTGACGGAGTGTGTCAGGATTTTATGGCCCATTAAACACTGAAGTGTTGATGCTTTAAAACAGGAATTCAATACTCTAAAATACTCTAAAAAGAACATATCAGGTGACGTAAGGTTTATTTCCAGAGGCGCTCTTGTGCCAAAGGTGATCCAGGAGAGAACTTTGAATATATAGTGCTATATTTAATTTACAGGAGAGTAAAAATGTTCCATAAATTGTAAATATTAGCTGAATTTAATCAATGTTCACCTTTTAATGGTAATGTTGTATAACTTGTGTGGAATATAAAAAAAAAATTGATAATGGCTGCTCAGCTTGTTGGTATACTAATCAACATTACCACCTGAACATTGACTGAACATTATCCCGTATTTATACTGTTTAGTACACAGAGGCAGGGTGTGTGGTGTTTAGGATCTACTTGGTTGTCCTTGAGAGGGCAGTTTCCCTCTCGAGGACAGAACAGTACACCTGTTATTCTAAGTTTTTGAGATTTTCTGCTGAAGAACCGGTAATTATTGATGTATTTGCTCATGCAGTTGCTCACTGGGTGTTGAGGATCTCCCTATCTAATTTCTGAGCGACCCTGGCATTTTTTAAATTGGGGTTGTGCGAGCTACACATGCTCTAAACATTTCTTTTACTCTTATTATGAACTGATTGAATAAGTTAGTATGTATATCTGTTTTTTTAAAGGTTAAGTCAAAAATATTTTATGCTTTAAATGAAATTAAATAAAACTCACGTGCAGTGATTTAAAAGGGGATTTTGCAGTTCACAAACTTGTATTAAGTTAAGGGGAAACCTATGAAGCAAATAGGTGTCAAAGGTCTCCTTTTCGGCGTGCTCTCTGTGTGAAAAAACATCCTATGTTCCCACAGAAACTGCAGAGTCATAACTTTAATTACAGAAGTTGCCTCACTAGTTTTGGCACGTAGCCAGGATTTATGATGCTTCAACTTCTACTTTCACTGACTACAAAGTGCAACCGAGGGGAACTCCAACATCACACCAGCATGAGACTGATTATCTAATCATCCTGGTGCTGCAGACATGAAAAAATCTAAAGAGTTAACTCATTTTAACTTCATTTTACATCAGACTTCTGAGATTATTAAACCTGATTCTTCCTCAAAATAACTGCTTGTACATCATATTCAACCTGCTTTTATCTATAACTGTTATTCTGTTTCTTCATTTGATGATTTAGTGACTGTTAAGGCTCCTTTTGTCACTATTTTGAATGAGGAGTTTTATAACACAAGTCTTATTCTGTAAAGACGTACAGATTGTAAAGCTGTCTCAGACACTGCTGTCATAAGAATGGAGAAAAATAACATTCTGTACTCACAAACTTTCACAGTTGTGTGTAAATAATTAAAAGCTGCAGATGTTGAACCCCAAACATGGCCCCAGTTAGATGTTTTCTCTTTTTATTTACTACTCCCCCTCTGGACTCGCTCCAGCCTCCAGGATTTCATCATTTTTATCACTTCCTTATTTTTCCACAGCTCAGCTGGTTCTGTGCTGCTGCCCTCTTGCCCCTCTATTAAAGTCTAAGGGCTCTATTTTTGTGTACGCCGGTGAGGCGACGGAGGGTGGCGGACCCCGCGCAGTTGTATTTTCTTCTGGCGGAGCCTGGCGTACAGCCAGTTTGGTATTTTCGTGGACTGAGGCGCACGGAGGCAAACCAAGATCCGCCAAGCTGGGCGTGGTGGCGTGGCAGGGGGAGGTGTCGACAGACTCAGCAGGCGCAGTGACATTTTCGTGCTCGCCAGTGGCGTGTAAAGTTCGCTGAAAGCTCGCCGTTTCAAACCTGGTCAGATTTCAGCACAAGCAAAACGCAGCTGGTCTAGAGGTATTTTGATAGACCGGCGGCGTATTGGCATACGTCACCGATGCCTCACCAGCAGGTTTCCACAGTGTCAGGCACATTTCAGTGCAATAAATAATCATCAACAACTAATAATCTGAGTCAGCACATACATTTATATCTATATAGATATATTCTGATCTATATCTGATCTGATGAGCGCGTTTGGCACGCGTTTGGACACACAACCTGACCGAATCAACACAGCTGAAACCGCATTAAATTAAGTTAAATATCTAGTAAATAAAAACACATGATGAAGTTAACAAGATATGTGATTCGTCTCCCTCTTTTCTTTCTTCCTCTTCCTCTTATTTCTCGTGTAGCTCGACCTGGACATGTCTCCATGTCCTCTCTCCGTCCTGCAGCGGCTGAACAGATGATTTGTTTCAGTGCTCAGATGAGTTATTTACTTTAAGCCGACATACGGATATTATAATATTCCGTTTTGTGAGCCAGACCACGGAGCGCGATGCGTCATTTACGCACAGATGGTTCCGATTTTAATGCCATTTTTGGAGTTTATGTTGTGATTTGTGCACACAACCCACCTTTGTCACGTGAGGTTTGAATATATGCAACTTTATGTGAGTGTCTTTATTTGTGGAAAAGGGTGTTTGTCTTACCAGTGGGTCCAACATTACACACACCAAATCCATCTGTGTTCATATGAGAGAGTGTGGAGGACGCCCAATGCAGCGCTTACAGTGACACTTGCTGAGGGGCTGCCTTCTGTCGCCATCGTGTGGCATTACTGTCTTCAGACATCTCTTGATCTCTCTGACTACGTCACAAAAATAGTAATATGCCTCACCGGTGGCGGATTTAAAGGCAAGGAGAGGAGCTTATGTGATTGGTGAAAACAGGTCTCAGCTGTGTTAAACCCACTCTACGCCCTCTCTCCTTCCTTCCTACGACTTATGCCGCTGGGAGGAGCTGAGTTAGGGAGGGGGGATACTTACGCCTGCTCACCAAAATACCAAATTGTGCTTGGGAACGCCTTGTTGGCGCGGCGGACCTGACTTACGCCGCGCCTGCGGCACGTCTCCGGCGAGGCACAAAAATAGAGCCCTAACTGTAAAACTTCACATTGGAGCGTGACATATTTCTGTTTTTTTTTTCTCCCTTCTTGACTGCCAACAAATCACACTCATCCAGAAAAGTTAAGTCTGTTCATATTCATACTCTTATCTGTGTCAAACTTTGTGATAAAGTCTTAGCGATGTAACCCATTTGTTTCTTAAGCAGAGTTTTGAATCCTGTTAAAAATAGCTGTGGTCCTGCTGCCATCACTAAGCTGAACGTGATGATATTTGCACACTGTATAGGCACTGTTTATCAGCATTTTTAACCTGTTCTTATCTGATTGTACTCCAAAGATTATTAGTAGCTTCATTAGAGGGATATTTATCCATCTCTTATATTGGCATTCTCTTTTGGGGTCTGATTGATGGAGCTGGTCTTTATTTTTAATCACATATTAGTCTGTTTCAGTGGTTTTTGTTTGGTAAAGTTTCATGTTATGGTTACTGTGTTCAGACTAAGTAAACTTAAACCTAAACCCCAGGTGTGTATGTGGTTTTTTGGGCTTTGAAAGCCAGCCTCTAGTGGACACTTGGAGAACTGCAGTTTTGGGCACTTTGGCATTGTCTCCATATTTCAATACAGGATGTTCTCTCTTGGTGATACACATAATTGTACATGTATTTGATGCACTACATATAATAATATTCTTTTTAAAGACTTCTTCAGCAGGCTACCTTTGCACAGTAGACATTTTATTCATATATTTCTTAAATCTATCTCTTCTTTCATCTTGAACTTTTTTGCTTTTTTAAAAAACGTGTATTTACCTGTCAAGTTTTCTTGTACATGAATGTTTTATAATGTAAACTGGATAAATATTATTTTGAAAAAAGTGACTTATTTTTGCACCTAAGTGAATGCTAGCCAGCTCAAGCCTCCTAAGAAATTTGTATTCAATATTAGATTTTCCAGTTTGTTGCTTTAAATGAAGTGTGGTTTATAACCTTTTTTAAAGCAATGACCCCAAGAAACTAAGATTTTCACTGTGGAATTAAAGTCTCACTCAGTATTTCCTCGTCTTTATGGCTGTTATAAAGGCTCCCTTTACAGTTTGTGTTTTGCTCGAATTCTCTTTGAATGTTTCAGAAATCCACCACACAGATAATTAAACCCTTATTTTCAGTGTTGTATAAATCTCATCCTTTCCTACAATTAGTCTGAGTCGACAAAAGCCTTAAGTGTTGCCTGATTTGACCTCTTACAGGATGCTAAATATGTAGCTACATGTATGTGTTCAATGATGAAGCCTAGAAAGATGCTGGTAAAAAAGGCTGGTCAGCTCACCTGTGCAGCACCCGGTGATGAAGAGGAAGCAAAAGAAGAGCTTTGCATCACCCCACTGAGCCATGTCTGGTTTCTGCGCTGGCGAGGTTGTTTTCCCGTCTTTCTTGAAGGTGACTGGCTGATGAGGAGCCTGTTCTTCCTTTCAGCACCGTTGGTGGCAAAGGATGTGGAGTGACCACTGCTGCCTGGCTGCTCTTATACTCTGTCCACTTTGTTTCACTTTCATTTTTCTGCATGACACTCCTCCTTCTCCTCCTGTAGCTCATCACAGACATATGTAAATACCTCCACAACCCGTCCCTCTTGTTGTATTTCTCTAATTGTCTCTTATTTCAATTGGTTGTACTTCCCAAATGTGCCTGACTCTTCCATGGTATAAGGAACTCTTTTTCTCACTTTGAGTCACTTCTCTAATTTCTTAACAAACAAAGGCAGAGATTTAATCTTAAAATAAACACAGACTGACTTTATACATCACAAAAACAGGGAAACTGACATATAATGATTAACCAGGCAATTCTTTTGTACTCTTACACAATCTAACTTTTTCTCTCCATATAAACTATTATTATTTTTATTTTTATCTTCCACTAAGCATTTTTAATTATCCTCTGCACTGTATACTTTTTATGAATAAAACCAACATTATTGTCACAGCATGTAAACTTTTAAAGATGTTCACTATTTGGGCCAAAAACTTCCTCGAATGGCCACTTGAGGCTGACACCACAAATGTGTCAGTCCTCTTTCTCTTCTCCATTTATGTCAAGGGAGCTGACAGAATCATGCAGGGGTTTGTTTGTTAAAGTTTAACCCGTAATTGATTTGCACAATGTCAGCATGAATTGACTTGAAAATGAAAATGACTTTATCACCAATCAGACAGACAGTTAATTGAGTCACGCTCTCAAAGCGTCAGTAGGGCGTTTCCAAACAAACTCTCGTTTTCTTGTAAATCCAAAGCCGGATATTGGCCTTATCCTTCTGTAGTGTGCAATTCCCCTGCTGTAGAGCCTTTACAGGAAAATGCAGAGGTGGATGAACTTGGATTGTCTGCAGGGTGAAAACCTGCTCAGATCCCAGCACCCACTCATGTCCAGGAGCAGTTTGCAGCCAAGTGTGCTGAAAGAAACAAGAAAGAACATGTTTGACTTTCCCTGAAGATTACTGTCATCCTCTAACTCTTCATTACCAGCGTGTTTATTTATGATGTTTTGCCAAGGTAGAAGTCAAGTATTTTTTTTTTTTTTTGGCAATGATCAAACCTACAGTTGCTATCTCATATTTTTTTAATCGTATTACACTTGGACTTTCATTGAACTGCTGTTTCTGCTGAGCAACAAGTTAGAAAAAAACTCTGACATATTAACATGTGTTCTGTTGGGAAATAGTTAACTGAAGGTTGTAAACAGATGCCTCGAGAAAACAATAATAATATGAAACTTTTTTTTCATTATGTCTAGACATTTCAAGTGATCTAGCTATAGCCTTATGACCTTTGACAGGTGAACTTTGAACTATCTCTCCACACTGGCACCGTTTGAGATGTTTAGCAGGTGGTGAACATTGTGTCCTTAAAGTTAATGGGCTCTATTTTTGTGCCTCGCCGGAGACGTGCCGCAGGCGCGGCGTAAGTCAGGTCCGCTGCGCCGACAAGGCGTTCCCAAGCACAATTTGGTATTTTGGTGAGCAGCGCAATCCGGCGTAAGTATCCCCCCTCCCTAACTCAGCTCCTCCCAGTGGCGTAAGTCGTAGCGAGGGAGGAGAAAGGACGTGGAGTGGGTTTAACACAGCCGAGACCTGTTTTCACCAATCACATAAGCTCCTCTCCTTGCCTTTAAATCCGTCACAGGCGAGGCGTATTACTATTTTCATGAAGTAGTCAAAGAGATCAAGAGATGTCTTTAGACAGTTCTGCCACACGATGGCGACAGAGGGCAGCTCCTCAACAAGTGTCACTGTAAGCGCTGCATTGGGCGTCCTCCACACTCTCTCATATGAACACAGATGGATTTGGTGTGTGTAATGTTGGACCCACTGGTAAGACAAACACCCTTTTCCACAAATAAAGACACTCACATAAAGTTGCATATATTCAAACCTCACGTGACAAAGGTGGGTTGTGCGCACAGATCACAACATTAACTCTAAAAATGGCATTAAAATCGGAACCGTCTGTGCATAAATGACGCATCACGCTCCGTGGCCTGGCTCTTTCTTTCATATACACTCACCGGCCACTTTATTAGGTACACCATGCTAGTAACGGGTTGGACCCCCTTTTGCCTTCAGAACTGCCTCAATTCTTCGTGGCATAGATTCAACAAGGTGCTGGAAGCATTCCTCAGAGAGCTTGGTCCATATTGACATGATGGCATCACACAGTTGCCGCAGATTTGTCGGCTGCACATCCATGATGCGAATCTCCCGTTCCACCACATCCCAAAGATGCTCTATTGGATTGAGATCTGGTGACTGTGGAGGCCATTTGAGTACAGTGAACTCATTGTCATGTTCAAGAAACCAGTCTGAGATGATTCCAGCTTTATGACATGGCGCATTATCCTGCTGAAAGTAGCCATCAGAAGTTGGGTACATTGTGGTCATAAAGGGATGGACATGGTCAGCAACAATACTCAGGTAGGCTGTGGCGTTGCAACGATGCTCAATTGGTACCAAGGGGCCCAAAGAGTGCCAAGAAAATATTCCCCACACCATGACACCACCACCACCAGCCTGAACCGTTGATACAAGGCAGGATGGATCCATGCTTTCATGTTGTTGACGCCAAATTCTGACCCTACCATCCGAATGTCGCAGCAGAAATCGAGACTCATCAGACCAGGCAACGTTTTTCCAATCTTCTATTGTCCAATTTCGATGAGCTTGTGCAAATTGTAGCCTCAGTTTCCTGTTCTTAGCTGAAAGGAGTGGCACCCGGCGTGGTCTTCTGCTGCTGTAGCCCATCTGCCTCAAAGTTCGACGTACTGTGCGTTCAGAGATGCTCTTCTGCCTACCTTGGTTGTAACGGGTGGTTATTTGAGTCACTGTTGCCTTTCTATCAGCTCGAACCAGTCTGGCCATTCTCCTCTGACCTCTGGCATCAACAAGGCATTTCCGCCCACAGAACTGCCGCTCACTGGATATTTTTTCTTTTTCGGACCATTCTCTGTAAACCCTAGTGATGGTTGTGCGTGAAAATCCCAGTAGATCAGCAGTTTCTGAAATACTCAGACCAGCCCTTCTGGCACCAACAACCATGCCACGTTCAAAGTCACTCAAATCACCTTTCTTCCCCATACTGATGCTCGGTTTGAACTGCAGGAGATTGTCTTGACCATGTCTACATGCCTAAATGCACTAAGTTGCCGCCATGTGATTGGCTGATTAGAAATTAAGTGTTAACGAGCAGTTGGACAGGTGTACCTAATAAAGTGGCCGGTGAGTGTATGTTGGCATATAAAATAAATTTGCCTCACAAAACTGAATATTATAATATCCGTATGTAGGCTTAAAGTAAATAACTCATCTGAGCACTGAAACAAATCATCTGTTCAGCCGCCGCAGCAGCAGGAGAGGACACGGAAACGTGTCCAGGACGAGCTGTGCAAGAATTAAGAGAAAGAGGAAGAAAGAAAAGGAGGGAGACGAATTACATATCTAGTTAACTTCATCATGTGTGTTTATTTACTAGATATTTAATTTAATTTAATGCGGTTTCAGTTGTGTTGATTCGGTCAGGTTGTGTGTCCAAACGTGTGCCAAATGCATTCATAAGATCAGATATAGATCAGAATATATCTATATAGATATAAATGTATGTGCTGACTCAGATTATTAGTTGTTGATGATTATTTATTGCACTGAAATGTGCCTGACACTGTGGAAACCTGCCGGTGAGGCATCGGTGACGTATGCCGATACGCCGCCAGTCTACCAAAACACCACTAGACCAGCTGCGCTCCGCCTGCGCTGAAAGCTGACCAGATTTGAATCGGCAAGCTCTCAGCGCACTTTACACGCTGGTGGCGAGCACGAAAATGTCACTGCACCCACTGATTCTGTCGACACCTCCCCCTGCCACGCCACCACGCCCAGCTTGGCGGATCTCGGTTCGTCTCCGTGCGCCTCAGTCCACGAAAATACCAAACTGGCTGTACGCTGGGCTGCGCTAGACGAAAATACAACTGTGTGGGGCTCGCCGCCCTCCGCCGCCTCACGGGCGTACACGAAAATAGAGCCCCATATGTTTGATGTAGGAAAAGCGGGATGACAAGGATGAGAGTTACATTGACAAGAACCAACTGTGATGGTTTGGCAACATGAGAAACTTGAGAACATCATAAGTTACTGAAACTTGTGGAAAGTGGAGGTCCAAGCTCAGACTGGTGAAACAGTTCATGCTTGTTCTGGTGTCACATCACCGTGGTTGCTCCTCCCTCGTCAGACTTGCCTGGCTGGTCTGTTTGCACATTAGCACTGACCTCTATCCACCACCAAAAGTGCCTACAGCAGGGACATTTGCATTGTATGTGATATTTTGGTAGGTAGCCCATTTGAAGGTAGAGCTTTAGTTTAAACATAAGGTCATTTGATCATCTTTGCTCCAAGATTTGGTGTTTGTTGTAGGATTTATGACAGATCCAATGACCCAGCAGTCTGTCTGGATAAACACCATTTTTAAAATTAATGGTCTGAAGGTTTTCTCCTATTGTTAGAACTCAGTGGCCCGGTGACAGCCTTTGGGAATTGTGGGAAAGTCCACAGATGGTACTGGAGACTTGGAGCCTTGTTCTTTGGCCTTTGAGAGTGTGAGTGCAGTGACATAAGGGGGTGGGAGTCTAGGTCAAAAGGACTTCCTGTTCCCAAATCTGCTGCGGTCCCAACAGTGTACTCACTCAAATGAAGGATTCACGGCTAAGAGTTATTAAAATCATCGGCAATCATCATCATCAAAGGAAAATCTTAAAGGAAACATATTTCAGACGCCCTTGCCATGGAGAAAAACATGATATTGTGTCTTTTATAGGACTCTTCAGATGGAGAGAACACAATTAAGGGCCCTCCAGATCCACCTTTTTAGTGGAGAACACATGACTAAGGACCTTGCAGAGTGCCTTATCAGGGATTTAAAAATAACTAATGTATGACACACAGCCTGCCCCAGGGAGATTCTTAAAGCAGAGAAAATGTAATAGGGAAACCTGCAGAGAAACCTTCTATTGGAGAAAACATGACATAGTTTGACTAGCAGGGTCCATTTAAGATGGAGAAAACGTGATAGTAAACTTCTGAAGTGAATTTCCGGTGGAAACGATGATGTAAAGAGTCACATAAGCGTTTATAAATGCTATAAAATGTCTTGGCGGTGTTGACTTCCCACATGCAGCTGGTGCCCTGACCCTCTGTTGTTATGACTCAACTCCCTCACTTAACTCGAGATAACAGCTGATCAGGAGTTTACACTTTGTGTTATATTTGCTGTTAATAATTAAAATGAGAGCTTAGTGGTTAGAACTGTCTGGCTTGACTCTGGTGTAAGGATCAGGTTTGTTTATTTGATAAAAGTTGCTGTAATTTTCTGTGTTCAGAGACGGACTAAAACTTTGAAATCAGACTGATTAGAAACACTGACTAAAATGGGATTAAAACTGAGGTTTTATTGCCTAAATCTTTGACCAAAATCAACCACACTTTTCTGAAAATGAATCAAAGTGGAGCTAATTTCAAATTCTTGTGAAAACTGACACTGTTACTGACACATCTTTTAAGATTGTATGGGAGCTCTACGGCACACTTAAGCCACGCTTACCGTATCAGTTTCATTCATACTCCATGCGCAGTCACGTGCATCGCTCAAATCCACAAATAATGCCTGTGAGTCACACTTAGTCATACAAATATCATTATTGATTTACACTTTTACTTATTACTCTGTAGTTCCCTTTCAGTCCATTCACTCGGCACAACACATATAGTATGGGATATCACGCCCTCGCGTGGCCTGACTGAAGACACCTTTATTCACGCCTTTAAGGCAGATGATCTGTGGTGACGTTTGTGAGGCTCCGCCTGCACATATATATGTGTAACACCACAGTCATCCTTCAGTTCGTATGCTCTTCACCTCGCTGAGAACACCTCCACCGAGTCGGGCTAACTAGCTGCTGCTAGCTCAGCCTGGTCTTGTCTGTGGCTATTGCCTGATCGTTTTTAGCTTAACTGCCCCTGTTGGTGTTAAATTTTTCATTCTAATTTCGTTCAGCTTCTGCTTCTTGTTATGAGCGCTGAGCCCATGAAAGTGAAGGCAAAGTCTTCTGTTCGCCACTGTCCTTAGGGGTGCGGCTTTTCCCTTCACGAGAAGGATCTCCATGAGGCTTGTCCCGTTTGCCTGGGTATTGTCCACGCCAGGAGGGCGTTGACTGAGCCCGAGTCGTGTGAGTCCTGTCACCGGCTTCGGAGCTCAACCCTGGGAAGGCGGGTAAATTTTGTGGAGAAAATACTAGGAAAATCCGCTGTTGTGCTGCACGATCCCCTCCTCTCTGAGTCCAGAGACCCGGCTTCCTCCGAGTCCGGTGGTGAGGACTTTCTGGTCGAAGGCTCAGTTGGAACCATGTGGAGTGTGCTGATGGGTCAGCTGTATTTGAGCCGGGCCCCTCTGAGGGCACTGGCCAGCCGCTATCCGGGCTAGCTTGTTACCAGGAGGACGATGACGTGCTGGACATCGGCCTGGACGTGCAGGGTTTTTCGGAAGATGAGCTGGAGCCGTTGTCTTCAGGTCAGTATACCGCCGCTGCTGTGCCGGTTGATCTGGACGACACATCTGTCCTCTCACTGTACCGCCATGCAGCTGAGAAACTGGAAGTAGAATGGCCCTCTCCTCCACCGGCTCAAAAACCGTTGCGGTTCACAGGGTTTTTTCTGTATGAACCGACGACTGTTAAGAACAGTTTGCCCATGTTCCTGGATTTTGTCGTGGAAGTAACCTCGACATGGGACAAGCTGCTGTCCACCCGCGCCACAGTGCCCGGTTGTGGACAGTTTCTGGACCTGGATGGAGCTGAAAAAGCTGGATTGGTGAACCCTCCGCCTATGGAGGCGTCCCTGGCAGCCTGTCTGGCCCCGGCCCAGAATCATGGTGTCGGTAGCCCCATCACGCTCCCATCCAAGCACTGCAGGTTTTCAGCGTCAGAGCTGGATAAAATTTACAGGACACAGGCAAATAGGGCTCGTGCACTGAGCTCCGTCACCATGCTTCAGACATATCAGGCTATGTGTCTGGTGGAACTCGGCTTGCGTATGCCTCCTGACAGTCCGCTTTCTCCTCTCCTCAATGAAGCTAGGGTCGCCACAGATTACATCCTCCGTGTGTCCCGCTGTGCAGCGCTCTTTCTCGGTAGAGGCATGGCTTCCACGGTGGTGGCGCAGAGGCACCTGTGGCTGACTCTCTCCGACGTTCCGGAGAGGGACAGAGCGGTTTCACTTGACGAGCCTGTGTCGGCCAGCAGTTTGTTTGGGCAATCCCTCGACGACATTCAGGCTAATTTTGAGCTGAGGAAGAAACAAACCGAAGCTTTGAGCAGCATCATCCCCAGACGTGATGCGAGGCCCAAACAACAGGGTTATCTGCACAAACCGGCAGAGACGCTGCCGCCCTTCATTTTTTGCAGCCAAAGAGGCTGCTTTGTGTTTGTTTAATGTCTGTTCAGGGGTCCGGTCCCGAGAGGCGCTGCACTCCCTTAACACAGTTTTCCCAAGCACAACCCTCCCTCACACACATGCCTCAGTAATGGCGCCTGTTGTTCACTGTGTGAATGTCACAAATGTACGTTCGTCGAGTCTAATAAAGGTTTCGTTTTGTTCTCAAAACATCATAAATCAATCAAGTCTGGGCGGGAAAGTATTGCTGTTCCCAGCCGGCACGCTAGAGGGCGACAACCCCTCCCCCTCAGTGCTGGAGGTCAGTCAACTGACTGTTCATCTCCCTCGGTGGCGCACATGCGCAGTCTCACCGTGGGTAGAGAGAACCGTTGCCATGGGCTACCGCTTACAGTTCAGGGCCTGGCCACCTCGCTTTCATACTGTAATACACACAGTTGTAGCAGAGGAAGCAGCAGCAGTGCTGAGGGAAGAAATAAACAACTTGTTGAACAAGAGAGCGATACGAGTTGTTCCCGCTCGGAAACGAACAAAGGTTGGTACAGCTGTGATTTCGTTGTTCCGAAAAAAGGAGGAGGGCTCCATCCTATCTTAGACTTGCGAGTGTTAAACAAATACCTACGAACTTACAGGTTCAAGATGCTAACACTCAGACAGCTACTGGGCGAAATCAGACCGGGAGATTGGTTTACAACTATCGATCTGACAGATGCTTACTTTCACGTAGCGATTCATCCGGACCACAGGCAGTTTCTAAGGTTTGCATTCGAGGGCATAGCCTACGAATACCTGGTGCTGCCGTTCGGCTTATCACTCGCCCCCGAACATTCACCAAATGTGTCGAGGCGGCATTGGCTCCACTAAGGGAGAAAGGTGTTCACATCTTAGCCTATCTGGACGACTGGGTGCTAATTGCGCGTTCCAGAGAGCGAGCAGCGGCTCAGCTGTCATTGACCCTATCACACATCCAAACACTGGGCTTTTCCGTAAATTTACAGAAAAGTTCACTGACTCCGAGTCAACAGGTATCATTTCTCGGGCTGGAAATATGCTCCGTTTCAAGCCGAGCACGTCTGTCAGAACGCAGGGTGGCTGCGTTTCGCCGCTGCCTTGCACAATTTCAGTTGGGACGCAAACTGTGTTTCCGGACGATTTTACAGCTGACAGGCATGATGGCATCTATGATCGCTGTAGTGCCGCACGGACTGTTAAAGATGAGAGCGTTTCAACGCTGGACTCAGTCTCACCGGCTGTGCACGCAGCGTCACCTCCAGAGGAGGCTGACAACAACTCCGTCCAGCATGTCGGCTCTTCTCCCGTGGAGAGAACCCGGTTTTCTACAACGGGGATCTCCGATAGGGAGGGTGTCTTTTCGCAAGGTGGTGTCCACTGACGCATCCCTGAGGGGTTGGGGGGCTCTGTGCGAGGGCGCAGCAGTGAGAGGTGTGTGGACGCCATCACAATGCAAACTCCACACCAATTATCTTGAGCTATAAGCTATCCTATTAGCTCTGAGGCATTTTCGTTCTGTTCTGACGGGCCATCATATTCTTATCAGGACGGACAACACAACCATGGTTTCCTACATAAACAAACAGGGAGGGACATGCTCTCTTCCCCTGTTAAAACTGTCTCACTCTCTGTTGCTATGGTGCAGTGTTCATTTTCTGTCACTCAGAGCCACACATATTCTGGGTCACTTAAACCTTGGGCCAGACCTTCTCTCCAGGGGGGGTCCTCATGTGAGAGAGTAGAGATTGCATGTCAGGACCGAAATGTACTCCCATTTCAGAGTTCTATTGTGGATGTTTTAACATTCCTTCAGGACCTGCTGGATAGGGGTCTCTATTTCTCAACAATTAAGGTCTATTTGGCGGCTATATCTGCATGCCATGTTGGCTTTGATGGTATGACGCCAGGCGCTCATCCTCTTGCTATGCGCTTCCTAAAGGGAGTCCGCAGGCTGAGACCTGTTCTTAAATCCAGTATTCCCTCATGGGATTTAGGGTTGGTGCTTGAGGTTCTTGGTGGACCTCATTTGATCCTGTTGAGTCAGCAGACATGAAGTTTCTTTCATACAAAACTGCACTGCTACTTGCTTTGGTGTCTGCAAAGCGAGTGGGTGACCTTCATGTTTTGTCTGTGCATCCCTCTTGTACCCAGTTCACTCCGGATGGATCTAAGGCTACACTGCGCCCAAACGCGGCGTATTTACCTAAGATTATCCCCACAGCCTATAGCTCTATGAGTTTTGAACTGCTGAGCTTCTGCCCCCCTCCATTTGCATCTGAGGAGCAGAGGAGGTTGCATTCCTTGTGCCCTGTGCGTGCACTACGCGCTTACATAGACCGCACTCAGAGTGTGCGCTTATGTGACCAGTTGTTAGTCTGTTTTGCTAATCCAGCCGAAGGCAAGGCGCTGTCTAAACAGCAGCTTTACCGCTGGGTTGTGGAGGCTATCTCCTTAGCATACGGCAGCAGGGGTCTTCCGTTGCCCCAAGGTGTGAGGGCACATTCAACAAGGGGAATGGCAGCCTCATGGGCCTTGTTTAAAGGGGTTTCTGTGAGTGATATCTGCACTGCAGCCAGTTGATCATCACCGCACAGTTTTGTTCGGTTTTATTGTTTGGATGGGACAGCCCCTTCAGTGGCTCACTCTGTCCTTTCTGCTGGGTCTACAGTGCACTAAAGTTTTGGAGGTTTGACTTCGGTTCGGTGGCTGCTCTGTGGGGCGTGTATATATGTCCCATACTATATGTGTTGTACCGAGTGAATCGACTGAAAGGGAACGAAATGTTATGAATATAACTTCTGTTCCCTGAAGGAGAGGAACGAGGTACAACACTGGGTTGCCCCACTGTGCAGCTAGGCTCGGTGAAGAGCGGCTATCGAACTGAAGGATTACTGTGGTGTTACACATATATATGTGCAGGCGGAGCCTCACAGACGTCACCACAGATCATCTGCCTTAAAGGCGTGAATAAAGGTGTCTTACAATGAGGTATCATACAATGAGTCATCACATATGATGAAACACACACATACACACACAGCTGAAAAAGTTAGACGAGGCAGCAGAAAACAGGCCACATTTAACCGGCAAAGCAGAATACAATGAAAATAGAGGACTTCTGCTTAAGTAATGAATGTTAAACATTTACAAATGGTTTCTACTCACAATGTGGCTCCAATGGCGCATCCCTCCCCAACGTTCTGAATTTTGAAGCTTTGCACTCTTTGTAACAGGATGCGCTTTGCAGAAGTCTCCAAGCAGCAGTCCTCAGGAGCTTCAGCTGTAAGATACACAAAAGTACATTAAATTCACCTGCATTGAAAGGCAACAGATTAATGCAACTGAAGGCCTAACCAAACATGGAAACTCTCGAGCATGTGTAGAATATTTAGGCCAGTTTTAGTCTAATAGAAGAGCATTTATGAAAGAGTAAATTGATCCCAGCTGCTTTATATGTTTGTTTGTCTATGAGAGGTTTGTATATATCAAGCCCATGAGTGATTCATATTATTGTAACTAATAAACTTTGTTTGCCAAACAAATTTTATTATAGCCAACAAGAAATTTACCCTCTGACCTGAGAGAGCATGCCGTGGTATGAAGCCAAATATTTGATTCATTTCAGATGAACATTTTAAACCAAGTTAGCTGCTGTTTTTATGTCATGGTAAATCTGTAAATCTGTAGTGTATAAGTTTAAAATAGTGTAAGTAATGTTTTCTAAATGAACATTTTCCAGTATTATGTTGAATGTGTTTGGAATGTGTTTGTGTTTGAATTGTACTTTGTCCATCAATGTTTGTATTACGTCTTCATCACAGAGGGACAGAAACACAACCTGAGGATAAAACCAAGAGCCTCCCTGCACAGACAGTAACTGAAGAACACTTTAACCTAAACAAATGTAAAAATGCAGTCAATAAAGGAAGATGAGTTCACAGTTTTAAAAAAGGTGCTTTTATTTTGAGAATAGATCAACAATCCAATAGTTCATACACTTAAAAAAAATGCAGCTGGGTTCACAAAAAAATTGCCGAACAAAAAGCTGAAACATTCACTTTTTTAAACTTTGAAAGTTATTCACATTTCTTCTCCCAAAAAACAGAAACAACATAAATTCTTCAGCATTTCTTTAGTTTTTATTGCCACACCCCGAGAAACATAAAATGATAAATCTGTGAAAAAGCTTTGAGTGATGGGTGAAACTCATTTTACCATCTGAATGATTGTTTGTTGTTGAATCAACGGTTTGATCCAGACTTCCCACTTTTACTCCGTTTGTTCTTTCTATGGCTGAAGAGGTCAAAGGTGACTCTCAGTTTTACTATGGCTTTATTCCAGCGCAGCGTTTTCCCTGTAAACACACAAAGAAAGAGAAAACAAAACCAAAATTACTTCAGTGTGAAAATGATGAGCTTTGAAACTTTAGGAAAGAGAATGACAACCTCTGTTGAATTTGAGCTTGTTGCTTTCAAGACTCTACATTTGTGAGCAGCAAAATATCCAAAGACAACGTACCTTGTAATTCATTTTCTTGCAGTGTGCCCTCACTTTGTCCACGTGCTCAATCACTCCTTGGACCCAGTCCACGTTAACTGGTGCGCAGAGCTTGACGCCATTCCTGGTCACCAAACTGCAACACCACAAAATCGTCCAGGTCAGATGTGATTGTTTACGATTAAATTCATCTGTGTGGAGTACAGTCTGCTGATAACAAATATGTACTTGAAGCCAGGACTTACATCATAGCATCCAAAGAGCATCCTTGTCCGCTGATCTGTTTGCGGTAGTTTGCTACCACATGTTTAGGGACTGTTCTGTCTGTGAGGACACTCAGGCAGCAGTCCATAGGTACCTCAGCCAGGGTCACTGAAAGACAGAAGATAGAAACAACTCAGTATGAAGTGACACTCATCCCAGTTATCATCAGCTTTGGACTTTTATTGCAACTCACTTTTCCTCAAGGGACATATTTCATAAAGCAAAGCACTCATAGTGTGGTCAGTTATTTTGGTTAAAAAATAAGAAAGAAAAATAGAAAAGCACTCGGAGAGCGCTGACCTCCGCCAAGCAGCTCATGTCCCCCCTTATATTGTGATTCACAGCAAAACTTTTACTGCTACGTGTCTTTTATTAACTTTTATTTGTGTTTAAACTGGTATGTTCACTGTTCATAATGTTCCTGAAACAAGAAATGCCTTGACCTGGATTCAAACCCAGGACCTTCTGGTTGTGAAGCGACGGTGCTAACCACTATACCACTGTGCCGCCCATTCGTTATCTTTCAGCATTGAAAATTCCAACGACACCCTTATTTTTGTGTGTTCTGGATCACAGTATCCAGAATTTTGTCATTCAATCCATCTGTTACTTTCTCCGTAAAGTTGCTAACAGACAAACAAACAAACCAACGCTACCGAAAACATAACCTCCTTGGCGGAGGTAATGACATGAATTACCTACTTACACTGTGCTCCCTTGATTAAGTTTGGTTAAATTACACTCAATTTTGGCTGTTGTCTGAGTGCCTTCTTACCTGAAGACTTGTAGGCTGGTAGATATTTAAATTTCTGTTTGAATCAGACACCTGAGAAAATCTCTAATATTAGCGTTTAATTTCTTGTTATCAGTAAACAAAGCTCACCACTGCTCCCCGTGTTTAAGGTGTAATTACAGACTTTACAACCACTTTAGTGCCTGCAGAGATCACTGTAATTCTAAACAGTTCTTTACAGGTCATGACTTGATTCACTGATGTGTTTTAATGAAAGAAAAAAAAAAAACCTTCATCAAATTAAACTCAATAAGGATCTTTATGTGACACCAGATCCCTTTAGCGGGTATTTTACGAGGTTAGTATGGTGTTGGGTGTGTTTGTGTGTGGTTGACAGAGTGTGTCAGGATTTTATGGCCCATTAAACACTGAAGTGTTGATGCTTTAAAACAGGAACCCAATACTCTAAACTTTAAAAGAACATATCAGGTGACGTAAGGTTTATTCCCAGAGGCGCTCTTGTGCCAAAGGTGATCCAGGAGAGAACTTTGAATATACAGTTCTATATTTAATTTACAGGAGAGTAAAAATGTTCCATAAATTGTAAATATTAGCTGAATTTAATCAATGTTCACCTTTTAATGGTAATGTTGTAAAACTTGTGTGGAATATTAAAAAAAAAAACAGTTTTTGATAATGGCTGCTCAGCTTGTTGGTATACTAATCAACATTACCACCTGAACATTGACTGAACATTATCCCATATTTATACTGTTTAGTACACAGAGGCAGGGTGTGTGGTGTTAAGGATCTACTTGGTTGTCCTTGAGAGGGCAGTTTCCCTCTCGAGGACAGAACGGTACACCTGTTATTCAAACTTTTTGAGATTTTCTGCTGAAGAACCGGTAATTATTGATGTATTTGCTCATGCAGTTGCTCACTGGGTGTTGAGGATCTCCCTATCTAATTTCTGAGCGACCCTGACATTTTTAGAATTGGGGTTGTGCTAGCTACACATGCTCTAAACATTTCTTTTACTCTTATTAATATGAACTGATTGAATTAGTATGTATATCTGTTTTTTTAAAGGTTAAGTCAAATATATTTTATGCTTTAAATGCAATTAAATAAAACTCACGTGCAGTGATTTAAAAGGGGATTTTGCAGTTCACAAACTTGTATTAAGATAAGGGGAAACCCATGAAGCAAATAGGTGTCAAAGGTCTCCTTTTCGGCGTGCTCTCTGTGTGAAAAAACATCCTATGTTCCCACAGAAACTGCAGAGTCATAACTTTAATTACAGAAGTTGCCTCACTAGTTTTGGCACGTAGCCAGGATTTTTGACGCTTCAACTTCTACTTTCACTGACTACAAAGTACAACCGAGGGGAACTCCAACATCACACCAGCATGAGACTGATTATCTAATCATCCTGGTGCTGCAGACATGAAAAAATCTAAAGAGTTAACTCATTTTAACTTCATTTTACATCAGACTTCTGAGATTATTAAACCTAGATCTTCCTCAAAATTTTATGATTTAGTGACTGTTAAGGCTCCTTTTGTCACTATTTTGAATGAGGAGTTTTATAACACAAGTCTTATTCTGTAAAGACGTACAGATTGTAAAGCTGTCTCAGACACTGCTGTCATAAGAATGGAGAAAAATAACATTCTGTACTCACAAACTTTCACAGTTGTGTGTAAATAATTAAAAGCTGCAGATGTTGAACCCCAAACATGGCCCCAGTTAGATGTTTTCTCTTTTTATTTACTACTCCTCCTCTGGACTCACTCCAGCCTCCAGGATTTCATCATTTTTATCACTTCCTGCCCTCTTGCCCCTCTATTAAAGTCTATCAAACTGTAAGACCTCACATTGGAGCGTGACATATTTCCGTTTTTTTTTCTCCCTTCTTGACTGCCAACAAATCACACTCATCCAGAAAAGTTAAGTCTGTTCATATTCATACTCTTATCTGTGTCAAACTTTGTGATAAAGTCTTAGCGATGTAACCCATTTGTTTCTTAAGCAGAGTTTTGAATCCTGTTAAAAATAGCTGTGGTCCTGCTGCCATCACTAAGCTGAACATGATGATATTTGCACACTGTATAAGCACTGTTTATCAGCATTTTTAACCTGTTCTTATCTGATTGTACTCCAAAGATTATTAGTAGCTTCATTAGAGGGATATTTATCCATCTCTTATATTGGCATTCTCTTTTGGGGTCTGATTGATGGAGCTGGTCTTTATTTTTAATCACATATTAGTCTGTTTCAGTGGTTTTTGTTTGGTAAAGTTTCATGTTATGGTTACTGTGTTCAGACTAAGTAAACTTAAACCTAAACCCCAGGTGTGTACGTGGTTTTTTGGGCTTTGAAAGCCTGCCTCTAGTGGACACTTGGAGAACTGCAGTTTTGGGCACTTTGTCTCCATATTTCAATACAGGATGTTCTCTCTTGGTGATACACATAATTGTACATGTATTGATGCACTACATATAATAGTTCTTCAGCAGGCTACCTCTGCACAGTAGACATTTTATTCATATATTTCTTAAATCTATCTCTTCTTTCATCTTGAACTTTTTTGCTTTTTTAAAAAACATGTATTTACCTGTCAAGTTTTCTTGTACATGAATGTTTTATAATGTAAACTGGATAAATATTATTTTGAAAAAACTGACTTATTTTTGCACTTAAGTGAATGCTAGCCAGCTCAAGCCTCCTAAGAAATTTGTATTCAATATTAGATTTTACAGTTTGTTGCTTTAAATGAAGTGTGGTTTATAACCTTTTTTAAAGCAATGACCCCAAGAAACTAAGATTTTAACTGTGGAATTAAAGTCTCACTCAGTATTTCCTCGTCTTTATGGCTGTTATAAAGGCTCCCTTTACAGTTTGTGTTTTGCTCTCTTTGAATGTGTCAGAAATCCACCACACAGATAATTAAACCCTTATTTTCAGTGTTGTATAAATCTCATCCTTTCCTACAATTAGTCTGAGTCAACAAAAGCCTTAAGTGTTGCCTGATTTGACCTCTTACAGGATGCTAAATATGTAGCTACATGTATGTGTTCAATGATGAAGCCTAGAAAGATGCTGGTAAAAAAGGCTGGTCAACTCACCTGTGCAGCACCAAGTGATGAAGAGGAAGCAAAAGAAGAGCTTCGCATCACCCCACTGAGCCATGTCTGGTTTCTGCGCTGGCGAGGTTGTCTTCCCGTCTTTCTTGAAGGTGATTGGCTGATGAGGAGCCTGTTCTTCCTTTCAGCACCGTTGGTGGCAAAGGATGTGGAGTGACCACTGCTGCCTGGCTGCTCTTATACTCTGTCCACTTTGTTTCACTTTCAGTTTTCTGCATGATACTCCTCCTCCTTCTCCTCCTGTTGCTCATCACAGACATATGTAAATACCTCCACAACCCGTCCCTCTTGTTGTATTTCTCTAATTGTCTCTTATTTCAATTGGTTGTACTTCCCAAATGTGCCTGACTCTTCCATGGTAAAAGGAACTCTTTTTCTCACTTTGAGTCACCTTCTGGTTAGAGGAGCACTTCTCTAATTTCTGAACAAACAAAGGCAGAGATTTAATCTTAAAATAAACACAGACTGACTTTATACATCACAAAAACAGGGAAACTGACATATAATGATTAACCAGGCAATTCTTTTGTACTCTTACACAATCTAACTTTTTCTCTCCATGTAAACTATTATTATTTTTATTTTTATCTTCCACTAAGCATTTTAAATTATCCTCTGCACTGTATACTTTTTATGAATAAAACCAACATTATTGTCACAGCATGTAAACTTTTAAAGATGTTCACTATTTGGTCCAAAGAAAGTTAAGCCACTTGCAAAGTACCCAAAAACTTCCTCGAACAGCCTTGTGAAAAAAGAGTTTTCTTGAATCCAGATAGATTGCTGAACATAATCTGTGCAGAGCGATTAATCACATCTGTAAATGCATGTTTGCACGTTTTATTTGGATGTAGTTTTTTTTTAAGTTCATATGAACACTTTGGCCCAATCCTCACTAGCGTCTTGGCAAATGTACTTCCTGATCTTGACAGATTAAAAGAGGTTTGTCCACAGATCACACAATTCAAAAGTTTTGCTCCGTCGTCTTTGGTTGTGCAGTCGCCCTCCGACATCAGCCGGATAAGCTTTGTCTGTGTGCTTTGCTGATAGGTGGGGGCTCAAACTTGAAGTACATGTGTGATGTTTTAATCCTGTTTAAAAGCACATTTTACTTTTGACTTGACAGCTTGACGGCTTCGACAAACTTCTCCACAACTCAGCAGCGGCGAGCCGGCTGTCTAGCATGAGTCTGGTCCTTCCCAAGGTTTCTGCCTGTTCAAAGGAAGTTTTCCCTTGCTACTGTCACTCATGTTGGATGAGATGGGTCAAATCTGTCCCATCTTAAAGTTGGGTCTTGGTAATTCATCAAACAATGAACATAATCTAGACCTGCTCTTTTTTTGGAAAGCGTCTTCAGATAACAACTGTTGTGATTTGGCGCTATGTAAATAAAATTTGATTGATTGATTGATGGATGGAAAGTACGCTGAAAGAGAGAAAATAGCACAAGGTTGAGGAGAGTGGTTTTTCTGCATGAAAGCATTTGTATTGGTATGTGTCTTTTTTTTGGTGAAAACTTGACAAATGGTGGATCAAACTCGATTATGCATCATAGAGGCTCCTTGTCACTGAAGGCTTCTGATACATCCTTAAAAGAGGGCTGAGCAAGGGAGCATTTCAACCCAGAGTCTGACTGCACCTTTACGTTTTGCTTGGGTTTTATTTTCTTTACCTTTTTTTTTTGGTAATTTGAAAACACTGTGGGCACCTGAGGTTACAGGCTGCTCCCTTGCTCACTTCTCCTTTCAGTGAAGTAGCAGTGGCTTTCTAGGTCAAGTGATGCATAGTAGGTTGAATGCGTTGAGCACATTCTTAGAAATTGTTGTGGATTGAAATCTCCTGGTTGTTGCCTACTATATGCATGCTTGTTTGACTGTAAATGAACAAAATTAAAACCTGAAGTGAAAACGCACACTTGTATTTTTTCGCAGTTTTAGAAGAAAAATGCATATATCTGTTGTGAAAAAGCTTTTTTTTCGTGTGAAACTGATACCACCAGCAGGTTGAAAGTCCTCTTTCTCTTCTCCATTTATGTCAAGGGAGCTGACAGAATCATGCAGGGGTTTGTTTGTTAAAGTTTAACCCGTAATTGATTTGCACAATGTCAGCATGAATTGACTTTTAATGACTTTATCACCAATCAGACAGACAGTCAATGAGTCACGCTCTTAAAGCGTCAGTAGGGCATTTCCAAACAAACTCTCGTTTTCTTGTAAATCCAAAGCCGGATATTGGCCTTATCTTTCTGTAGTGTGAAATTCCCCTGCTGTAGAGCGTTTACAGGAAAATGCAGAGGTGGATGAACTTGGATTGTCTGCAGGGTGAAAACTGGCTCAGATCCCGGCACCCACTCATGTCCAGGAGCAGTTTGCAGCCAAGTGTGCTGAAAGAAACAAGAAAGAACATGTTTGATTTTCCCTGAAGCTTTGCGAAAGACAGTTTTACGGATTACTGTCATCCTCTAACTCTTTATTACCAGCGTGTTTATTTATGATGTTTTGCCAAGGTAGAAGTCAAGTATTTTTTATTTTTTTTGGCAATGATCAAACCTACAGTTGCTATCTCATATTTTTTTAATTGTATTACACTTGGACTTTCATTGAACTGCTGTTTCTGCTGAGCAACAAGTTAGAAAAAAACTCTGACATATTAACATGTGTTCTGTTGGGAAATAGTTAACTGAAGGTTGTAAACAGATGCCTCGAGAAAACAACATAATTACTTGGACTTTCTTTTACTCGTAAATGTTAAAAAGATCATCAAGAGAGAGAACCAAAACAGTGAGTGTGGGAAGTAAAACAGAGACAGAGTCTATATTTAAATGATGCTGAACTTAATGTCGAGCTTTAGGGAACTGAAGGTGAAGAGATTCTTCTGAGTAATATGAAACTTTTTTTCACTATGTCTAGACATTTCAAGTGATCTAGTTATAGCCTTATGACCTTTGACAGGTGAACTTTGATTATCTCTCCACACTGGCACCGTTTGAGATGTTTAGCAGGTGGTGAACATTGTGTCCTTAAAGTTAATATGTTTGACGTAGGAAAAACGGGATGACAAGGATGAACCTTAAATTGACAAGAGCCAACTGTGATGGTTTGGCAACATGAGAAACTTGAGAACATAAGTTACTGAAACTTGTGGAAAGTGGAGGTCCAAGCTCAGACTGGTGAAACAGTTCATGCTTGTTCTGGTGTCACATCACCGTGGTTGCTCCTCCCTCGTCAGACTTGCCTGGCTGGTCTGTTTGCACATTAGAACTGACCTCTATCCACCACCAAAAGTGCCTACAGCAGGGACATTTGCATTGTATGTGATATTTTGGTAGGTAGCCCATTTGAAGGTAGAGCTTTAGTTTAAACATAAGATTCGGGGCTCTATTTTCGTGCCTCGCCGGCGACGCAGCGCATGCGCAGCGTAAGTGAGGTCCGCCATGCTGACAAGGCGTTCCCAAGCACAATTTGGTATTTTGGTGAGCAGCGCAGCCCGGCGTAAGTATTCCCCCTCCCTAACTCAGCTCCTCCCAGCGGCGTAAGTCGTAGTGAGGGAGGAGAGACGGCGGGGAGTGGGTTTAACACAGCCGAGACCTGTTTTCACCAATCACATAAGCTCCTCTCCTTGCCTTTAAATCCGCCACCGGTGAGGCATATTACTATTTTTGTGACGTAGTCAGAGAGATCAAGAGATGTCTGAAGACAGTAATGCCACATGATGGCGACAGAGGGCAGCTCCTCAACAAGTGTCACTGTAAGCGCTGCATTGGGCGTCCTCCAAACTCTCTCATATGAGCACAGATGGATTTGGTGTGTGTAATGTTGGACCCACTGGTAAGACAAACACCCTTTTCTACAAATAAAGACACTCACATAAAGTTGCTCATATTCAAACCTCACGTGACAAAGGTGGGTTGAGCGCACAGATTACATCATAAATTCCAATAATGGCATTAAAATCGGAACCATCTGTGCGCAAATGACGCATCGCGCTCCGTGGCCTGGCTCTTTCTGTCATAGATGTTGGCATATCAAATAAATTTGGCTCACAAAACTCAACATTATAATATTCATATGTAGGCTTAAAGTAGATAACGCATCTGAGCGCTGAAACAAATCATCTGTTCAGCTGCTGCTGCAACAGGACAGAGAAAGGACATGGAGACATGTCCAGGTTGAGCTGTGCGAGAAATAAGAGGAAGAGGAAGAAATAAAAGGAGGGAGACGAATTACATATCTTGTTAACTTCATCATGTGTGTCTATTTACAAGATATTTAATTTAATTTAATGCGGTTTCAGCTGTGTTGATTCGGTCAGATTGAGTGTCCAAACGCGTGCCAAACGCGCTCATCAGAGCAGATATAGATCAGAATATATCTATATAGATCTAAATGTATGTGCTGACTCAGATTAATAGTTGTTGATGATTATTTATTGCACTGATATGTGCCTGACACTGTGGAAACCTGCTGGTGAGGCATCAGTGACGTATGCCGATACGCCGCCAGTCTACCAAAATACCACTAGACCAGCTGCGTTCCGCCATGCGCTGAAAGCTGACCAGATTTGAATCTGCGAGCTTTCAGCGCACTTTAAATGCCAGTGGCGAGCACAAAAATGTCACTGCGCCTGCTGATTCTGTCGACACCTCCCCCTGCCACGCCAGCACGCCCAGCTTGGCGGATCTCTGCTCGCCTCCGTGCGCCTTAGTCCACGAAAATACCAGACTGGCTTTACGCCGGGCTGCGCCAGACGAAAATACAACTGCGCAGGGCTCACCGCCCTCCGCTGCCTCACGGGCGTACACGAAAATAGAGCCCTTGGTGTTTGTTGTAGGATTTATGACAGATCCAATGACCCAGCAGTCTGTCTGGATAAACACCATTTTTAAAATTAATGGTCTGGAGGTTTTCTCCTAAGGTTAGAACTCAGTGGCCCAGTGACAGCCTTTGGGAATTGTGGGAAAGTCCACATATGGTACTGGAGACTTGGAGCCTTGTTCTTTGGCCTTTGAGAGTGTGAGTGCAGTGACATAAGAGGGTGGGAGTCTAGGTCAAAAGGACTTCCTGTTCCCAAATCTTCTGCGGTCCCAACAGTGTACTCACTCAAATGAAGGATTCATGGCTAAGAGTTATTAAAATCATCGGCAATCATCATCATCAAAGGAAAATCTTAAAGGAAACATATTTCAGACGCCCTTGCCATGGAGAAAAACATGATATTGTGTCTTTTATAGGACTCTTCAGATGGAGAGAACACAATTAAGGGCCCTCCAGATCCGCCTTTTCAGTGGAGAACACATGACTAAGGACCTTGCAGAGTGCCTTATCAGGGATTTAAAAAATAACTAATGTATGACATGCAGCCTGCCTCAGGAAGATTCTTAAAGCAGAGAAAATGTAATAGGGAAACCTGCAGAGAAACCTTCTATTGGAGAAAACATGACATAGTTTGACTAACAGGGTCTGTTAAGATGGAGAAAACATGATTGTAAACTTCTGAAGTGAATATCCGGTGGAAACGATGATGTAAAGAGTCACATAAGCGTTCATAAATGCTATAAAATGTCTTGGCAGTGTTGACTTCCCACATGCAGCTGGTGCCCTGACCCTCTGTTGTTATGACTCAACTCGAGATAACAGCTGATCAGGAGTTTACACTTTGTGTTATATTTGCTGTTAATAATTAAAATGAGAGCTTAGTGGTTAGAACTGTGTGGCTTGACTCTGGTGTAAGGATCAGGTTTGTTTATTTGATAAAAGTTGCTGTCATTTTCTGTGTTCAGAGACGGACTAAAACTTTGAAATCAGACTGATTAGAAACACTGACTAAAATGGGATTAAAACTGAAGTTTTATTGCCTAAATCTTTGACCAAAATCAACCACACTTTTCTGAAAATGAATCAAAGTGGAGCTAATTTCAAATTCTTGTGAAAACTGACACTGTTACTGACACATCTTTTAAGATTGTATGCGAGCTCTACGGCACACTTAAGCCACGCTTACCGTATCAGTTTCATTCATACTCCATGCGCAGTCACGTGCATCGCTCAAATCCACAAATAATGCCTGTGAGTCACACTTAGTCATACAAATATCTTTATTGATTTACACTTTTACTTATTACTCTGTAGATATCTGTGCACCAACACTGTTCCCTTCATGCTTCAGCCTAATACAACCACAGAATGATTTAGGGCTGATGACTGTGCAACATTTAGTATTCTTGTTATAGACAGCGTACTAGGGACTGGAAAGTGTGTTTTTTAATGAGATTTGCATGTTTCTTTTTTCATTCTGTTTTTTTCCCCTCAATGTATAATGTCTTTAATGTATTTGTGTGTTCAACAATCTTTTTAACTTCCTTTACTCTCATTCATTGTGTTGAATAGAGTTGTATATTTGCTTTTATTTTGCACTGTCTATATTTCGAAGTCCCTTTATGTTTAACAAGTTTCTTTTAACTGTTACTATCACCTTAAAAACAGTTTATAACTTATTTTAATAAACGGCAAAACTCAATATAAATAGTTTAAGGTATTCATCACTCTAGACCTGCTGGAGAACCTGCAGTGAAAACTTGTGCGGAGGACTTTTATTTTATGTAACCTTTTTTTAACCAGGTAAGAAAACCCATTGAGATCAAGATCTCTGTCCAAGAGGTCAACAGCACAAGTCACAATAATGATAATAATAGAATCCAAGGACAAAATAGGATGCAGACTGTATGTGTGTTTCAGTATCAAAGAAAGGGGTGGACATGGGATTAATAAAAAATACCTGACTTTATTTAAGAAAATCTTTTAACAACATTTTAAAGGCACAAATCATTTCAACATTTCAAACAAAATACGGCTCAAACAGCACTGAAACTTAAGAACTAATCAGCTGGCTTAACATCATTTCGCAAAACTATGATATTCAGCGCTAAAAAGACACAAAAGAGCAGCGTTTCAAAACAGCACATGTCAAGACCTCAATCGCTACAAGGTATTTTACTCACAGGGATGTTTTAAAGAAATTAACAAAGTTGTTGAATATCATACAATGAGTCATCACATATGATGAAACACACACATACACACACAGCTGTACATTTAACTTTTCTACAGCAACATCAGAGATGAGAACTGCTCTTTTCTTCCAGGATGGGTCATCCTCTCTCTCTCCCAGAATCCTCTCCTCTCTACACCTGCAAGACAAGATCATCGAGTTAGCCAGTGCAAGGTAAAAGTCTGAAAACTCTGAGGTACAGATGCAAGGATGGTTTTAAAGCTCATCCCAAATGAAGGGCAGATAAACTTTTTCTTCTATTTTACCTGATTTCATTTCCTGTTCTTGCTCAGATGCTTGATGTAATTACGCACCCATGCTTCCTCACTAAGGTGGGAGAAGCACAGAACCCTTTCATTCTTTAGGATGAACCTGAAAAAGCAGATTAAGGGGGAAAAGTTAGACGAGGCAGCAGAAAACAGGCCACATTTAACCAGCAAAGCAGAATACAATGAAATTGAGGACTTCTGCTAAGTAATGAATGTTAAACATTTACAAATGGTTTCTACTCACAATGTGGCTCCAATGTCGCATCCTTCCCCGGCGTTCTGGATTTTGAAGCTTTGCACTCTTTGTAATGGGATGCGCTTTGCAGAAGTCTTCAAGCAGCAGTCCTCAGGAACTTCAGCTGTAAGATACACAGAAGTGCATTAAATTCACCTGCATTGAAAGCATCCTGAAGTATGAATCTGTTTTACCCCGGATGCAATGCAAGAATGTATCATACCTGTCACAAAGATGACACAGACGACACCCAGCAGGAACAGAGCAGCTACTCGAGAGGCCATGTCTCAGTTTGTCTGTGGGTCTGAGCTCAGGTGGAAGGTTTCAGCAAGCTTCTTCAGGAGAGTGAAGTGATGCTCAGGAGATGAACACAGCCTGTATTTATACAACTTTGAATTGAAAGTGAAAGTTTTCAGCATCTCTGACTGGAAGTAAGGTTGGCACCAGATTCACCTGTTCCTGCTTAATTACCTTTCTCCACGCCTCTTTCTTTTGTGTACCTGCCAAAATCCACCCACGAGTCTTTTCCAGAAGTCCCCTTGAGGCTGAACTTTATCATGGCATGAAAACTGTTTTTACATTCCATAGTGACGGTAGCTGCCTAACTGCACTATTTTTTCTTTATCACAAGTTTAAATCTACATGCACGTCATGCTTTATGTATTCTGTAATGTGCCTTTTACTCCAAAATCGTATCTGTGTTTCAGTAAAAGTGACAGTTACTGAAGTTAACGTGGATTGCACAATTTCACACAAAAGGAAACTGGAAAAAAAAAAAAAGTTTTTATCTGTTTTGACTCTTAAGTAATACTTCAAATTAAATAAACAAACAACTACAGCTCATGCTGTAGCTTTGGGCTTTTTTGCAGAAACCTTTGAAGTATGTGTGTGTGGCGGTTATCAGTTCAAGTGTAAAGAAGACCTGCAGCCTGGAAAAGATCACAATCTGTCATTGTGGGTGTTGCAGAACAACCGGATACTCTTCCAGTTAAAGCCCTTGGAAAAGTCCCTTTTCCAAGAGTGATGCAACAGTTTAAGTCTTTGTGAGGGGCCATTTATGTCAGGATACATAAATTATACCCCTGGACTGTTTCCTTTTGGTCTTCTGTTTCTTGGACTGACCAATGCTTAACACTGCTGAGGCCCTCAGGAAAGAGGAGAGATATTTTCTGAACATGTAAAGGCCAAGGATGAAGTGAAATGGAGTGGTAATGTAGGGCTTACAGTATATTCTGAGGGAAGGAAGAGAACAAAAACACAGTCACGTATATCAGACAGTATCAAAATATGGATGACACAATAACTACACCAAAGTGAAGCCAAACCATAGAGCTACAGTACAGGTCTTAATGCTTAATAGGATATGAGTCAAACTGTTAAACTGCGATACATGTCCTGATGGTTTCCATTAGTATGCTACAGTACATTGAAGCATTAAGGCCAGGCATGATCAAGTAAGTAATGACAGAAGGAAGGTTTGATTATTCAATTCATAAAAAGTTGCAGCTTGGGGGGATATCAAGTGAATATCTTTTAAGACTCTAAAATTATGCAAAAGTGTGACATAATCTTCATTTTCACCTTAGATGTACCTATTTAATCAGTCTTTTGAGATGGCAGCGCTCCCGCCACTGTAGGTTCTGCTGAATTTGCTATGTTAGGGCTGATTTCAAACACCTGAATAATGTATTTTCATTAGAGCAAACAAATGCACATCTAGCTTTCATTGGTAAGACTGGCACGTTTCTTTCCCCTGCATGCTGCTGTAGGTAAAGTGGAATAAGTTCACCAAAGTGACTTGGTCTGGTGTCGCCATGATAACATAACTACTAACCCATGTGGCTAAGCTTAGCACAAAGACTGGAAACTAGGGCAACAGCTCTCCAAGTGTAACACAATCCTTGACTAAACTCAGGACAAAGCAATTCACAACTAACTCATCATGTTTTTGCACTGTTTGTCATTCTGAGAAATCATTTATCTGAAGTTAAGACAATGCTACCCTTTGGTGCACATATTTTTTGATGATATCAACATTTTCTTTTGGGTTGGGGGGCTTAGGGCTTAGTACAGATTGTTGGATTTTTCCTTTGCAACCAAAGGAGAAATGTAAATTCAAAGACACGCCTCTTGACGTCAGATTTATGTGTTTTGTGGTTCATAACTCACGCAAAGAAGCACAAAAATATAGTTTTCTTCCATGGAATAACAGAACATGACTTTCAATTATCTGGAAATAATCAGAGTTATGAGGAAGTGAAAACAAGTCCATTCAAACCACACTGTTGAAATACAGCTGAGTATTGCACATCCTGACGTCAAACAATTGTAACACAAACACAGGATACCCTGACTGAGCTGCTGAGGAGCTGTTCGGCAACAACCTGGCATGTAATCTTAGTTACATCATCACACACTTAGAAAAGAGATATTAGATTATAAATCCTCTCTCGGCTGAACATGAAGGCAGGAAAAAATGTCACTTAAAATCAACAAATGCACTGCAGAGTTACAGTGCATCCGGAAAGTACTCATACCACATTTTGTTATGTTACAGCCTTATTCCAAAAGGGATTAAATTCCTTTTTTTTCCCTCAAAAATTCTACATAAAATACCCCATAATGACAAAGCAAAAAAAAAATTTTTTAAACATTTTGCAAATGTATTAAAAATAAGACACTCAAATGTTGCATATACATAAGTATTCACACCCTTTGCTATAAAACTCAAACTTGAGCTCAGGTGCATCCTGTTTCCACAGATCAGCCATGAAATGTTTCCTCCAACTTGATTGCAGTCCATCTGTGGTAAATTCAGCTGGTTGGACATGATTTGGAAAGCCACACCTGTCTATATAAGATCCCACAGCTGACAGAGCACGTCAGAGCACAAACCAAGCAATGAAGTCGAAAGAATTGTCTGTAGACCTCCGAAACAGGGTTGTATATGCCACAGATCTGACAGTCCGCTTGGACTTTGCTAGAAGGCACCTGAAGGTCTCACAGACCGGGAGAAACGAAATTCTCTGGTCTGATGAAACAAAGATTGAACTCTTTGGCCTGGATGCCAAGCGTCATGTCTGGAGGAAACCAGGCACCGCTCACCACCTCGCCAATATCATCCCTACAGCGAAGCATGGTGGTGGCAGCATCATGCTGTGGGGATGTTTTTCAGTGGCAGGAACTGGGAGACTTGTCAGGATCGAGGGAAAAATGAATGCAGCTAAGTACATCGAGGTGTCTACATCGAGTACATGGGGCGACGCTTCATCTATCAGCATGACAATGACCCTAAGCACACGGCCAAGAAGACGAAGGAGTGGCTTCAGGACAAGTCTCTGAATGTCCTTGAGTGGCCCAGCCAGAGCCCAGACTTGAACCCAATTGAACATCTTTGGAAAGACCTGAAAGTAGCTGTGCACCGACGCTGCCCATCCAACCTCACTGAGCTTGAGAGGATGTGTAAGGAAGAATGGGAAAAACTCCCCAAATCCAGGTTTGCCAAGCTTGTTGCATCATACACAAGAAGACTGGAGGCTGTAATTGCTGCCAAAGGTGCTTCGATCAAGTATTGAGTAAAGGGTGTGAATACTTATGTATATGCAATATTTGAGTGTTCTTATTTTTAATACATTTGCAAAATGTTCTAAAAAAAGTTTTTTGCTTTGTCATTATGGGGTATTTTGTGTATAATTTTTGAGGGAAAAAGGGAACTTTATCCATAACATAACAAAATGTGGAAAAAGTGAAGTGGTATGAATACTTTCCAGATGCACTGTAAGCTCTTTGAATTCAGAGGAATTCATACTAGACACTGCCGCAGGGCTCTGGGGCAAGCATTGAGCAACCCGACACTGCCTGAGCACTTACTTGTGTCAACAAACCACTTGAAACATTTTAATCTTAGATTATTGTGAGAGGTGATTTTGACTAATTGTTGTTGTTTTGTCCCTTTTACATTTAAAAGAGTCAGAAAGTCAAACCTATAACTGAGTTTTTTCCTCACTCATCTCCATCCTTGTTTTGCCCTTGGGCTCTGGTTGTGATAAACAAGAGTGAAAACTCTCATTTTGGTGTCTGTTACAGATATTCATGGAAGTTCCTGACAGATGACATGCTGGGAACCTCAGTTTTCAGTTTCAAGATGACTTCATGAGAAGACCTCTTATCACAGCTGCATATCGCTTATCCCAGGAATGCGACAGTGGCCTGTGAAGCTTCTCTGTGGAGAATACAAACATACCAACCGAGATACTGATCACCAGATCCAATCTTTGGATGATAAACATGCAAAGACCTGTGAAAGTCTCTCTGTAAGCGCTTCATCCAAACCATTTGCTATGCTTGAGTTCAAAGGTCAGATATTGGTCAAACTGCCAACACTATCCCCATCTTTTATCCCACATTTGTGATGCCAGTGGGTGGCCAGAGACCCCATTTGTGCCCTAATAAAATATCACTTGTCACAGCCTGCTACATAAAGCAGTATGAGTCTCTAAACCTCATTTCTCAAAGGAACAGTGTGAAAAAAAAATGAAATTTCAAGCAATATCCCACAGTTAGATTTTAATTTAAAAGCCTCCCCCTGCTCATCCTTACCATTGGTGAAACTCCAGGAGTGATAGTGGCCTTTGAGGTCAAAAAGCTCTTGAACGCACAATTATTATCCTTCATTTTCAAGTTTGTTTTGTATAACGTGAAGGTTTGATGTAAGGTGGTTGGATAACTCCAATGATGAGGAACAGCAGAATGGAGACAGATACCTTTCTTAACAGCACTATTCGGCCATCTTGCCATGACAACAACATAACTTCCTGGAAAACCCTGATCACCTGTCACAGCACTCACCAATCAGAGGCTAGGAACTCAAGGTAAATGTGAATGAACCTCAGACACACATTCTACATATCTTGCTCACCATCACAAGCAGCTGTAGAGAAAGCATTTAAACTTGTAAATATGTTGAACTTTGTGAATTGTTCTCTGTATGAATTTTTTATTTAAAGACAGTTAATTGTTTTAGGCAACTGAAATATATAGATCGACTTCACTGTTAAAGCTTACAATTGTAATGAGACTGGTAGGCACTGATAGTTGCTAGTTCGATTTAAATGGATTTTTTTTGTTTGCCAAATCCAAGCGATTAAATTATTCAATTAAATTTGTTAAACAGCCAGTTCATCTGTGTTTAAAAAATATGTGGACAGGGGTTAATGCACAGTGGGGAGACAAAGACAGAGACAAAAAACAGGGAAGAAAAGGTGGAAGAGACACAAAGACTGTAGGCTATGACAGAAGAAGAGGGTGCTCCAAGTAAAACACTTGACCAGACGAGTGTTTAAACGCAGATCAACCAAAGATAAAACATTACCAACATTACAGACAGTGACAAGACACAGAGATGATAATTTCTATATCATTATTGGTTAATTGCAGCTTGCAGATTCAGCTTCTGTTTTTTTTTGTTTTGTTTTGTTTTGTTTTGTTTTGCACATAATAAATGTGAAGCCTGGAAATCCTGCACAAAAGGCAGCATTTCATGTCCAAACACCAAACTTTAGTCAGTGTTCTTTGTGTCCTGATTTTTTGTGCATGCATTTATTGCCCACACCCTAAGACCAACGCCTCCTCTGCTGGCACGTTCAGAAAACATTTCTCTCACTGAAAAAAGACACAGAAGAGGCAGAAACAAACCCAGGGTGAACCACATGGTTTACAGGAAGGATGAGGCAGATTCACACTGGGGTCTGGCTTGACTCAGAGAGAGAGAGAGAAAAAAAAAAGGAAGACAAGTGTAGTGTAGTGTAGTGTGTGAGAAGATCTGACTGTAGCTCCAAATACTAGCAAACCTATTTAGTGAGAAATCCAAACTGCCCCAGCATTCAAGGAAGGTCAAGTAACTGTAACCAATCCAGCGTTTGTGTGAAGACAGTTGATTTATTTATGTTATCGTGAAATTTATTCGCTGCACAACTGGAACCTAAACATCATGATAGAGCTAAGCATGCATGGAAAGGTGGCATGTGCACCCATGAATTACTCCCACAAGGATTGCAACATCATGAAGACATGATTGGCCTAACTTGATATATCTGACTGTTTTTGTTGTTGTTGTTGGGTTTTTTGTGTTTCTTTTTAGATATGTACAGTGTTAGGCCTCTCATTCCTTAAAACCAAAACTAAAAAATGTCATTTCTGGCCCACTGTCAATACTGAAATTAGAGAGGATATAAAATTAATTTACATATGGTAATTCCAATCCTTCCAATCTATGGGTGGTTATGAGCATTAGCAACAACTTATAGCAATGCTTATAAAGTGTCATAAGCAGTGAACATAATGCCTTTTAAGTCGTTTATGATACCTCTAACTAAAAACAGCATCTGTCAAATTCTGTGTTTTGATGTGTAAAGCCATTGTGAGAGGAATGGTGTCAGACCAGAGGCCTGTACTACGAAGCTGGATTAACACATCCAGGATAACTCTGCGACAACTCGCTCAACTTCACCGGATCTCTGCGATCCCGATCAGCTGTACTACGAAGCAGGATATCAACTCGATAACTGAATCCAGTTCAGATCTGTGCGCGCACACGTAAAGGGGGTCGGGTCAGTGCCACCGGACCAATCTCCACAATGGAGAAGGCTGCACGTCATTTTTCACAGCTGAAGAACAGAGCTTTATTTAAACAGTGAGACAGACACAGCCGCTAAAAGCCGGAGGGACTGCCGGCAAAAAAAATCACCGGTTGTGTAAATTACATTTGTGCGTTCATAAATTTATGGCCCCCTAATATATTGTCATGCAGCGTGTGTGATCACCACCATCACTGACCTCATTATTTCAGATACAACAGCAGTGGGGAAAAGAGTACGTGGGAGCAAATAAAAATAAATCTAAAAACATCCTTTAAAGTAGTTTGTAAGTTTATTGGAAGATTTTATTTGTACATATTTCAACGCGTAAACAGTGATTTCCTCACACTGCCTTTTTTTTTCTCCATCATCTGATGGTCACGTCATCTGCAGTCACATTTGGGGTTAAGAGTTTTCTTATCTGCTTCAATGAATTCTGAAAGATGACTAACAAATTGGAACCTGGAGCTTGGCAAATATTTGTGTATTGCTTAGACTTCATGCTACCTGAATATTGAGGCCGTCCGAGGAAAACCTGTAACGTTCATAGAGAACGTCATCAGGTAAATCAAACGGATTTGAACGATCATGAATATAACGCTCTCGGCGAAGCGCTCCTCTCACTATCCGTGCAACGATGTCCCCGGGATCCGGCAAAAGTGGGCAAGCCATTTTCCAAGAGATCCGATTGGTCATCGGGCGGTCTTCTATACCTGCTGAGATCTTATCCTGAAACATAACCTGCTCCGGAGCAGGTTTGGCGTTCCACGTAAGTTACCGGGGCAACGGACCCGGATAAAAAGAGATCCACCTTCGTAGTACGGAAAACCCAGAAGTTATCCAGAAGTTATCTCGCTAAGACCAAATCCAGCTTCGTAGTACAGGCCTCAGATGATTGACAGGGCAAATACTCGCAGTGGATTATGTATCTCACTCTTCAAAGATAGCAGGATGAGATTTTTGTCTGAGAACACCTCAAGAGATTATGAACTATCACTTTGTCCACAGGGGGCGCCAATATCACTTTAAAGTAAAAACTCCTCAGAGTAGCTTTAAACTACCTTAAAGCATTTTGTATTATTAAGACATTTGAGAATAATAGGGCACATGAACACATTTATAACTTTTTTAGATCCATTTTAACAGCTTCATAAATGTGCTTGTGATCCATTTTGAGTGGTGGGTTTACATCATAGACTATACTATTGACAATTTGGTTCTGCCATCCGCCAGTATACAGATTTGAGGCCCAAGGCTCTCGGTATTTCCGAGATTTTTCTCCACTTCCTGAAACCAACATTGGGCAGTAGCACTGTACACATTTGGTGGGAGAGTTGCAGAGAGTCGCTGTGATGACAATCAGCTCAAACAGCGTATTCCCCGGTGAGCTACGCAATCTTCGTACACCCATAGGCTGTATCAAGTATCAGTCATAGAAAACTTGAACCCCCTTATAACTTTAAAAAGAAGCTACACAGAATAAAAGAGGACTCGAGCACAAACCAGTCTTACAATAACTACATGTCAACATCCCAAGCAGGGGGGATAAAAAATGTATATTCTGTGTTATAAATGTCTAAAGATTGTCCACAGCTCCATAAGAATGGCTGGAGGAGGCGGGATTTATGACCTATACTGCAGCCTGTCATCGGAGGGTGCTGTTCTCAGGTTGGTATCATCCAGCAAGGAAGCAGATGGCGTCCATTCCGTCTAGAGCAGGGGTCGGCAACCCGCGGCTCCGGAGCCGCATGCGGCTCTTTCTTCCCTAAGCTGCGGCTCCCAATGGATTTGGAAAATAAATAATAAATACTTAATTGCATTTTATTTTATTTTATTATTATTATTTTTTTTTTGTAATTCTAAATTCAAAGATTATAATGCTCTTGTAACATTAAATAAACTATTAAGGCTGCAACAACAAATCGATTAAGTAGATTCGTCGTGACGAAAAAATCCGTTGCCAACAAATTCTGTAATCGATTCGTCGGGTCTTTATATATGTCCATGGACACCGGCGTGTAAACATCGGCAGGACGCACAGAAAAGAAACAGCCATGGCCGAGGCAGCGGCTGAGAAAAACATGGACACAACCCAACCCAAATCCCGACCTAAAACATCAGTGGTGTGGGAAAACTTCACCATGACTGAAAAGGAAGGCGTTCAGTGCAACATTTGCAAAGACCGTTTTGCATGGCTCGGGAGTACATCGATGATGCGTGAGCACAGGGCTCTCAAGTCTCACGCATTCAGCGTATGACACACGCATTCCCACTCGTTCACACGCTCACACACCACAGATTGTATTTCTCACGCATTTAAATGAACACGGTGATGTCCACCAAGTTGCGCTTCTTCAACTATGGAACTGGGGGAAATCAACTGAGTTCCTCCGAGAGCTCAGAAGCTGCGTGCCACGCACAAGCCAATCAAATAAAGTATATCTACTGAACAGCCAATCAAAAAGCAGCATTGCTGTATCCGGGTAGATTTTGATATCTTGCGGCTTAACTACAGAAGAAGGCAGACACTCGCCGAAATAGTTCATTTATTTCACAAATGCAACTCGCTACAGTTTTTTATATACTTTGTATAAAGGTAAAAAAAAAGATATATGCAATGTTATCTTCATTTTAGATGTCAAAGAGGTTTTGTGGCTCCCTGTGTTTTCTTTTCTGTGGGAAACTAGTCCAAGTGGCTCTTTGAGTGTTTAAGGTTGCCGACCCCTGGTCTAGAGTCTATGGTTTACATGAAGTATGACCTTTAGTTGTTTATATACTGTTGCAGTTTTAAGTAAGATCTATCTATATTTGTTGCTCTGTGGTATTGTCTAATGTTTCAATTATGTTACATTAAGTCGCACAAAGCAGTCTGTTCCTTGCACTTTATTGCCTTATA